ATAATAATGACCAGACTGAAGAACCTTGTACAGCCCCTGAAAACCCGGGAAATGGACCCCGTCAGAGCCCCTGGAGACCCCTGTGATAACACCAGCCTCATCCAAGCCCTAATTTTAAACCCTAGAAAAAGCAACCATCGTGACCTGCCGACCCAGCGCATCTCTCTCGCCTCTACTCCGCCAGTGGCCAGAAGATAGCTCCGGTCAAGCTCCTGCATTTACCACCCTCGGGGTCCCAGGCACCGCCGCAGACTCTACAAGCCGTATACCCAGCCTCGAGCTCCTCATCCGTCTGCCCGCCTCCGCACTGAATCTCGCCCGTCGAATCGAAACAACTTCTCTCCGGCTCCGGCTCCGGCGGCGGCCAGATACGCGTGCCGGCCTTGCTCACGCACTTACCGCCCTCGGGGTCCCAGGCAAACCCGCAAACTCCGCAGATGGCATATCCTGCCTGCAGCTCGGCTGCCGACTGCCCTCCGCCGCACTGGATTTCGCCATTCGAGTCCGAGCACGTCCCCGAGATCTCGGGGGGTATCGAAGCCGGAGAATTGGGAGGCAGCTTCCGCGGCCAGAGCAGCTCCCCGGTCTTGGTCATGCATGTGCTGCTCTCCGCGTCCCACCCGCCTCTGCAGATACTACAGACGGTCAGGCCGGTCCAAAGCTCTGCTATTGACTGGTCGCCGGCCACTGGCTCCGGGGGTGTATCGGGAGGCTCGGGAGACTCCAGCGGCCAGAGGACGTCGCCAGTCTTGCTCACGCATATGCCGCCCTCGGGGTCCCAGGCAAACCCGCATCCTCCGCAGACGGCACGTCCCGTCTTGAGCTCTAGTACTGTTTGTCCGCTGCCGCACTCAAATTCGCCAATAGAGTTGGAACATATGTCTATGGGCTCTGGCTCCGGGGGGGTCTCTGGTGCAGACTCAAAGTCCTGTCCGGGGGGGTTCAGCGATAATATAATCGACACCACGCGGCACTGCAAAGCGCACTCATCGCCGCCGGGCGGGAGGTCAAATAAATTGCACTGAATAGGTGTTAGCTCTGCAAAGCAATGGCATAATGTTGCCCTTTGCACTCACCCTGCACTTTCCGAACCAGACGTAGCGCTCCGGCGGCACTTCCTCCTCCTCTTCTTCCTCGCTCTGAATCTTCTCCAGCTCCTCTACGAGCTTATTGCAGCTCTCTTTGAGCTGGGTCGTAACAATAGCACTGTCTAACTCCTCGTTGTACATCTTCTCGCATATTCCTGCAAGCTCTTCCAGGCCCTTGATTCTCTGGTTTTCGTTTTCCTCCTCCTCTCGACGTGCTTTTTCCTTGGCTTGAGCCTCCTCGCGGAGTCGCTCATTCATTTCCCATTGTGTCTCTCCAAAAAGACGAAACACGCTCTTGAAAAACTGGATAAGCTTATACTTGAGCTCGTTGCCGTAAATATCGTCGCGCTGGGGTCCGCCAATAGCTTCCTGGAGGCTGGCCATGGCGTTGTCAAACCACGTCACAGCGTGCCCGATGGGATTATCCCACGCCTTGACCATTTCGAGAAGGTCGCGGGCGTAGGGGGCGACAATCATAAACGCGGCAGCCTTGCCAATGGCCTTGGGCACGCGCAGGCGGCATGACAAGCCGCGCTTCAGGCACGGCGGGCCTTTGGGGTACGTGGTGCCCGGCTTCTTTCTCGGCCCCTTGAGTGTGTCGTCTCTCCAGTCTGAGGAGCCCAGTTTGGGCCGATGGAGCTCCGGTAACCCCCCGGGCATCTTGTCCATCGGGGGCTTGGGTCCGTCCTGAGGGAGTTTGGGCAGCCCGGCCAGCCCCCAGCCCGGGATGCCGGCCCGTACTGCGTCGGAAAGAAGCTTGCTCGGCGGCGTCTCTTTGTACGGCGGACCCGGCGGCGCTCTGTTGACAATGGCTAGGTGTGCGCTGGCTAGCCCTAGGAGGCCAAGACAGGGAAGTGAAAGCTTCATGGCGTGTCTGATGAGGAAACGGAGGGCGGGGATTGAGGGCTTGTACGGACTGGAGTTAAGACTTGGCATTATAATACTAGAGGCAAGTGGCGGGCTTTATATTATTTGGTTGAGACTGAAAAGATACCTTGTTGACTGAAGCAGAGACTTCAAGACGTGTTCAATCTTGGCAGGTTTTTGGACGTGGTCTCATTTTGTTAGCATACATAGACTATCAGCGGGTTGTGGGGGTACTGTTCATTGTCATGACATCTGAATACGGAATACATGGGACAGGGATAGAGCTGACAATGCTTTCCTGGAATGGGGACGGCTGAATACATGACCAGTGAGTACGCGGGAGCGCCTTGTCTTGTTGGACAATCTTCAATACATCTGGCAGGGACCCCATTGCCTCAGATAGCTGGCAAAAGTGAGGAGTCTGCATGTTTTGCGTACGGATTCTCTGTTTAATCGTGGTTGCCGCTGCGAGATTTCTTCATTTCTCCCGATTTACAAGAGGACAGACACCACGTCAGCGGCGGGGTGTATTTTACCGTTACGTCACGAGGCTAGGGTCTGGTTTAGAAAGGTTGGGCCCGTCCGCGGGACACTCGATGGTCTCTGGGACTATTATGCGAAATTGTGAGCGGCAAAGCGGTGCCTCGTTTCGAGAACTTGGGACGAATGACTAACTTTGTATGGCGTAGGCTCGCATAACTTGCTTACCAGGGCGACAAGTGCATAAGCTCCACGGAGTCTCCCGCTTATAAACAAATTAAGGTCATTTCGGGACTTGCCAAGCCCCCCATTGACCCGCCCTGCGGAAATAAGTTCCGGTCTATACGAGTTCGACTGCCGTAATCGTTGTGGGTAGGTAGTTCATTCCAGGATCCGGAGCCGATGAATCAATGCCAGATCAGCGGCATTTGTAGCCTGTTGGAACGGTGGATATTGGATACAATGTGCAAGTTGGGTACGCAGGTAGGCATATATTGTGTGCATTACTCTCTGCACCCGTCTTGTCTAATTATTCTAGCGAAACCGGTTGTGGTTGACTGTGGAAATTGAACCAAGTTGACGTACAAATCGGCATAAATATACAGTCCCCCCCTTAAATTATTATTTATGCTTGGCCTGACAGGGTAGCTATTAGCAGGGCTAGTAGCCTATTTGTAGTGAATGTATATTAAGTTATATAGAATTAAAAGAAACTATAAGAATTACAATAAAGACGTTAATTTATTAAAAACTTTTTCTTAAAGTCTTTTTAATTAGTTATTAGCTTTTTAACTATATTATATATAAAGAATAATTTAAGGGGAGATTATATACTTATAATGTATTAGCCTAAATAAATTACTCCACGTTACCCTTTATTTATTTGGGAGGTTTACTATATATCTCACCACATGTTCGTTCTATACGAACAGGGGCCACCAGAAGGGTCTTGGAAGCCCATACGATGAACTTTTACAATTTATCCTGACTCGCTTGCCGAGACTTGACAGCCCACTAGACCCGCGTCTTTAATGCTGTTGCCGATGCCCGTCCCAGATTATCAATCGCACGGGTTAATTAAAAAATAGACTAGACAACGTCAACCGAAGATGGTTCCTTAGCACAAGGCGGATCTTTCTTTTTTCTGGTACTACCAGACTTTTAGAAGCGCAAACAAATGGCCGCGGACCCGGGAATAACGGTGTTGTCCGTTGCCCACTACTTTATTGGCAGGAGACTATCAAATTTTCGCGGCCGAGATAGTACTTATTGGAAATGCTCTGCTGCGAATCAAGGCCACCCGCAATATTTCGGGGCATTATCGCGGACAATCCGACTTGGCATTTGTAAGTGCTACAAATTTTACCCGGGAATTAACCGTCAAGGTGCGACAATGTCTGACTTGAGCTGACATTACACTCGGGAAGAGCAACCTTGTTCATCCCACCGACATGATGCTGCCAGTGAACAAGTGGGGGTACGGGCATGACTGGCTGATTAGTCAGACCGGCCTGGTGATACAATCGTTCCCGCCAGTCGCGCAATCACGCATCCGGAGGAGGCAAATTCTCAACGTGGTTGTGAGACATATCTAGAACGCTGCATGGAATGCGGTTCATTGCTACATATATAGTTAAAAAGTATCCCTATCGGCTCATAAGCTGACGGAAGCTCGACTTGCGTTGCATAATTCGGGCTCGTTTGCTGGTAGGTACTTTAGGTAATCTATTTGAAACAGAAATTCGGCAACAAATGTTCATAACCAGGCTGTCTGGCGCGATGCAAATGCTGTTATTTAATGCATTTGGTGCTTTTGGAATTGAGCATGGCGGAAATACCGGCATTCTTGTCCAATTGTCCGATTGACGCCGGCCCCGATAACATATAGGGCGACATTCTTTTGCACGAGTTGCCAGTTTTTAGAAAAAGCTTACCCTAGACCAAAGTCGGATAACTGGATGTGAAAAGAAGGCGAGATAACCCACCCGGGCGGCTGCCCTGGCGCCGTTTCTCGTCAAGTCTGTCGCTCCCCGAAACACAGCAACATGCGCGCTTATCAGGAACATGACAATAGATTGCACATTATCTTCGTGTCCCTGAGACAGAAGAAAAAAGTTATCGTAGTATATAATAGCAATGTCGTCGCCTAAAAAAAAAAAAACGTTGAAGTGTGCAAAAGAAAACATCAAAAAGAAAAAAGAATGCGGCCAGTGTGACTCGAACACACGACCTTCAGATAGGCATCCGTAGGATTGAAGTTGACTTCAGTCTGACGATCTCCCAGCTAATCTATGGCCGCAAGGTTGACAAATGCGCCATTATTTTTATTTAATACGGCTTCGACCAGGAATAGGAACAAAAAAAATAGCATAATTTGTCCGTTGCCCATCAACCCAGCCAATTTCAGGCAACTTATCATCCATGTGCCATATTGAAGCATACAAATCGAGCAATAGTGTTATTTTCCCGTATATACTCATTCGCATACAGCTTCTCAGTTTCTTCAAAACTCCGTAGGAAAACTGGTTGATAAAGTCTCGAGGAATGAAAAGGGCTCGCGAGACCTTACGGCGACACACATTTACTTCCTCTCATCATATCCACGAGCCTTGCAGCCAGTAACTGTGCATCTCCAGGGTGCCGGCCACTAGCGTAGTTGAAAGCTGGATCCTCCACCACGAATCTACAGACGGTCAACGATGTGTTTGCTTAAGAAGAATACCTACTTACGGAGCAGGAGCCCAGCTGGTCTTCAAGCAAGCAGGGTCCGAAAGCACTTTCACAACCTACGAGACATTAGTACTTCGATAGTTTGACGATGAGTGAGCTGACGCACAGAAGCCTCGACATCCTCGCCCGAAGTACCGTACACTTTGAAGTAGTCGCCCATAAATGGCCACGTTACCCAAAAAGCAGCCTTTTCAAATAAAGCGGGCAAGGTGGTTGTTGTCCGGCCATACAGAATGCTTCTTCCATCAGGCCCCTTTGCCTGGGCCAGCACCTTGACCCCGTAGCATATAGCACCCACCGCTTTCCCGGCAGGTTTTCTAGTTTGTGGGAAGTAATCCGCTAGTAGTTTATGAACTACTGGCGAGTCAATAAGTTGCCGTATTGTCTTTTCCTGCCCACCCGGTAAGAAGACGGCGTCAAAGGCGTCGAGATCAAATTCCGCCGCAGACCAGTGCAGGGCGTGTTTCCATTCTTCAGATGCAACCATGGCGGAATATTGCCGGAGAACAGATTGTGTAGCTCCCTGCAAGTAGATTAGTAATGAGTTTATGCGCAATGAACCGGTTTCTATACAAAAATGGTTTGTGTGACACCCTGTAGCATCTTGGCATCGCACTTGGGTGAAGTGCCTGTCTCAGTCGCAAAGTTTACTTCAAAACCCGCTTCTCGAAAGACAGTGTACGGGACTGCAGTCTCTATGGAATAGTGAGTTTAAAGTTTAAAAATCGGCAATTTGCAAGAATGCTCCAAAGTTGCGCCGCAGAATGGGAGCACGCGCCTGTGGGATCATGACCGTAATCGGCCATCATTATGAGAACCTTGACCATGGAGATTGGCAGACTTTAATTCACACGTAGTAATAAGACAATGAATGGAGAAGTAGACTGGGTGTAGTGAATGATGTCGTAATACGATTGACCGAGTCAATAAAAATACAACTCACTGTAAATGGAGTTTGTGGCAACACAGCACTTGCGGCAACGCCGTATATGCTGACTTGAATAGGTTAATAAAAAAGTCCATGTCTGTCTATAACCGTGTCCGGTCGGGATTACCGAGCCAAAGCCCGGCGTATATGGGATAGTAGGTTCATCCTTCTACAATTAGCTCCCCGATTAGCGAGGGATATTCGGTGAAACTCGGAAATCTTTTACTCAGCCAAATACACTGCCAACTAGCTCCGGATGGCTGGAACCTTCTATTGCCAAGATGTTGTTGCATCCAGACCCACTTGAACAAAATCCCAACGCACCGGCGTGGCATTATATCCGCTGGGTCCCGGATGTCATCACCTATTCCTCACATGTACGATCGACAAAGAGTGTCACAGAAGGTGAATTCGCCGTACAGAGGGAATAGTCGAGCTTGCCCTTCTCCTCTTCTCTAGTTGTACACCGACAGTTTCAATCACCTGCTAGATGAACAAAATACCAGTCCGGCGTCTTACGGTCAACTAGTAAGGAGCTCTCTGTGTAGTAGCTTTGGTGATTAGGCAAATTGGCCATATTCTGCCGTTTAAAAGAAGCGTAGTTCAATTCGCACTACAATCTCAATCACTGCCTTAGTCAGACAGAGCCTCGATATGCCTGTGATGCTAATACTCCCTCATGACGGATGGGTCTGGAATCCCACATCACGGGGAATTTAGGCATCTGACGCAAAGGGTGGCTCCGCTGACACTCTATTGGCGACCAAACTTAGTTCAAATAGCTCATTAATCTTCTCAATACTCTTTTCCTGGTTCAATTTCTTTCTCTGACTGACTTGCTTATGTCAAGTGCCTACACAGTTTATATGCGCGTTTGAATCGTTATTTCTTGAATCATCATGTCAAAGTAACCTGAGTACGAACATCGAAGCTGCCAAGCTCAATCCCCCACACTCACGCACGGACTCTGCGTGGTTAGAGCTTCATTCTCGTATGTGAGTGTCTCGTCTAGGCAACCCCGACATTGTCTTCCCGATGGCCAATGTCACCTCGACCGCCATTGTACTCCGTTTAGCCGTGTCGATCCGGATATGCGATGGCCACCATAACTTCTCCAATCACACGATGTCAGACACACACAGACATGGGTTGGTCAGCTAGGCAGCCAGCATAAGTACGCAAAATCAGGGGAGGGCGAGGTCCTGCTAATAGAAGTCTGATGTCAGATATTGGTTCGGCGAGTATCATTGTGCATACCTCACTCCACCACAACGACCTGGATGGTCACGGGGAGATCGCTATTCATCAAGCTGTCTGAAGAACGTTCAGACGGCTTCCATGCATCGCACATGGTCCTCCAGCCCCCCCATACTTTCCTCCACACCACACCTGCGTTTCTTGATGCGGCATAGTGAGCACATTTGAGAGTGTTGTATATTGCGTAGATGCAGTGACGTACCGCTCGCGCCCCTGCTTATACCCGTTTCCCTTCGGCGCTGTAGCTCTGAAGCTTGCCACGGGCTGGCACGTATACAAGTATATAAGCTCCCATCTATCCCTCTTGTCAGCTTGTGCAAGTCCAGAGATCACATCACAGATAATTTACAAAGTCTACCTTGTGAACATACTATCGAAAATTCGAAATGTCTCAGCCTTTCAACCTGACCAACCCCGGTCGCATCCTCCGCGTCGGCGTTGTCCTTCTGAAGGGGTTAGTCTATCCTCACTTGATCGGCTAATACGAACGAGATTCTGACAGTACTTCAAACATTCAGTATAGTCGAAATAATCGATGTGGCACCCGTGGACCAAATCCATCAGATCAGCGATCGCTTCGTCAATCCACTGCCATCGTCGGTCGTCCCCGATGATTTGAAGCCGTATGCGATCAAGACAGAATACCACTGGGTCTCCGAAGCCGGCCCAGGGACACTTGTGAATGGGACCAGTGGCATAGTCGTGTCGCCAACTGTATGTAGCAGAGTCTTCCCTGCCTGCGGCACCGAGAAGCTAATATGAATGGCAACTGGCATAGGACTCCTTTGAAACATGCCCACCCCTCGATATTGTTGTCGTTCCCGCGTCGGCCTCGGCCAATGCTAGCGAAGCCGAGCTCGATTTTCTCAGAAAGACTTACGACGAGAGCGCTGCGTTTATTACCATCTGCTTCGGCATGTCAGCTCCATTGCAGGCTGGCATATTGGAGGGAAAGACTGCAACTGCGCCTCGCTTCCGGCTTGATACATTCCGAGAGATGGCTCCTGGCACAAACTGGATTGACAAGCGCTGGGCGAGAGACGGCAAGCTTTGGACCAGTGGCGCGCTGCTGAATGGGCTGCACCTCATGTCGGCCTTTATCCAGGAGACTTGGGGCAGCAGCGAACAAGGCGCCAGACTTGTCGGCGCCATGGCAGAGATGGGGGCTTGGCCGGATGGTAGCCCAGAGTATGACGACGAAGAGGGAAAACCGTTCCCATAATTGTGTCCATCAACTGAGAAGATCAAGATCGAGGTCGCCTTGCTCGTCTTAGTTGACTTTGCCACAATGGGCCCTCGCTTGGTTGACATTGGACATTTTGGGTACCGTCGTACATAGGCAACCTTATTATAGTGACTGGTTGAGAGGATCTACGGGCCGGTCCCGGTATATATGAGCCCGGTATGCAAATATGAGCTCTTGACATAATTTGTGTGCCACATGCTATACTTAGTTACTGTGTATTGTGCGGATAGTTTCGCGGGGGAGACAAAAGCTCGCCAAAAACAATCCCCCATCTAGAACCAGGCGACTTGAGCGGCTGCTATATCACCCTAGAGGTCTCTGACGTGTCTCATCTGGGTGCCCAATGCAGCAGCCCAAGTGCATAATACTTATAGTAAATTTGCATCAAATATTATATAAATAATAGCTTATAATATATACATGAGACCGCCTCTTACTATAAACTTTCATGCACATATGGGTCTGGTCTTCTCGCACGTAGCATTTTGCATGACATGACACGATTTATACTTTTGTATCTAGTAGCTTACAGGCAGAGCCTTCTAGGTATTTTATAAATTACTTGGCACAGGCATTTCACAGGGTGCTAGGTTTCTACACTATTGCATAATATCTCACCAAATACCGTGTTTTTTTATGCTTCTCGTGCCACACCCTATATTAGATAGTGAAGCAAGAAAGCTACATACTCACTATAAGGTGTAGTGGTGAGCGATTTGCATGAACCACATGCAACCAGCTATACGTGGGGCGCGGCACGAGTCAATAGCATAAATAAAGAGAGCCCTAATCTTGCCGATCCAGCATTGCCGGGCCTGTACTGTACAGAGTACAGGCCACGTAATCTCGAAGCAAAGTTATTCTTACGAGATTTCAAGAAAAAAGCAAGATTATTAGGTAAGCCAGGGTTATCTGGATTTATTATATGTAGAGTCAAGCCTCTAGCTAGAAATACACCAACCTTGATTTTACAACACAGTACAATTTCTATTTAGTTAAATTATCGTAAAAAAATATTGAACTCTTTTTATTATAACTTTAGCTACCATGAAGTATATCCCGCTTGTATTAGCAACTTTTGTCATCTTGACTCTAGCACAAAGGCTGCAAGTCAGTAGATTAACTGCCAAGACTATGGTACGCAAATTCCCTAATTAGTTGATATTATATAATTAAATTTAGCAAAAAGCTTATTTTTTATACTAGAAATATAAAGAGATTGCAGAAGTATTGAAAACACAAAGAATAACTTGCCGAGAACGAAGTGTAAGTAAATATAAAATGCTCTTAGAACTAGGTATAACTAATTATAATAAAGGGAAATGAGCTGTCTTGTATAGCTAGACCTATTGTAGGTATTCTCTTTAATTTAAACTACGTTATACTTATTTGACATTTCACGTTAATTTACTATTAAATTATAGAAAGACGGTGAACAGGTAAGATATCTTGTATTAATTATATCGCAGTTAAAGCAACTTACTCATTTAGCTATTTTTATATAGGCAATACACGATATTGATCAGACTTGCCGAGAAAACGACGTAAGTATAATTATACAAATACTAGTCGTAAAGTGGCTAATAAGATATATAATCTTAGTGTACTTGTGACATATTTCCTCCTCTCGTGCATGATGCAAATCAACCTGAGGATGTAGGCCTTGATCCATAAAGAAAGAAAATGGCGTACTTTGCTACTAAATATACCATGCGTAGATTGGGATTGAATGCTCTATTGCACCCAAGGAAACGCCAAACAAGGAGAATTGCCAGTCGCGGGAGACATCTAAGCTTTAAGAGACTGTAAGACATTAAACAAGCCGCATTTATACGCATTGTATGCTAACGTACCAAATCTTGATAGGCTGGCTTGCCCAAACCCACTCTCCGGCGAGACAACGATTACAGACACTTTAGACGTACTGAGTTTGAAGCATTCAGGAAAGATCTCTGCGTAGCGCGGCGCATGGACAAGGAGAACGCCAAAGAGAAAACCGGTTTGCGACCAGACGAGACTTGGTAAAGCAAAAATAGATCTTGAAATGGCTTGAAATTGTGCTCAGGAGGATTTGGGCTTTTAGGAAAGTTCCTACGCTTATTCAGGTAGTTGGAACAGAGAGATTAATTCAACATCTACCAAAGTCGATTGAACGTCCATCAATACACACCATTTGCATTGCTTGCATTTCTAACATGGAGGTAGTGTGCGATAGCTACAAATCGACGTCAGGCGGCCAAGAATCTATCTGCTCCCAAGTAGTATTTAACACGGCTATATAGACATCGTTCTCTCCGCGAGAGGGCCTAAACGGTAACGACTCCCACAGCTCCTCAAATTCCTATAGCAACGATCTTCTATATAGGATGAAATCACCGTCCAGCTAAGACCAGGAGTCCGGACCAAAATACCCCTTGGGAGGCATCGCAGTCAACCGAGCGCCCTGACCGGTTCCGCCATCAATCGTATTCGAGACAATATCGACACCCCACCAGCTAATCGTCTTGGGGTGATACTGCACCGCAAAAAAGATGATGATGCCCGAAAACGCCACGGCACCGGTTAGTCCAGCCGAAAGCACATAGTTGTACTTTTCCCACCACGCCGTCTTGTATCTCCGAAGATAGAACATGAAGGCAAAGGAGAGATACAAGCCACCAGTAAAGTAGGTCAGATTGACCGGCGCCCACTGCAGCAATCCGTTGAAAACAAGCGACGGGTGGACATGTTTCAGCCAAGAAATGGGCGTAAAGACGACGACATTAAGTGGTGTGAAGACGGCCGCGGGCAGGGCAGCCCTACACGCCTCACGGACGTACGAACCGAATCGCTTCGTGGTCCACCACACGAGGGCAAGGATGAAGCCGAGCAGGAAGCAGTATTTCATGGCAGGGTAAATCTGACTGAAGATTCGCTTGGGACCGATGGCGCCCTACAACGGCTGTTAACGCTGGGAGTGGGAGGTGGATAGACGGCGCAACTTACCCAAACTACCGACGAGGCAAAGTACACCTGGGAGCCGTTGGCGCAGTTGAACTTGGACTCTTGGTCTGGCGTGCAAATGCCGGGGATCTGCGTGTCGGCAAATTGGACAACGCCGTAGGCAACGAGCGCCGTGATGATGGCACTCATAATCTGGCCGCGGTACATGGCGCGGGGGGGCACCTTGGCGTAGAAGCCCATCTTTTGGTCGGAAATGTAATTATCTGCCTGTCCGTTAATGTTGTACCCAAAGGCCTTGACAAACATGAGGGCTTCTGGGCGTCCGGGTAGAGCGTAGCCGACGACGAGCTCGGTCACGACATTGAGTCCTTCGGTTGTGCCCGAGATAGCGTATAGATAGGACATTGGAATCAGGAATACCAAGTTGAGCCCAATGACGAAGAAGATTGTCCACACTGGTGTGTCAAGCTGAGGCCAGTTGGTCACGACGACGATGGCGAGGATGAAGGAGACGGAGGCAATCATCAAGAACCACCAGTCTGGAACCTCGGGGTAGTTGCGCATCAGGTTCGTAAATGGGTCATCGAATGCGTCGTAAATCGAGGTTTCGTCATTCATGATGTTGTACAAATGCCGGCCCGCTTCTCGTACATTGCCCTTGAGAAGCGACGCCGCGGCGTTTTTCACCCCCACGACAATTTGTCAAATAGTCGTGAGGATAGACACCATCATGGACTTGTACGCTTTCAGGAGCGGTCTCCAAGCATCGAGAAGAATAAAAACCATGGTAAGTGGGTAAAAGGCAAAGAATGCACCGTAGAGGAGCAGGTTTCCGGCACTGTAGAAAGCCGGAGAATATGCCTCAAAGTCAGCTTCGTTCAAGGCCCCCGTGTCGGAATTGACAACCTTGGTAATGTTGTACGGGCTTCCCGTATTGTCAAAGATGCCAGACGAGTTTATGGGAAGGTACGACGTCCACTGCACGTTGGTATAATACAACGCTATAATGATGAAACCGCCGAGAACCGTGCCCATAAACTGCTGGCTGAATGCGAAAAACGGGTAGGCCAGAGGCTGGGAATAGGTGGACAGCACGTTCCAGTCAAACGTGGAAACGGGGTTGAAGCCCAATCCCATCTGGGAGCCCGTAATGGCATTCAGGTTGAAGTTGTTTGGCGCGATCCACGTCATCCAAGCAAACAGGCTCAGCGCGGGAAACAGGTAATCAGGCAACCAAAAGTAGACAAACATGGCGCTGAACACAATGAAGAAGAACTTGTACCGCGACATGCTCCAGCCATGGAGGGTCTCCTTCTTCTCCGGCACCAGAAGCGCCCGGTTGAGTGCCAGGGTGGGCAGGATGTTGGGCCACAGCGCCTCGACGGGATAGACGACGAAGCGGCGCAGGAGGCCGGAGAATCCGAGTCCCATGAGCTGCGTGGAGAGCAGGAGCAGAATGCCGTAGCCCGGCGTGAGCCACTTGTCCTTGTAGTAGACGGTCTGGGTCTGGATGTTCCAGAAGCAGTACGCCGAAGTCAAGCCCACGTCGATGATGATGGTGGCTAGCATTTGTTCCTTGTACGACCACGGCCCCGGATTGAGTGAGATCCTCTTGCCGCCTACGGTGAAGCCCCAATCTGGTAGGACTGCGGCCACGAGTAGTCCACATGGATAGAGCAAGATTTGCGTGACGGCAGATGTGATGGTGATTTGGGGGAAGCGCGAATTGAACAGCGAGTTGGTGAACTGAGCCAGAATAGCCCACAGGTAGCCCAGGAGGTGAGCACGGATAGTCTCGCAGGGAATGTCGACGTCGTCGGTGGGAGTGCTGATGGCTCGAACCTCGGGATACGGTGAGTAGAACTTGTTTACTGCCGTTTCCGTCTTGAGCTCCAGCTCCCATTCGGCGGTGCTTTGTCCCTCGCCCGGTCCCTTGAGGAGGTCGGCGAGCTTCTGCCGCAGAGTGTTTGAGAAATTGTAGTCGTACTCGTGCGACTTGAGCAGTTCTTCAAGGATCGCTTTGCACTCTGGGATCGTCAGGGTTTCAATCTTGTCCATGACATACTCGATGTCGTCGATTGGTGCCATAACATCGCCCGTATGTTCAAGTTTCTCAACAAGGTTATGCACAACCGTGTCGACATCTTTCATGATGGTTTTACTGACATCCTTCTCTTCAATGGCGTGATCAGGGAGAGAAGTGTCGCTCCTGACGGAGTCAGCGGTATGAGAACGCCTCGTAGCCATGATTTACACCGGCAGATGTCCCCAAGGACACACTTGCTATGAAAAAGTTCAGGAGAGATTGAGTGGCACGAGCAGACCGCGCGCAAAAACATCAGAATGAAGTGGGACGTGACTGTATTTAGATATGACATGCTCACGACACAAAGCGGCAAGTCTACAATCAAGACTGTAATATGAAATATGCATTGATAAGCGCGCGCCCAGGCATTTCCCACTTCCGTCTCTGCTATCGCAGCACAAGATTCGGTGTGCTTGTTTTTTGCATCCTTCATACAACAGTTCTCAATCTGTGGAAGAGCACCTTCCTATTTCAGCAGATACAACAGGGAAGTGTAGGAGGCTGAAATCGGGGTAACACGGCATGGATAATGATAGCTCAGAGCTGCTCGCAGCGGACGGCGCTGATAGACCAATGGTGCAAGGTTGATGGCATCAATTCACGTTGGTCCAGATCCGGGCAAGTCACGCGACCGGCGTAAGCAAACGCAACAAGACGACGACACCATGCTGGCAGCGACCATTGGCTCAATTGAGTATTCGAGGGTGCGAGAGCCGGGTCAAAACGCGGGGGGAACTTTTGCCATGTTGACAAACGACCCCAGACTCGGTTGTCATGTCTGGTAATCTCTGCAGGATACCGCCACTGCAGAAGAGCATTATGATACTGTGACCTGGGTCGTGGTAAGCAGAATTGTCTGATTCGAGAATGGCCCATGCAGGTCAGCGTGAATAATGCCTGTCGATGGTTCCCGCGTGCTGCGGTGTATGCTGCCGAAACCCGATCAGACCTCGTGGATGCCGCTTATCCCGGTTTCCCCATCCTTGATAAGGCCAATCTGGCCATTGTGGAGGAACCTTTGGATTGCGCAGGGGACGAACTTGGCATCTGGGTGCCCTCTGCCACCATGGCCGAACCCTGTCTCACTTGACAAGTGCCCAGACACGGCAAAGACGGCATTGCTGGCATCGACGAGGCCCTGTTGTGCTACAATTGTGCCAAACTTGGCTCTAATGGGGGCAATGGAGATGGCGCTCAGGTGGCGCTGTACCCTTCCTTAGACGGGTAAGTCGTCGTTGCACACTGGGTTCATTTGGAAGTGTCGATTGTTCACGCATCACGATTCTCAGCAACACAGGTACTGGCGCCATGTTGGCATCTCGTCAGGGTTGGGGTTAGGAACTTGGCATTCTCTACTTCTTCGAACGCGGTCGGCGCCAGGGTAGAGTCTTCAACGTATCCGTGTGTGACGGTAGTTGGGACAATCATGGAACATGGATAGTAGTAGAGGCGAATTCCTAGAGCTCGACGCTTTGCTGTTGAAGAGGATTCGTTCGAAGCAAGTGGCAAGGGAATCGCGAAGGTGACGCCAACTCGGCGGAATTGCCGGTCCTTTTGGTCACGCACCGAGACGTCAACTGTAGTGTCAATATTATCCACCCATTTGTCCTTCTCCTGGCCTTTGTAGCTACGCCTGAATCCGCCAAGACATCGCAAGAGCTATCAATTGATCCGTCAATGAATTTTTCTCTTCCCAATGGTGTCCATGGCCATTGCCGAGGAGGCTTGGCCGAACGGACCCGGAAGTTCTCCCACCAGACTTTGCCGATCACTGCCATGGGGATCTCGGTCCGAGATGGACGTGTCAACGTCGGAATGTTGACGTTATCACTAGATGCTTCATCTTAACCCGCGCCGCCATACATAACTCACCTCCCCCGCCGGCACTTTGCTCGGCACGTCTTTTGACGAGCCGCGTTGCCGACAATTGATCTACCGGAATTCCGCAGCATAAAAGGCCTAGGTTGCGCCAGACTCTTCAAAATGCATCGCCCTCTTGCTGCCAGACAAGCCACCAAACAAATTGAATACCAGACACCAGACCACACAAAATAATGCCTCTCTACGAAGTCCACCACTCCCACGCATTGACAGAGTCGCAGCGTGTAGAGCTCGCTGGGGCGATAACTCGACTTCACGCTACAACGTTTACCACGCCGTCGATATTCGTTCACGTGCGCTTTATTCATGAAGATCCGAGCGATGGGAGCTATTTCATCGCCGGCACGCCACGACACACCAGTTTGAACAGTATTATCGCGCACGTCCGCACGTCCCCGGCGCGCACCAAGGCCGACTTTGACCAGCTCGCACAGCGCATCGAGGAGGCGTGGTATCATGCGTTGGGGGTTGGTCCGGCTAGCAGCGACGAGTTGGTCCCATCTGGAGCTGGGGAGAAGAAGCTCATTGCCGTCGCATTCTTTCCCATGCTGACGGCTCGAGAGCTTGGTCTGACGATACCCGAGGCAGGGAAGGAGGTCGAGTGGTTCAAGGAGCAACTTCCTCTGATTAAAAAGACGGCTGATTCCCAAGGAGGGGACTTTGCTCATATGCTGAATGAGTTTAAGGAGCGGGAGGACCTGCGCAAGTTGCTGGCTTAGTTGTGCATGGAAAGAAGGTTGATTGAGATGCATTGCGCCGCGGCAAATCGTAGTGCAAGGAGAAGCTTCTACATTCGGAATGGCTTGAGATATATTGTGTATTCAGTCAATGTTATCTAAATTGGCCTCGTGTCGCTAATTCACTCCTGCTATACAAGGAGGAGAGGGTTGTAATTTGTAAATGGATGTGTAGCCCGTCGCGTTAAGATGAATGTTGGGAATCTGCGAGGAATAATAATGGAAATTGCTTCGAAAACTTCTTACATCCTGGTAGTAAGTTACACTAAAGAATGCCATCTTTAAGCAGGCAAATTGTTGTCAACTCAAGAGTGGGATGGGAGAAGAAAATCCCTCTGAGATTTAGTCACAGAAATACAGCATCATGTCCAATTTAGTCACAGACGGTTAGAATTCTTCACAACTTATTCACATCTTCATTCCCTCTCCCATGCTAAGATGAAGAAACAGTTAAAACCCCACCTTTATTTCATACCCATCAGAGACTTGTGTCGTCGAAAAGTCAACCTTGCCCACGCAATCCCCATACTCGTACGGCTTGCCTACAACGCCCTTCCCAGCACCAGGCGTCTTAGACATGGGGTTGTAAAAGGTGGCCTCCGTCTTGGGCAACTTCGCACACGGCTGCGTACCGCGATAGTATTCCACAAAGCCAGAGTAGCTAGACTCGATGCCGCCGGCGCCCGAGGGCAACGTCCAGCTTCCAACGCGGGTATGAGCTCCGGTAGCTGTATTGATGACAGTCCCAGTCCACGTCGTGGTGCTGGGGATATTCTCAACGGCCAAGTTGTAGGTATCCCTATAATCACCATTGATCTCAACAGCACAGCTCACACCGGGACCATCATCGGCACCATTGTGACAGTTGGCATCGCCGGTCGTAGTACCATTCTGAAAGGAGGAGAAGACGGCGTGTACAATGCTAGCACCATTGGAGTTGGGTCTATTCTGGATCCCACAGTAGCCAATATCCTTCATATTCTGGAAGGCAAATTGCTCGGCAAAGTAGTACCCAGAGTCGTGGGATGCTCCGGCCATGTTGAATGGAAAAGTAACGTCTCGTAAGCCACCCGAGGGATGACCTGAAGAAGACCAGTTATTGCCCACAAGGGCGAACCCGAGCTGGGGGGCGAATGCGGTGATTGCGGTAAGAGAGTACTTCATCATGACAGCGGTGAAAAGTTTAGATGATTGTTATTCCAAGAAGATGGCTCTGTGTAGTTTGCTGGCCATGGAACGGGCCGCTTTAGGTCGGATAACCTGTCCTTTTATACTCGTACCTGTCAGTATCTCACCGAGCTGTAAGGACAATCAGCCTTGGCTTTTCAAGGCAACCAGCGCTGCTCTCGCAAAAGTTCGGCATCTCGGCAGACTCAATATCCATGATGTCATGGCGTGTTACTCCAAGCCGAAACGTTGCATGAATATTACGTGTCCCACGTGTTGAGAGCCCCGAGTGGCATACTAAAAGCCAATATAATACCAATATAACGACTTTGTACAATGCTTACTTATATCTAACTACCTGATGTAGATTCCGGGTTGCACAGAAGTGCTCGTGCCTTCAGTTCCAGCCCGTTCTCGCTTGAATATGGAACGGCTGGACTTTTTGCTACGCCAAGAGATCTACACAATAGCGCATGGTGAGCAATGCTACCTTTCGCACGGCCTAATCGCTTGGTGAGTGTCTAGTAGTAGAGCTATGCTGTAGGTAATTGGGTAACGATTGTCTCTGCTTCATGAATACGAGCACTGAGTTGCTTCCATGGTGGCGTTGGGGTTTACAAAGGCACTGCTTCTTGAACTACGACGGCCCAGTCCATTAATTGACCAGTTGACCTTTCCCAGCAGGCCACTTGAGGGCCATTCCCTGTACGCAAGAAGATGTCTTCATTATTCTTGCCACAGATGGCAAGGGAATAGTCATCTCGGAGCCAGTCCTTTGGAGGTTTTGTGCGCTACCCGAACGGTTCTTCAACAAACTGCCTTCTCATATAACGCTGTCCCAGTCGGCACTGGTCTTGATGCGCCTGGCTGGGCGGAACAATCGATATCGCGCGACGGTTCTATCCCGCGGAACTCGTCGTAGACATGTGTTCTTACGTGTCTTTCTTCAAGCAAAATACCTTTCAGCTCCATCTTGGTGACCAACCGGTTCTCCCTCGATATACACCAGATAATATCCGTGACCCTGCGCTGGCAGACAAACACTGGGGTGGAAGCTTAACTGACCAGCAGTTTGGCGATGTGTTCCCCAAGTTTCACCTGTTTATCCCAGCACAAGATCTAGAGCGCGGGATCCCCTCTAATGATGCTACTACTTTCAAGTACGACTTCAGCAAGCAATCATCAAATTCTGTTACAAATCTCTCGCCGAACGAGTATCATGGCTACACCACATGTGCGTCGTCGGGCTTGTGCCTTGTCATTACACCGAGTTGTTTGGTTGTGAGCCCGCGATACACCAAACGTAGACGGCCTGGACGGAAAGCTAAATGTGTAAATGGGGTTCAATAAACTTGGTAACTTACTAGCGACATGATATTGAAAACCTCAAACCCCACACTTCTCTTACACTGGTTAGTTACGGCTCGTCGCCTTTGGTTCCTTGACAGGCCTGCTTCAAGGCCCTTTCGTCAAGTGTTCAGCGTCCCATCGTCAGCAGCTAAAGCACGGCCTTCCAAATAGTGAGGTTGTGTATTGTTGGTACATATGTATACTTGACGTAGAGTTCTCTAGTTGGACGGTTGCTGGTCTCGCGCCAGTCTCCCCGTTGCCATGGCGAATTTCATCACCGCCTTCACAGCTCGCATGTCTGGTGTTCACTTGTCATTGTCCGCCACCGTTTTTCCTCCCAGGTATGCGACAGATGCCCTGTCTTTTCATGTAAAATGTCGAGCAACATCTTCCGGTGAGCTGTCTATTTGCCGCATCGAAACAGAAAGCGCTCTACTGTTTTCAGTGTTTCGGTGATAGGCCACAGTTGCGATAGCCGCCAGTTTCATACTTCTGAAACTTATAAATAATTTCATAAGCATATTACACAAGATATGGTGAAATTTGAGAATAAGAGTGCCAAGAAAGATGTTTCATTCTAGTTAATAAGCTGGCGCTGGCATCCTAACTGCAGGAGGTATCGGGGGTCGCAGGTCCCTCATTTCTCTGCCGCACTTGTATTTTCACGTCCTTTAGGAGTCAACCCGAATTATCTACAAGTAAGCCTAGTACGACAAACCTACTTGAATACACTTTGCCACTTTTCCATCATTCCAGGTAAAACGTCTTTTATAGCAGCTCTAGCCGTACTCGCCTCTTCAGACTGAAACCCCCGGTACTGCCACAATTTCTCAAACGTTCTGATTTGATTATGTATGGCGGCCTCATCCAGCTTCTTAGTTTCGAGAGCCTTGTTGAGCCCATCAACAAAGATCGACCACCGACCCCGGTAGTAGGATCGAGTCAAACCCGACCACTCCTTGGCGGCATAGTCGTTCAGGGCTTCTGATTCCCAGATCCAGGTGGTGATTTGGCTACGAGCATTAAAGGCGACCAAGTCGTTCGCTCCCGTCTGCTTGGCCCAATACTGCGCCGCGTCAAGCCAGCTGTCCAGCCTGAAATGCTGGTTCGTCGCGAGCACGCGATCGAGGTCGGTGAGAAAGTCTAGTAGCTGTTTTCCCTTTGTGGCAAAGTCGTCACGACGCTGGAGTTCTCCATGGTTGCCAATCTGTCTCTTTTGGCGCGACAGCTGGCTGTTGAAGATTTGGACGTAATCCGTGTACATGGTGTTGAACGCATTGGACATGACTTGCCGCGTGACGTCTACAATGTCTAGCTGGAAGGTGGGTATCTCCCAGAGCTGAGGAATCTCGTTGGCCGCTTGAATGAGCAGTGAATGGGCCTTCTTCAGCGTGGCTGGGTCGTAATATACTTTTGTTGGAGGAGGCCAGTTGCCGGTTCTGTTGACTAGACCGGACAGACTGGGTGCATTTTGGTAAATTCCGACCCCGACACAAGGGACCTGGCGGTCTTTGTTGTCGTAAATGTTTTGGCGCAGAATATCCCAGGCCTGGAAGAGCGAATTCGTTTGGGAAACTCCGGCATAGCGCCGGACGACGTAGCCGTAAAAATAACCTGAGGTGTCGATGGGGGTAGTTGTCCATGCTTGGTCAAATAGCATTTGATACACGACTTCATTTCCTTCATATCCTTCTGGTGTCATTCCGAACCCAGACAAAGAAGGGGAAGTACGCAAAGCATCCATCGATTGGACGGTAATATCGCTAATCTGGCCGTACATTCCCATATTGCCACCAAAATCATGCAGTTGACACCAGATCCACGGTCGACCAAAATACCCGTTTGTCCTCTGCCACTGGGGCCTGGACTCGGAGTAAAGATCCAGCACAAGCATACTGTTATGCCCTTCTGGACCACCAAGGTACGCGGTGACGCGCTCCTCAGTCCACAAGCCGCTGTTCAAGAACAGCCACCCTTGTAGCAACCACACCGCAGCAGGGTTGGCAGCAGTCAGAGCCTTGTAGGTATATGTGGAAACTTGAGAAAGGTAGCTCGGTTCGTTGGACGTTGGTGGCATTTCATTGAATTGGTCAAGCGTATAAATATTGGTCACGTTGCCAAAGGCCTCGATTTGCTTGGAGATGAAGGCCTGCTGCAGACGCGCATAGCTCGTATCCAGAGGACTGAGGAAAGTATCTCTGGTGTTTGTGTCTGGGAGCCCAGTCCATCGGGGAGCCTTGGTCGTATTCGCGTCTGGTTGCACTCGGCTGAAAGCCGGGGGGACGAAGCCAGGGAACGCTGGCAAGACCGGAGTGATGCCCAGATCGACCATTCGAGCCACAATCTTCTTCTGCAGTTCAAACTGAGAATCGATCCAGGAGCTGCTGAGGTTTCCTACGCCCCCCCAGGACCCTTGGGTGTTTCCAAAACGGTTCCAGGCCTGGAAGGCAGGGCCACTGAAGAAAGGGATGATTTCCTCGTCTGTCATGCCAAGGTCCCGGAAAGAATCGAGAAAGATCTTTTCAAAGCCAACCCAAGCTAGCTGAATGTTGGTGCCTCTCAATGCGGCCCAGTCGAGCAGTTTCTCCCAATCCTCCCATTGGTACCATACAAACGAGTAGGAAAAGGTCACTATCAGTTCTTGTTAGACGGCAGACTCTAGTTGAAATGGCGATGCTATCCTCAATTCTCACCCGTGTTTAGATTATACCTCCATGGCACGACGCTGGTGCGGCTCAGAGACTGTCTTGGTAGTGGGAGCTTGTCTGGGATGATAGCATGGCTCTCAGCAAACAGGAACTCATCCAGCTGAAGAGAATCAACAGAATAGTGACGAAGACTAGTTTTTAAGGAGTCGACATGTCAGCATTATTCACAACTATGCCATTCACTTTAGCTCTGGGTTTGGGTAGAGGATAATTACTCACCCTCTTGCGAGTGCACTCAGCGTTGTGCCTTCAATATGAATTTTGCCATTTCTCGACGATACAGTATAGTTGTCGTTCTTCGGTGGATTCCACCGCGACGGTCGTTCAGTATTCGCCGTCAAGGTAAACTCAAATTCGCCGCCGTGCCCCTTGAACAGTCGTGTTGCAAGCGCCTTGATGCCATCGATGGACTCGGCGCTAACCAGAAGAGACGAGACAATGGTTAGGCCAGGTACAAAGAGTCGAGTTGGCAGCATCCTAGACAACGAACAAGTCTGGAGTAATAGAATGAATGCAAGGCGCCTTGTACAAGCAACTCTTCGGCTGAATAGTAGCAGCCGCGATACATATAATCAGATCTAATTCTTAGTGTAGTAGCATGAAAGTTTAAGCTTAGTTTGCAACGTTTCATTTCCGTTTAGTTGACATTAGCGAGGCAATAATTCAAGTGAGAAAGTCACTCGGACTCGAGGAAATGACGATGAGGAGCACAGGAAGTAGTCTGTATTAGGAAGGTGATCGCGTCGACGCCTGTTGTAAGCGGGGACTCCTAGACTGGCGTGACTTTCTCAGCTTCCAACTACGTAGTCACTTTTGGAATGTCAACTGGAATTCAACATGCCATGAATTCTGCCGCCTATCCCCTCGTAAGGCAGGAATTGGCATGCTGGCAGGCTGGGGGTTAGGCTTATGTTGACGACACCTGGAGTGCTACGATCTACGCGCCACGCACATCATAACGTTTCGTATCAACTACGTGTAGCCAATAAGAGTACGAGCTTGGTCACTTATGGATGTAAATACGTCTGGTTCCATCTGCTAGCGTGTCAATCCCTGCTGGACATCAATCGCTGTTGTTCTTGCACCCTGTCAACGTAGCACTTGAGCGTTGGTAAAATGCCAGGTTGTCAATACCTGGGGCAAACACCAGTTAACCCCCAACCATTTGACTGTACAAGTCTAGAGTATTTAAACAAAGTAACGTCGCTTACTGGGAGGTTTCCATGTCAAGAATGTGCCTCTCACGGTACGAGTATTGAAGGTCAAAGCTCTGCTAAAGCGCACAAGATATTCTGTAAGCGGCAAGTGGAGTGACGATCGATACATAGCCCTTTACCCCTGATTTGAGCGCTTAGATGAAGAATGCTCCGGACATATCGGTTATTAGCGCCACTACTCCGTAGACTAGAAGACTAGAGCAGTGTAACTATACGAGTTTTGGCTGAAGTAGTTAATGGAGAATGTCTAAACGAGTGAACTGTTAGAAGTGTGAAACTATTTGGATCAGTTGTTGGTGTTTAAGTTAGTCTCTTTTAGCTAGGATAAAGTATTATCTTATAAGACATATTATGAACTACCTTTCTTTATAATAACTAGTGTTTATATTTCAAGTACTCCCAAAGCTTATTAGTCTCTTTCTTTTTACATTATAAACGTTCTTTTATTGAAAACCTTTTTACGTCCTTATAAAGATAATACAAAGCAGCGCGAATCAACCGGGGGTAGATGGCAACCACGGCGGCTTGCTAGGGACTTCGAAGAGGATGGACCACCTTTTTGGTAAATTCAACAAGACTGTATACGAAACTCGACTTGAATATCCCTCTTAGTCAATGTCTAGTATTAATATTAACTGCGAGTCGGCCAAGCGTAGTCAAGTCAGAAACTCAATCTCAAGACGAAGGTCTTGCGACGGCTGGGTGTGGTTCTAAACAGGTAATAGTTGAAGGAGAGATATCCCAGAATTCCGAGGCTGGCAAAGGTGTCCTGAATGAGAACAGTGGTGGTTTGCGAGCAACCATCGACCCCAGCGGCCACAGACTTGATGCCCGTTCCAGCAGATGCATTATGAGTTGGCAGAAAGTATCAGTTGATGTTAAGCGGCTTGCATACGAGTAAACTCAATATGGGAAGGCCGGATGCAACAAGTCCTCCTATGAGATATCCAAAGACCCCAGCTGCTCTTGCTCACTTTCCCAGCGCCCCGTGAGGACGTCCAAACTTTTGAGTGAATCTCCTCATTTGATTCCGGTTCGTTCTCCGATTTCGGCTTGTCACCACTTTTGCTGTTTTGCTTAGAATTCACGGGTGTTTCCTTACCTTTCTGCAAAATGCGCTCAAAATCAGGGTTTCTGTCACCACGGAAATGACTCGAGGGGGTGGATTTCCCTCCCGAGGCATGCCATACGCAATTGCACGTTGGCATTGGGCATTTTTCGATGCCTTCAAACGATTTTCCGGTTTCTCAGCATATGGGGTAGTTGCTAGCCAGGCCAAGAATATACGTGTACTTATTTATGCGAGAGTCTTCAGTTATACCCAGAGCGGACGATGTATGCATTTTATCAGTTTGGCATCTACTATTATTTTCAGAAGACTTCCTTTCAAGCCATGGATGAATGAAGTTTTTGTCAAGTCAATACACAAGTTACTTGGCCTTGTGTTGTTTGTCTCACTCCAGGGGCTGATACCTGGATTGTTGCATCTGACCGTTGCTATCCACTTCTCGTATGATATGTGATCACTTGCCTTTATCTGATCCTACCCATCAAGGGCACTTTTAACTTTTATCTCTAGGTGGAGCCGGCCATTTAAATGTTCTGACTGGTTTTTTCACCTTTCCAAGTAACGTCGGAAGTACCCTGCACCCAACGAATTGTTTCACTCGGTGCTTGTAGGCTGACAAACTATTAGCAAAACATACGGATGTTAACCTGGTCATTATTTTTTGTTTATGAATTCAATCCACAATGAAATAGCATAGTTCAACGATATTCTGCTAGAAGTGGCGTTCGCAAATGCATGCATGAGAAGTGCCAGGATGCGTCCGTAGTCATCAAAAGATGTCATTGCAGCTTCGCGGTCGGAACGGAGCCAAACTACAGCTTAAAGAGATCGATACGTCTCGTTCCGCAGCAAGACTTTGATTCATTTTACTAGCTAAAGCAATTCTTCGTACGCAGGTAATCAGCTAACAAATCTACGATAATTCAAGGCCAACTCTCTCGCTCGACGCGCCGCCCAAATATATCCACGACTTAAGCCTTTCGATTGTAGCCATACTTGTGGATAGCGTTTAAGAATCCCAGTGCTCAACAACATCTTCTCCATATGGCAAGGATATAATATATCTCAAGACCAAACATACAGCCTTACACGCATCCAGGGTGACATGCCAATTGACTTCACCGTCCTCTTTGCAAGTCGCCGTCGCTTTGTCCCAATCTTTCTCCTGGAGCGCATCTTGTTCTGATCCACCACAAAAAAGCCCTTGGCTATCAAGATGTGTTACTGTAGAACTTAGGACCTTGACTCTAAGGCGATCGTCTTCCGATACAGGAATCTGATCCCTCACCAAGATGGGCACAGGCTTGCCAGCTAAAGCTTGATTGTTTTGTAAGGTAAGAGTCCGTGAATATAAATAGTTGTATCTTTCTTTTTTTTCGCTCGCACCCTCTGCTTCTCGTATGGCTGGCTTGCCATAGATCATCTTGATGGCAGGGTCGACGCCGAGGTCCAAGCTAAAAACGCAACCAGCGCTGCAATGGGGCAACACCGTGTGGCCTAGGAACCTCCCGTCGAGAGTAAGCCCGACAGGACGTTGAAGAAAAGCATTTTTACTCGTATTCATAATTGTGGCCTTCAGATTCGCTCCTGCTCTATATTTGGCAACGGCTATGTAGCTGAACTTGACGTCGGGGAGAGTGAGGCGAGCCATCCGATGCTTAGATGAAGTAGATCTGGGCAACAGGGTCTTGAAGTCCTGGAGATCATATGAGGTGGCCGAGCCAGTCTCTGCGATAAGTGATTCCTCAAACTCGCTGAGTGCGCTGTTGTGGAGATCAGCGTTCATAAACATTTCCCCGCGAGGCTTGTTCACGATATTGCTTTTCTTGAATGCCATCCAATCAATGTACTGTCTGGATTTCGCAAGATCCGTGAGTAGCTGATTTTGTTTGTCGCTTGACCCTTTGGGGGAGAGTTTGATCTTCCACGTCTTGAGTGTCTGGGTGACGTTGCCTAGCCCACCAAATACGGCCTGTGTGGCTGACGACAAGACAACTTTACAGTTGGACCATGTTTCAGACGTGGTATTTATCAGCTGGGCATTGAAGAATAGGATAGCAGTTGAATCTGTTGTAGACAGCTGTAAGTCGTAGATAGGCGCCCATCCCGCAGAGCTGGTGACATACGAAAGAACCAAGTCGCATATAGAGCGGGGAGCGACCGTATCAGCCTCCGTCGACATCGGCGACGATGCTTGCATGGTATCCGCTTCGCTAATGCTTCTGGAAGGCGGTTGAGTATTGCAGTCGTATTCAATTGTGATGCACACAGAGTAGCAATACCGCGGCCAGAAGTTCTCACGTTCTCGGCGAACGCGATCTTGCTCCTCGTGCCTTTCCTGGTCACGCTTGCGCTTGAGAGATTTTTTCTGTTCACGTTCTTGGAGAACCTTTTCTTTAGCCTTTTGTTCTTTCGCCTTTTCTTTGACTTGTTGGCGCTGTAGCTTGTCAAGTTGTTCACTTAGTCCGCTCCGAACCTTCTCCCTTTTAACGCGCTCGACGAAAAGCTGATGACGTAAACTTTCGTACGTTTCTAGTTCCTCACCAAGATACGGTGTATTACAATTTTCGCGCTGCGTGGTAGCATATGATTCCAGAATTTCAACACAGCTGGTGGCACTGTCTACTCTCTCAGTGGCCATTTCAAGCTCGTCCCGAATTTCTCGTAGTCTACGCTGGACGTCAGACACTTCAGGGCTCTGCTCTTGGCCCGAATTGGAGTCGGAATCAGACTCAGACTCATTGTCACCATCGCAATCCGACTGGTTTCTGCCTAACTCGGGATAGATCTCTTCAAAGATGTCGGGGTTAGGCGAAGATTTCACGGCAATGTTTGTGATGATGGCGGAAGATCCATTGCTTTCGACTTTGATGGAGTCTTGCTCAGTCGTAGGACTTAGCCCAATGACGGTAACTTCATTCGTTCCAAGCTATGTTTTGACGCAGCATTAGAAATCTTCGACCTTGTTACATTTGGCTAGTATCCGTAGCGTACCTTGAGGTTGATGGCTGTCATGTCTCTGACGACCTGTGCCTGCTTGGGGAACAGAATGACAGAGCGAGTGTTGAGGTCCTGGACCCTGTACTCGACCCTATTCACCGTTTCCATGATGGTCAAGCTCCAAGACGAATGAACTGAAGGGGGAAAAGAATTCTATGATGATGGATTGAAAACTCTGTCAACGTTTGATCGGGGTGTGCTCTTCTTGTATATGCTTGGATGTATGCACTTCTCGGATTTGAAGCTGGCAGAGGACATGAGACTCTCGCGCGGTGTGCAGGAGGTAGTGTGCAGGAGGTAGTGTGCAGGAGGTAGTGTGCAGCAGGCAGCCAGACAGCTCTCGTAGTCAACCAGATGCTCTGCCAATCAAAATAGCCCCAGCTCAACTCACCTTCAACTCACCTCCAATTCACCCTTCACCTCATCCCTCCTATTTCTTTATTTCTTCTTTTTTTTTTTTGTGTGCGGACTAGCCCTCCATGTCAGAAAGCTTGCCCTGAAGTTTGTTTGGGACACAGTCTACGGACCAACTTGTCTTCTTCCCAAGCAGACACAAGGAACAAATCAAGCTTGTTTAGATCCATCGTTGATTTTCGATACCATGCGTTCTCGCTATGAGCACAATTAGCTTTGAGGGAATGCCCATAACATCACGGTGTGCACATCGACTCCATGCCGCTCGAGATACAGCATTCCTCAACTGACAACGATCCGATGATTCGTGCAGTAGAAAAAGGCTATGACTCTCCCAGGTTTGCAAGACCTATACAGTCTGATCTAATACTTACCGGTTTCGTCTCCTAGATAGGTCAAGGGCCACTGTGTCCTCCGCACACGATAACGCAAGCGCATCGTCTTGTCCTTCGGTCCTCCATGATTTCGACCTCCATCGTATATGGCACTCGTACAATCCACCGAATAATACCAGTTCCGAGACTGACGTCTCGAAAGTGATGGTAAAACTTCTGGACAACGCTGTCTCTGACTGCTGTCGGACTGCAGAAGTCGTCGCCGAGGATTTCTTTAGAGCAATACCTGTTTTATGCCGAGTAGACATTACAGAACCCGAAGAAATCTGAGTTTGCTCAAGTATCTGGTCTAGTTCACACTCACTTGTTCCAGTCGATATGGATTTGGCTTTGGGGGCACAGCTGAAAGTTCTTGACAAGGCTCGAGCCTTCTTTGGCTCAACGCCCGCCAGAAACGTCAAGCGCAGGTCCAATTTGCCGTCTGCCCGTATATTCTGGTCAAATCCACGCAGGGAAAACTCAATATGGCGAGGTTTTAGGGCGGCACTAGCATGGAAGGAAATGGAGCAGCACGTGCTAAGACAGGTTGCCGGTTGTCTCGCCAAATCTTCAAGTGTTGGTCTGTGGCCTCTTCATTTCTCGTTGACGCCGAGGGGACAAGATCAAGCGGATCTCGAACGTGGCGTTGCTTCCACTTAAAGCGTAACATCGGCAATTCCCTCGTCTCCGTTTCGCTCTCCGATCAGACCGGTTGACGCCATTTGTACATGCGGTCCAATTTCGGCGTCAAGGAGCCTCCCAGAGTTCCACTTCCGAAATCAGGCCGTTGACACGATGCATATAACAAGCTTAATTTCGGCGCCAAAGTGGCGGACTTCGGATTACCATATTGTTAGTCATTGCGGTTTTGGGGACGAACTTTGTTTATTTTCGGTTGATGATTACAAACATTCTGGATTCTCTGGATTCTCGGTGTACGCAAGGACTGTTTGTGGCAATGCTGGGCCAATACTATTTGCCTCTCCTCAAGCATGGATGGCATATAAAGGATGGTAGATGACCAACTTTGCCAATTTCCAATAGACCAACTATCCTCTTCAGCATTCTCTTTGCTCTACTACGTTCGTATCCCATACCCTCAATGACCTACGCTATCATGCGTAATACACTGGCCCTCGCTGTTGTCCTTGCTGGCACAGTCGCCCAGGCTGCGTCAACACTCTTCTGGGGCGGCACCATTATTGCATTTGACAGTGAAAATGAATCCCTAAGGGTCATCAGAAACGGCTCGCTTCTCGTGGTGGATGACCGCATTGCCGCCGTTCACGACGATTCACAAAGTCCCTACAACAGTGTGCCAGCAGACACAGTCAAGATAGATGTCACAGGGCAGATCATCACCCCGGGCTTCATTGATACCCATCGCCATAGCTGGCAGACGGCATACAAGACGATTGGGTCCAACACGACGCTTCTTGAATACTTCTCTCGGTACGGCGAGTATGCCGCGGCATCTAGTTACCGGCCCGAAGACGTCTACTTGGGCCAGTTGATGGGGCTCTATGAAGCCTTGGACGGCGGCGTGACAACCCTCCTTGATCATGCTCACCACACATGGTCGAATGCGACCGCCTATGCTGGTCTAAACGCAACCGTGGAGAGCGGAGCGCGTGTCTTCTGGTCTTACGCGTTTCATAACATCTCGAGCCTCAACTATACCATCTCACAGCAGATACCCAACTTTCGCGAGATTGCAGAGAGCGGCATCTTTGACAATACAACGACAGAACTCGGCATTGCGTTCGATTCGTGGGGCCCCAACCCGGACGTCGCCGAGGCTCAGCAGATTGTTCATCTTGCTCACCAGTATAACGTCTCGGTGGTCACAACTCACTGTCTCAGCGGCCCTTGGGGATTTAACAACCTGCCCGAAGACGTTCAGCGGTTCGACATGCTCAACGGCACGATCCCCGTCGTCTTCTCGCACGCCAGTTTTATCACGGCACAGGGTGCAGAGCTTCTACGTTCTACAAACCAGTACATCTCCATCACGCCCGAGTCCGAGATGCACTATGGCCATACCCACCCGCATTCCTACATGCTTCAAGACCAGGCAGCTCTTGGTGTCGACACGCACTTTACATACTCTGGCGATATTCTCACCCAGGCCCGTCTGTGGCTGCAATCGGTGAGATACTACTTTTCATCGGGTGTCTTGAAGGACTGGGGCTTGCCGTCTCGGAACCCTATGAGCGCCGACCAGGCATTCAAGCTGGCCACGCGCGCGGGAGGCCTTGCGCTGCGAAGACCCGACTTGGGCGTCATCCAAGTCGGCGCCAAGGCAGATCTCGTGGTTTGGAACGCGCGCAAGTCGCTGTCCATGGTGGGATGGGCAGACCCCGTCGCCGCCGTCATTCTTCACGCGAATGCAGGTGACGTCTTGGATGTTATGGTGGATGGAAATTTTGTCAAGAGAGAGGGAGAAATCCTGGCCGAGAATTTTCCCGACACGCGCGCCAGATTCTTATCCAGCGCTCGCAGGATACAGCAGATATGGCGGGAGACGCCGTATCCCCATTTCGAAGGCAAATCCGCAAATGGATTTCCCTACAAGGAACCCATTATCGCGGACACGAGCCGAGGGGACGGGGACGGATACGGAGATTTATATGTGAATTAGTTGCACCCTTGCAGTTGTCACGTTGTGAGACTTGTTCTCGGATGGTCAACGAGTGAGACGCGGGGTTACTAGTTTGAGCCTTGTGAGATATTCAATTTAATTTGGCATTCAAGCCTTAATTTGAAGTTAGCTGGCCAATATAAAATCTGCCCTTTTTGATCAATGCGAAAGGAGCCTCAGTTCCGTAGCTTGATGCATTCTATAAAAGACCGATTCTACAATCTATCCACCCTATAGCTGCATTTCTTGGCCTTGACCAAGCTCCTCTTTTGTCTCACGCAATTACAGATTATATTGTTCTTTGCATTTTTGTTCTTCCTCTATCCTGCAGAACGTTGCGTGTCGTTAAAAGAACGCGCTCTACTATATTCGTTGTAGTACGTGTCATTTACCTTCGCTTACACGGGCTCTCCGCCCTTAAACTTCCGACATGTCTATACGGTATTACGGCATGCGGGAATCTCGCTTGCTTATTTAAGCAGCAGAGGCGGATTTATGTTGCAAGGCAAGTTGGAGATCTGAAATGATGCTCCAAGTCATGCGGGGTGCCAAGCTTCCGGACAAATTTCGACCTTATAAGGTTACCAACCATAATTCGCCCGACCAGGCTACGTGGGGCATCATCTCATCGAAAAAGCGGGGCGGCCGTGCTTGTCGCTAAAATCGAGTGTCCCGAGCTATTCGCAGAATCAACACACTTCTTTCATCTGTGTTCGGCTGTGGCGTTGAATAAAGTCCGTCCGAAATCTTTCCTTTGTGATACATCACAATGGGATCTAGCCAATCAAGCTATTCAATACTATAATCGGGACAAGCCGAGCCCTAACGGATATACACGGCCGAGTTGCAACGGCTATTGCGAGTAACACCGACCATCACATGAAGCCAACAAGGGCGACGCTTGTTACGGTTGCCTCGGAATTCAGAATTGGTCCGAAATTTCAAAGCTCGCTGCTCATTGGCGAGATTATACGCTGTTACTCGGTGGAAATGAATGGCCAACTATTGTCTAGCCTATCTTGCTACGCATGCAAAAGGTACGCAACGCTCGCATCATGCCTTTTCGACCTACATGCTACTGACGTCATCTCTCTATTTCAGGAGAAAGGTAAAGTGGTTAGTTTGGCCCGTACCCCAGCACATGTCTTTTGATCAAGTTGCTTATTTGTCTTTGTTTTAGTAATCGGGGTTTGCCTGGCTGTTCTCTGTGTGTCAAGTATGAAGAAATTTGCGAGTATCCAACTAGGCCGAAGCGCCCTGGTCCCAAACTCGGTCAGTACCAATAGCAGACATGAGACAACATTGATCTGACTATGCCCAAGGAAGTACGCATAAGAAAAGGCGAGGCATCTCGACCACCGGCTTGTCATCAGCTGCCGGCAACGCACTGTCGGTGAACACAACGGCATCTGGGGCTGTGGATCGTTCCCCAGAGATACAGAGGATTGGTCCAAATTCGGGGTCCTCATATCAACAGTATGATTTACGTTCCAGGGATACTCGCCGCGTATCAGCATGGCCCGCTGATGACTCTGGTGTACTTGGTCCAAACTCAGTCTCCAGTTCAAACAGAAACCAGCCCAACCGCCGAGCAGTTTCTCCTGCACCAGACTTTTCCAGAATGATGTATCCGTCTCATGAGACTCAGACTGAGCCTCCATCACCGTCTCAATCACATGATAGCCCGGATCAGCCTGTTATCCGTCCAGGAATAACCGTGGATACAGTATGCAAGGGGCTAGGAATCTCTAGGGATGTCTACACGTATCTGTAAGTCTGGCTGATATTCATCGTTACCAAGGCCACATCAGCTAAACATGACTAGAATAAAGTCCTATTTTAGCAACATGACAACCTTTACACTGTTTAAACCTAATGGGATCGAGGCAAAGTTTGCCTGGATGCGGTCTCCTGTCGAAGCTGAGGCCTTGGTGGCGACAATATTTGCCTTTTCTGCGAGGTTCCATTCCTCGGACCGGGACCCAAGGCGGATTGCTCAATGCCCAACGCCTTCATACTTTGCAGCTATTGCATCGAGGCGATTGCAAGATGCGTTGGACTCGTATGAAGACACTACACCCCCCTTCCACCTCCTGCAAGCCATGGTCCTCGATGTCTTCTACAACATTTTCAAGAGTCTACGATCTAAATCTTGGAGATATCTAGGCCAAGCGATCCGACTTGGCTATGATCTGAAATTACACTTGCTCGACATCCACTCCGTCGACTCGGACGGCGACAAGACAGAGCGCGACCTGGAACGTTGGTCGTTGTTGGAAGAACGCCGCAGGGCTTGGTGGGCTCTATGGGAATTGGACGTGTTCGCCAGCACGATTCGCCGACTGCCATTAGCAATCGACTGGACGCAAAACTTCACCTGGCTCCCGGCCCCAGACGCATGCTGGTTCCAGCGCGTCTACAAGCAGAGCTGCTTCCTGGCGCCCGACCCAGGACAGCGCTGGAAAAACATGTCTCGAGTCGTCAGCACAAGCGCAAAGGCGTGGCTCATAGTCGTCACGTCCCTCATGCACGACGCGCAGCAGCTCGTTTACAACCCTCTGCCCGTGAGCGAGTCGTCGTCGTTCCAGTCCAAAAAGGACAACCTGGCCATTGTCGCCAACGCTCTCTACTGCACGACCTCGTCCATGCCCCGGGAGCTCGTCTACGAAGGACAAGCACTGGACTTTGACACCAAGACACGTCCTCGAGACATCAACTGCCGGCAGTTTCATGCCGACATTTACTCCATCTACCTCATGACGCAGCTGGTGCACTTCATGAGCGACCACCACGTTGTGTGCGCGCAGATGGCGGCCGCGGCCCGGGCTCACGCCGCCAATGCGCCCAGAGCTGGCGATTCACCATCGTGGTCCAACTACATGGCGGCTGCCGAAAACATCGTCACCATTGTCCGCAACAGCGCGCACAATCATGTGAAGTACGTCAATCCGCTCTTTACCAACACGTTGTGGTTTGCGGCCGCGTCGCAAATCGCGTGCAGGCTTGTTGGGCCGTCCTGCCGCGCCGAAGCACTCGCCGCTTCAAACTATGACCTGTTGGAGCTTACTATACAGAGATGCACTTCTTTTTGGGGCAGCAGTGATATTCTCAAACCGAGGCTGGACACGATAGAGGCCGAGTTGAGGAGCTTGGTGGCCAAGAATGCGGACAAGGCGGCAGACGGGGACGAGGCCGCTGCTGAAGGCAACCTGCCGCCGGGGCCGTCTCCAATCAATGGCACGTCGTTTCATGGAAGTGGATTGGTTGGAGCGCAAGGCGTGTCGATGGACGCTGTTCAGATGCCGTTTGTGCCCTTGTTTCCATCGGGGCATGACCCAAATAGTCTATCGGAGCAAATCGTGTTTGATGATTTGGAACACTTTTTGCCGTATGGCTTGGATGAGCTGTGGAAATTGTAAAGCTCACCTTGTTGGACGTGTACTGGGATAACAACTACATGCTATCAAGATGTGTTGTCAATGGCACAGCCCGCCTACGTGGCGCAATTCATTCGCCCGTTTTGTGACGAGGGCGAAAGGCTTGGAGCAACATGACTCCATTCATCTAATACCGGTCTTTGGTATTAAACCTCCTTGGTTTTCCTCAAGGCCTAGTTGACCAAGGAGCTCTATTTATACAAGAAGCGGTGCGAGCCTTCTGCCCTAGGTCCCGTCATCATGGTCCTCGTCTAGCCCGTGCGACAAACGGCCCATAGCAAACCAGCCCTCTTGACCATTGTGGCTGAGGCAGGACGTATCTCAAAGTCTCTAGTTTAAGATTGTTTCTTCTATTCCATGTCCAAGTCTATTCACGTACAAGGGACACGCTGGTGGAATTGACAGGCCGAGGGGACCGCATGCCAACTCTCTTACAACGGGCATTTGCCTCATCGGCCTCACCACTAGCCAAGAACGGCCATGCTGCCCCGTGCAGATCACTGATGTTCTTCTCCAGATCCGGGAGGCCATCTGCCGCGCATGGACCCAACAGCACTAGACAGCGGGTGCTGGGCATCACCCGCAATCCTGCGCTCATTTCAAACACACGCCAACACCTGGACTGACGCTAGTGGCTACTGGTAACGATGGCCAAACGGTCGTCGGTGTGCCCAGTCAAGGTAGGAAACGAGACTCGTGCCCAGTTCTAAGAGCAATGCGCCACGGCTCACGAGCAAGTCTCGTCCCCCGAGCCGCGAATTTTCCTACACAAAACGTACACGACGTAGCAATCACATTTAGTCGTCATTATACAAGCTCCCATTCGCCAAAACTAGTCTATAACATTCTACCGCCCCAGGTTCAAAAGTCTCTTTTCTCTATACGCCAACCATGTATAACCCCGTATGATCCACGTTCCCATTCGCCAAAACAAGTCTATGACAATCCATCGCTAAATGCAACAAAGTCCTTTCTCTACGCCGAACAAAAAAAGGGCACCCGTCCATCAATCACCACAGTTGGTCGGGGTCCTTGACAAGCGAAAACTTTCTGTTCTTGCGCGCCGTCTTTGCCGCCCGTTTCCGCTCCTCGGCCGTGACCAGCCAAGACTCGACGATTCCGCAGTTGGCCAACGGCTCGTAGGACGAATACTTGGCGAATGTCGGGGACTCTCCATCCCGGGCCCGGTCGGCGCTCGGGTCAAAGGTGCCGGGCCATGAGGCCGGCGACGAGGCGGCCCGTCCGCTGTTGCAGAGTCTGCCGAGCGCGCGCGACGCCCTGCACTGAACTTTGTCCATGACGTCTGGTGGGAAAAAAACGTGGGCGGTGTGTGGCCGTCAGCTTGTAGCCGGCTCGCGGCTGCTAAGGGGATTATGGACGATGCTTGCCGGAGCAGTCCGGTTGAGGCGAGGGAAACGCAGAAGGTCGGCTGTTGAGACCAGCTGGATTCACCAATGGATGGTTATCTGAACGAACAGGAAAAGACAGTGTTGATCTGGTCAAGCTCGGTCGCGGTTCGCCGGGCCTATATATCGAGGTGAGTGGTCCACGGCTGCCCTTTCGGGCCAGGTGTGTTCTGGGGTTGGAAACCAGGCCAGCGGCCTCCCCGGCATGTCGTGCGGCGGATGGACGTGTATCCGTCTGGTGAAACCGTGGTGGGAAAGGAAGCGCCCACATGGGCGGCCGACTGAGATGGTCGCCCTTGGATTTAAGGTTTGCGCTGCATTATGATGAAGCTTGGCTCTGGGGGGGTCTTGGCGATGGGCAGAAACAATCTTCCGAGGACATTGTAGACGCCAAGCAGGCCCATCCGCAGCCAAGCATGGCAGCTCGAGTCATGGCACGGCACCAGACAGCATAAAAAATTATGCCTTGACAATGTATCAGTTTAATTGAGCGGCAATGCCCATGGGCAAAAGTTAAAAAAGGTCCGGCATATAGCAGGTCTAACCAGACACGTCTCGGTAGTCAAAGGGCAACGGCATCTTGTCAAGTTGTGTGCATGCATGTGTATGTATGTATGTGCGGCTTACGGAGTACACCGGTGGCCAACACTGGTGGCCAACACCGGACATGTACGGCGACGTCCTGCCTATTTAGGAAGTCGCGATCGCCTCATCCCCGCCGGGATTGACTCGTCAAACCGTCGTGCAAACCGTCGTGCTAGCGGGCCTGTCAGTGTGCTGTGCTTTGGCATCAGTCAAGCTACATTAGTACATGTACCGACGGCATGTAAACAGTTCAGTGTTGGACCGAATCCAGCCAAGGACCGCCTGTTTCCGCCTCCGCCAAGATTGCCCTTGCTTCGGGCCATGGTATCCCGAAAGCGCGTGCATCCGGCCCATCTGGCAGATCCATGGGGCCTCTTTCCACGTGTAGCCGGTTAGAGTAGCGTCTGGTACGACGTTGGTGCAGTGTGCCGAGAGCCGTCGTTGCAAACTGCATGCCCATCTGCCCATGTTCGCAAGTCCGCCGTCACATCCGGACAAGGGCGTTCCATCGAGGACATGGACAACTGCCGGCCTGTATCATCGGTGTGTTGTACGTGCGCTCCATCAGGGTGTCCACGGGGGAATCTCGCTTCATGGCCCGAAAAGAAGTTGATGGCGTTTGGCCGGCCCGGCCACTGCGTTTCATGGTCCAGCATCAGAACCAGAGCCCGTGTAGCCGGCTTTAGGCACTTTGAGAAGACCATCACGCGACAGCAAGTCTGTCAAAATTCTCACAGCCAGAGAAAACATGATGCTGGGCCACTCAGAGCACAGCCCTGGCTTCGAAACACACCAGTCTGTGCTGTGACAATCCACCAACGAGCGACCGACACCTCCCGAAGTCGGCAATCAGGGCCCCCATATAATTGCCTTTGCCCTGGGTATGGAATGATGATCCAACATGCCCTTATGGGGGGTTGAAACGGAGCACAACTCCGGGGAAGCGCGTCCGTCTGACGCGGAGAACGTCAACCGAAGACAAAGGGGCCAGATGAAGTGGTGCCATTTTCGCCACATTTCAAGGGGTACGAGTCTAGAACCAATCAAAGTTGGAATTTCGGTACCTTCTCAAATACACCATCTCTGCAAATGGTTGTCAGGTTAGAGATATATTAATTGAGTCTCAAAATTTTCAAGATGGCATATTGCTCATGGGACGGAGGAGGTTTGGGCCTACGTCCTGAGTAAAGACCAGATTCTTAGCTTGATCGGGCCAAAGTTACTTAGATCCCTTGTTCCCTTTGATATTTACATTCATGCCTACTACTATGTGCCGGAGAACGCCGGAATGCACGGCTCGAGTTAATGCCGTTGCTTTTTCTAATGCGAGCTCCCTAATCAAGGTAGTTGTGTAGAATGCAAACCGTCTGATTATTGTAACCTGGCCGAACAGATGATTAATGCACCGGCAAATGTGGCAGTGATCCTTTTGCATTGCGTCCATACCCAAACTTTGTGAAGACCTAAACTGTATAAGATGAGACGGCCCTTGTATTGGGATTCCTTTGCCATTAGACCAGGCACCGCTTTCGCAACAGGAATATAAGCTTTTAAGGCCCTTTAGAAATGTTGAACAAGTTGGATAACCAGGACAGCTACAGTGACCCAGAATTTGGAAGATCCTGAGGAAATAATACAAGACGATACGCAAAGTCTAACTTGGCTTCCACTTTTTCCCAAGGTTGATGGACGCACCAGGTAGCCAGAGAGGACTACCAAGTATCTTGAACCAAGTAATTTCATGAGTCGCACCACGCTGATTAATAAAAGCTTGTGAGACTGCTACAATTATCAAACGCAAATGCCCACCTCAGCCATCAGCGCCGTCAGATCGGCACCCATGCATCACAGTCGACCTCGCTCGCAAACTGACTGCGTATGAGGCTCTCCTCGGCAGGCAAGCTTCCGCCTCGGCCCTCCATCTACTCTCCTCATCGTCATCATATGAATCCCAGACCAGGTTTTTCAGATAGTGTCAACAGGCTCCCGCGACAACCTCAACCAACATGATGCCAGACTAAAATGTGGGCATTACCACCATGGAACGGGGGAACAAAACTTGATATTCAAGACTTACAGAGCCGCCCCGATTCCACCTGGCCAAGAGGCATGGCTGCTCCCATTATTCACATCCGGGCAGTTAAGAATCTGCTTCGTATCGCCGCAGGCACAATTTCTGTGCGTTGATGAAACTTGCTCTCGCTGTTGAGCATTCTTTCTCCATCGCTGTGGAGGCATTGAACGACGTATACACTGTGACGACGAGGATCAACAGTAGACTAGGTAGTAAACTCGAAGGCAATACCAACTACACCAATACACACTTGATAAGGTGAGCTTCTTTTTAAACTCGGCGATGAATACGCCGAGAAACTCCTGTTCAATGTCGTACTGGCTAATACGTCACAAATTCACAATGCTCATCTTGGTCACTGCTATTGAACTGCTTCTCTCTCCCGCCCTGACATCTTTGGCCATCCACGTATCCCTGGACTTTTCCAAACCACATCAGCGCTGTCTTGCGGTCGTCAGCAGTATTGAGCAGAGCGGCCCTCCTTTCAACGGGCGTTCCGCAGTTCGCTTTCCGTGGCCCCTCCAGCCCAGTTCTGCCTTTGCGCACTTTTACAGTCCTTTTTTTTGTCTGCTCATCTGGTGGGAGAGCTTCTCAACCGCAGTCGAGCTGGCGTGTTCTTTATCGCTGAGCAATTGAACAGCCGGAACGGACATCTCGCGCGCCTCTTCGAGGTTCCCGGCCGTGCCCGTCACGTACTTGCAACAGCCAACCGGCACACTGGAGCTCGATATTGAGGATATTTGGCCGCGGGCCGCTATTGCTGCTTCTTCTTTTGCTCCGTTGCTCACCGGTCAACACAATATCATGACATGTGAGAAAGGGCTCAGTGTATGAGGGCTTGGAGTCAATAGCTTAGTTCATCTAATTTACAGGTTTTTGTATCGCAGGTCCTAGATTTTCTAAAGGCCTGGAATAACCAACGAGCTCTAAATATACCGTCAGGCCGATGAGGGCCTTCTGCCCTAGGTCTCGTGAGGGTAGCCCTGGCGTAACCGTGTGATGTAACATGCAGACACCGGAACCAAAGCCAGGAGGCTAGTCTTAGGAACGACCTAGGTCCCCGTTTTTCATCTGACAGTCGTTGGAATGCTCGAAAGCATGGTTGCGATCGGGTACTGTCGAAGCTGCCGCCGTTTTCAAATCATCCTATAAGCGGAGAATATGTTAGACACGCAATTACACCGATTTGAGCGTTGGGATAACGAGTTCTGTTAAACATTCTAACAACGTAGAGAAAGAGTGGTAGACGGGTGAAATAGCATACCTAAAGGCTCTCGGAATTTCACCTAATCGGAGGGAATACCGGTTGCGTTTCCACCATCCGGTGGCAAGGAAGCTACATTTATTTCTGTCCCATTCAATCAAGGCAAGGCTCAGACGGGCTCCATCTCACCTCAAGAGCCACATTCAACGTCAACAGTCACTATCAACGATACCCAGGCTGGTCGGCACAAAGTTCAAATGTCAGAGAAGCCGCCGGCGTCTTGGAACGTCAAAGACAGGCTGTAGAAATCATTTTCGACATCGGAATGATCCAGTGCCCAGAATTTTTCCCAGACCTGAAACCGGCGAGCTTATACGCCCGGCAATTTTTGCGTGTTCTTGTATTTGGCCGTCCCATGACTCGCCTCCCGCCAATACGGCATTGATATATTAACAGACTCGACACCATCATACGCAATCATCTAACTGCATTCCCATCATATATAGTCTTGGCTTGGAGAACCCTGTCCCACTTCATCTGCGGTGATCACTTCCCGGGCAAAGGGAGCCAGTTCTCGGCAAGTATAAAGACATCGCCCTGAAGATGAGGTGCTCCATCCAGTTTCAGGCGCATCACTACGTCCGCAAAGCTCTGCCGTGCCAAACGCAGATACTCCGCCGCAAACATGTTTTATACTCCTTGTCCTCAAAACTCTGCTCTAGAAACGATGAAGGCGGAGATTTGAGGAGTCCATCATCTCGGCTTGGATATCCGCCCGCGTGCTCGGCAGTACGCATCCTCCATGAAGACCCCTTGCCTCGCCTTACTTTACCAGTGTTCAGTGTTCGTTGGCAAGACAAAATGCGTGACTCTTGCTGCTTTCCTCGATAATCACAGTTGGGGAACTTGAACAAGGCTGCTCCGATCGGCAGCAACCGAGGACGTATCTGGCGCTATTGATGTGGCCACGAAAAGGGCCAAGTTGGGTGAAAGCACCTTCGGGAATTTCCAGTTTGGTCAGCAGAATACATCCATCCATCTTACCACAATCCATGGCAGAAGGATGGCATGGTATTTCATGGCAAGCCAGGCTGATCCCTACCCTAGAGCTCAAAGGACCCGAGACTACGGACCACCAGACCCGAGAGCCGTTGGCCCGTAGGTTCCCAACATTTGAAGTCCTGCGCTGCAGATGCACCATCGGAGCCAGCTATCAGCTATGACGGCCAGAATGCGTCTGGTGTCTGGTGCGTGGCAAGTAGTCACTGGGCCTCAAGCCCAAGCCCAAGCCTGGTGACGATGCTCCATGGTTGGGATGCGTGTGGCGCATGGCAAGCTCCAATGTGCAGATGTCGCCTTCCCGAGGCCCCCACTTTATGGCCCGAAGCAATTCAGTCTTCCAGTCACCAGTTGACGCTGCCTGGGCATTCAATGTTCAGCGCCGGCGACGGAGGTTCAGGCTCCGCTATTCGCCATCAGTCGGACCAGTGGACCGCTGTGGCCTAGCACCGCGCAACTGCAGTGCTCTTTCCCCAGCCTCAAACCTCATCAATGATCCTGTTTCTCGAGACATATGCCTGGACCCTCTTTTGACTTCACTCCTCCACGACCGTCTTCTTATGCCGCCCAAACCGACCAAGCTGGTGGCCTCAACCTTCTCCAGCGCTGCTCAGCCATTTCAAACAGCGACCCGGCCCGACGCATATTCTATCCTCGCCTTCATCCTCATCGGCGCCGACCCCATGTCGTCAACACCTGCTCTCTAGTGCCCGATACGCTGCCCGTCACATGCTGGTCGACAACAAGGTGTTGCTGTCCCTCACGGCGCCTTATCAATACGACAAAAAGCCTGGGCAATCAACATCTGCCTACCTGGGTAGTTTTACCTCCTTGGCTCGACTGTACTAGGGCAGAGCCCCCCATACTCGACCACCTCACTCACGATACACACACACACACACCTGGCCTGGTCCCGTCTCCCGCCCAGACAGTCACCATCGCCGCCTCTCCCGTCTCGACTGTCTTCGTGACCGGTGTCTAGCCAATTTATAGACAAAATCGACCCAAACTGCCACCGCGGCTTGCCCGCGGAACGGTCGACGTGGACCAACCCTCCGACGCTCGTTCCCTTCACCCCATTGTGTCATCCGACGACCCATCCACTCCGTCCACCTCCCGACCATCTGCCAGCACCGTCCTCCCAGCACCCAACCCCTCCTCGCCGCTTGATCGCCCTGGCCGATCCGCCCAACTAGCTCCGGCTTCGAATGCGAACATAGAATCTTCCACTCCAAGACCGGATCTGCCCTCCGGCTCGGTATCGCAGGTCCTCGGTAGGCGACGACGCCCATCTGGCTCTTCTCCGATACAAGATCCCAACGACCCTGCCTGTGCCGACAACGAGGCTGCTCCAGCCGGCACACATTCATCACCTAGTCGTCGTCTTCCAAAGAGGAGGCGGCGAGAGGGCGAAGACATGGCGTCAGACGGCAATTCTGTCCTACAGTCTAATGGAAGCGGCGCCGCTCGCTCAAATGGATCGACTGGTGTTGCTTCTCAGAGAACTGTCTTGCCCAGTGGTGCGACTAACGGGACACACAAGGCAGCGTCTCTAGCTGCTAACGGCTCAGCAAATGGAGACAAAGCCTCTACGTCGGCCGTCCGACCCTCATCATATTTCGGACATAACCGAGAGGAGGTGACCCGAATTTTGATCCAAGCATTGTCAGACATGGGTTATCAAGCTGCGGCTGAGAGTGTGAGCGAGGAGAGTGGGTTTAAACTGGAAAACCCAACTGTGGCAGCCTTTCGGTCAGCTGTGTTGGAGGGCTCATGGGCTGAAGCGGAAGATTTGCTGACGGAAGCTACTGTGGCAGGACAGGCTGGGGAGGATGGCGGTGGTGGAAATGGGCTTGTGCTCGCGCCAGGCTCTGAGCGAAATGTCATGAGATTTGCCATGCGCCAACAAAAGTTTCTGGAGCTTTTAGAAACCAGAGACACAACTCGGGCACTCCAGGTTCTGAGGGGAGAATTAACGCCGCTAGACTACGACACCGCCAAGGTGCATTTTCTTTCCAGCCTCCTCATGTGTCTTTCGACAGAAGACCTGATGGCCAAGGCAAATTGGGACGGGGCAGGGGGACAATCACGCAAAAGGCTGTTGTCTGACCTATCGAGTGAGTGCCCAAAAATTGTTACAAGCCATTACCCGGTTATGATATGTAGAAGCTAATCCGGCCTGCTAGGGTGCATCTCGCCATCTGTCATGCTTCCCGAAAATCGTCTAGCTGTTCTCCTCCACCAGGTCAAGCAAAGTCAGATCAACTCCTGCCTCTTCCACACAGCGGCATCGTCGCCTTCGCTGTACGCGGATCATCACTGCGACAGGCGAGTCTTCCCCAGGGATATCGTGCTGGAGCTCACTGAAATGCGAGGAGAGGTGTGGGAAGTGCAATTTTCTCACGACGGGACGCAGCTTGCCGCCTGTGGATCCAGTGACAGCGTCTTTATATGGGAGACTTGGTCATTCCAGGTTGTACACGCGCTCAGCATGCAGGTTCAAAAAGATCACCATTCCGGCGTGGCAAGTATTGCGTGGAGTCCAGATGACTCGATGATGGTGACCTGTTCGCAGGATCATTTTGCGCGATTATGGGATACCAAGGTAAGAGCCCATCTCGGCCATGTCACCCATTATCAACGGAAACTAATAAAAAGGGTAGAATGGTCAATTGATCAAGAAACTGAAGAGGTTCGACGAACCTGTCAGCAGCTGCATCTGGGCGAGCGACAGCAAATCCTTTGTCCTCGGCACCCTCGATAACAAGCGGAGCATTTGTACATTCAACAGTGAGGGCGAAGAGCTGGTCCAGTGGGACAAGAAGCACCGTGTGCAGGCCATGGCTGGTTCCCCCGACGGACGGTGGCTTGTAGCGGCGGATAACTTTACCAACATGTACGTGTACAACGGGATAACAAGAGCGTTGGAGTATGAGCTAGATTTGGGTGCGCAGCCAATATCCCTAGCCATCAGCCAGGACTCCCGGCAGCTGCTTGTCAACAAAGGGGACAGTGAGGCCCAGCTCATCGACTTGTTCACGAGAGCTACGGTGCAGAAATTCCTCGGCCACATGACGGACCAGTGCGTCATCCGCGCCTCCTTTGGCGGGGCCAACGAGAGCTTTGTCATGAGCGGCAGCGAGGACGGAAAAGTGGTCATCTGGCACAAGAATATAGGGGCTGCTGTCGAGAGGTTGTCCAGCTTTTCCGGCAAGCGGTGCAACTGTGTGGTTTGGAACCCGGCCGATCCATACATGCTCGCCTCGTGTAATGATGACGGAAAAGTGCGAATGTACGTTGGGCCAAGAAAACTAGCACTTTCCGCGGTTTTTTCTTTCTTTCTTTTTTTCTATTTGAGATTGCTAACAAAAGTCGCAGATGGGCTAACCGCAAGAGAGGCGTGGATATCAGGTCTCGGATACCCGGGTTGACGGGGTGGAAACACCATCAAAATGAACCCGTGCCGTTCTAGGCAGGGAGGACTGACTGGTGGACATTGGCCCTGGACTCGGTCATCCAGCGGCCTCCTTCAAGTAGGCGCATATACTACGAGTTGTTCTATCTTGTTACACTTTTACTCCGCATTTTTTCTTGGTTTAGACACTTTTGCCACGACGACAATAGAGAAATGCACGCAGGACGGGGGGGCGGTACGCATTCTTCATCTTCATCCTTGGTCGGTTTTGTTGAACTATGGCTTTTCGCGGCCCCAGCCTGGATCAGTCTACAAGTTTGTTTTTTTTCTCCTCTTTTGTTATTGGCCATATGATGCTATAAGAAGGGGCTTTTTTGATGGCCTCTATTTTTATTTTTTATCCTCTTGGTCACCAGTTCACTCTTTTAGTCTTTGTCCGGTTCGGTTCGTCTTTTCCGGCGTTGTAGCGATGGGCGGGGGTGCGAAGGAGGAAGAGAGCCATGTCTCATCCGTCGGAGCGAATACCTGCAGGATTTGGGTTGCTGGATGGGGCAAGGGCTGTTTGTTTGTGCAAGGTTACATGTAGACTGGGACAGCCCTCGACTTGGTACATGCCATCTCCCATTCTCAAAGACCAAAAAAAATATTTTAAAAAAAAATAAAGATAAGCGATTCTAAATATACCGAGGAGAGAGACCTTGAATGTGTGACGTGAGGTTGCGAATGGCGGGCTGCGATGCCACTGGTGGGAGCTTTTGTCGGTGAGGCGAAGGCGAGTGATATTCCTTCCCGAGCAAAGGGATCACAAAATCCGGGGTACACGCAGCATTAGAGTTAGGCGCAGATGCAAGATCAATGGAAACCTTGTCGTGCGTGTGCAGCAAGCACCAGCGTATCCCAGGTCATGGCCAGTACAACATATGCTTGGGTCGGGCGTTATCACATACAGGGACGCTTTATCAAGGCATTTTTGGCAGCGTTCAGGGGATGGTCCATGTCGGCAGTGAAGGGGGTGCGCGGGCATATGCATGGAACGGTAAACCCGAGCACACCGAACCGCTTCTCGGCAAGAAATAATTTCTACTTTGCCCTAGTTTCGGTGTCTTTTTGAGGCTGATAAAGGGTTCCCTTGGGCGTCTGCCACAGCGGACCAGACTTGCACGGTTGGTGGTGTGGTGTCACATGGGCGCGTCCTCGAGTGTCATGACTTGGCTCATCTGGGGAAGTGGCCGGCTGGACACGGGGACTAGTTTGCTTGTTTGTACGATTCGTTGGCGAGACGGAGGCGGCTTGTTGCGGATGCTAGCGGCGGTGAGATCCGACATTGTTGAAACCATGGAAAACATGCGTGCCACAAGACGCTGAGCGAGCGAGGCCGGTGGGGACAGCCACGGCGCTTGAGTTTGCTGCCATGTCGATTGAGACAGGACGGCCGTTTGCCGAGGTTGGCACTGAATGGAGACGTTATTTCCATTTTTAGCTTCTGGTCCGTGATGCCTCCAGCTGTCAAAGAGCCAGTCCATCTGGCAAAAGTTGTCACTTCGGGCTGGCTTCTCTGTACCACGCGGAGCACAGGTCCAGGCGACCCAGTTGGCCAAAGCTCCGTGGTCCAACCAGAGTTCCAGTCATGCGGAATGGGATGGAGGTCCGTACTTTAATTTGATCCGCTACACTGCCCGGCCATTGAGGGGGTTTTGTCCTTGCCGGTTGTTCCTGGTGACAGCACCGATCGCATTGCATTCAAGAGCCCGGGTCAAACCAGGAGGACCTTGACTGCCAAGGCCATCGTACCTGCATGGAAGCAAATCAACCACAGCGTCTCAAGTCATCATCTGATGAAAGCTGCCAACCCGCTTGCTCTCCCTCGGGCAGCCGCCTTGTCAAGATCCATGTCGCCCGACGACAGGTCCGAATAGAGACGTCAGTCAGTCCAAACTGCGGCATGACAAACTCCTCGCCAACCAATACTTGAATATATGGATCCGAGATACTCCGTACAGGCGCCTCAACCAAGCTATTGGGCCCCATGCAGAGATGGTCTAGAGATAATTGGCCCTTGCTTTCAGCCTCACCAACTCGACGACCGAGGAACAAAGTTTTGGTAGGCTCTGGTCCCCCCCATCGTTCGCGAGTTCGAAGCACGCCAAGAGATTCTATGGTCCTTTTTTTTTGGATTCAAGAAGAACGGTCTGGGGCAAGTGTGGCAAGAGACATGGGGCATTTGCCACTCGTCAGTACGGAGTAGCATCTCCACCAAGTCTCACCTTTGTCAACATGCCTTGAAATGCACAATCAGTACCAGGCATTCACCGCCCAGTCGAAAATGCGAACCAAATATGGCATGACTAGCGGACACGTGCCCCCTGTTCTTCTAGAACCCCTGGATTGCTCTTGTTCCACTAAACGGCCCGCATACACAATGATGCAGGGGTTGAAGAAGAGGCGTAGGACCTAGACCAACAGCGCGATCGAATGGCAATGGAGATTTGAAACCTCGACCGTACTCTGTTGAGATGTTCCAGTGTCGGAACATATAATCATAAGAGCATGGAAATTGATGGCGGCGGCGGCGGCGGCGGCGGCGGCGGTAGTTGTTGTTGAAGTCGTAGTAGTTACAGTAGCTGCAGTGATTTGGCATGTCACAATAAAGTTTCACCGACTAGAACCGCATGCGGCCAAGACGTGTTCCTGACCGTTTGGGTTCCATTCAGGTTTGACAGCATCCTCGTTCTGACCGCTGGCCTTGGTCGGTAACACGGAGATTGTTGCATGAGTTCCGTACAGAGTACATTGTTGGAATATGCTGCAAGACGATGGCCTCTGCGAGCCAGTTGCCACTCTTCCCTTTCATCTCGCCTGGCCGTCATGGACTAACATAAAACTGCGCTTGTCAGGCGAGCACAGCGTCAAAGCCATTGCGAAAACCAACCAGCCTGGTCCCTGCCGGATCCGAAGCGACCCATACCGTCGGAGAAGGCACTGTTGCAAAAGAACTTTGGACTTCAAAGCAAGGGAGAGCCTGAGTAGAAGAACGTTGGTTGCATGAAATCTGTCTTAATGCCGCAGTCGCCCATCTTGACCGTCTCTAACTATGGGTAAGGGGAGCTGAATGAGTTGAGAGATTGATATCTCCCGGTGCATGTGCGGTCGTAGTCACGGCGTCGGTAATGCAGGCAGTACCACGAGTTGACCCGCAGTTTCAGATATCTTGTGGCATCAGAAAACAGAGCCATTGACCACCACGTCGATTGGCCTGCAATTGCATTCGGCTTTGACCCCTTTGATCAGGGACCAGCAACATAGAACCGCCCAAGATTCAGCAGTACTGCCACAGATTGAGAATTGGCGCAATGGCCTGTCAATCAACCAACGACTAGCCAGCGCATTTCTCCCTCTGTTTAGACGTTTTAGTGCCTCGGACAGGGGCCAAAGTGGCGGCATGACAGCGCAATGTCTCAGAATACACTTGCATCCCGCACCGGGGTTTTTTTGCTTTTTCGTTCCTGCGCACATCCTGAACACTGCGGTATCCGTTGGTCCGTCCGATACTTTGGCAGATATTTACTCCTCGGCGCTTGTCACACACAATGACAAGGCCGAACAACTCGACCGTTGGCTCAAGCCACAGTTATTGCCTACGTTGTGGCGATCGGCCGAGGTGGTGCGTCCGTCCAGTTGCATGAGACGCGAAATACGGGATAGAACAACCGGCATATCCGTTCAAGTGGCCACCGCAATGACCCGCATGATGTGGCGGCAACATGGGGTACAAAGTACCCTACGATTGGGGAATAATGATTTGGAAAACCAGAGGGACCCGAACAGACGGATGCATTCCAGAACACCAAGATGAAAGGCGCCATGCTTGAAACTGGATGTTTCTAGTCTTTTCCCCAGTTTAACGTGAGACGGCATAGGATGGCATCATCGAGTGCGTTTTCCAGGAAGCAAGTACTCTTCTGCTCCAGATGATCCCCAATCATGTAAGTTCAACCCGAGGAGGGTGGTCTCCAAGCCACGTCGACGTTCTTTTGCCCCGAAGAGACATATCAGACGAAGACCATTGAGTTGCGTAGCATATCCGCGCTAAAGCGAAGAGGATTGAGCTAGAGACAGCCCTTCACGGGCTATGCTGAAATCAAGTTCATAATTCTGATGGTCTGAATGTTTCGTACCGTTTACAGTCTAGCCATCGGACTAGGGGCAAAATGGTGGCAAGAGCCAAGAGTGGCATCTTGTTGGTTGTCATGATAAGACATGATGGGCTGTCGCATTAACCTTGGTCTTGGGAGCGCTTTCCCATTCGCCAACAACACACCGTCCTTCTGCTTCATACAGGTATCCCGAATGCTTCGGAGTATCAGGCGTAGCGAGGTAGCCGACTAGACTCTATTCCCGCCTCGTGCATCTCCCACGGGTTATCAGCACGCGCGAGACGACTAGGCACATAGTATACCTGTCGTCCGGCGCTGTTAAAGTGCAGTTCCATGCATATCAGATGTAAACGTATGCCATTGTTTTGCATGCGTTAGCGTGCGACGCACGGTTTTCCTATCGAGGGCAAGGGAACCTGGGCAGGGTGTTCAACCGGAATCGCCGTAGCCTACTCGGCGTCACACTTTGAGTTGTCGCTCTCATTTATTGATCCCGCGATATGAAGGGAAATATCCATCCGGATCAGGAAGAAAGGCTATTCAGGGAACTGAATCATGTCGTAAAGGCAGTTGCCTCCTGTCTTGAGCAAGCCAGTCACTGGGCGACTGTTATCGCCTGCCAATGGCACAGCCCGGTTTTCATGTGTATCTTCGTTCCTGGCGGCACGCATTCAGCTGAAGAGTGCTCATGTGGCTTTACGGATATTAAGTTGGCTACTCCATAAGTCGTAGTAGTGTCTGTGTGTCCCTGGTCCCTGGCCGGGCCGTCACCACGGTCAGTGCAACGGCTGCAGTAATAATTGTCAAGGTTGGATCGAAGGCCCGTGTACTGAGCTTGTTCAAAGTATTTGTGTCTCTACCCACCAGAGCTTGCGTCAGCACAATTGCGCCCTGCGGATAGCAAATTGGACAATGCTTGCAGTAATACGGCGTCTGAGGATATCGGCACAGTCTTGCATGAAAGCGGATGTGCATTTTGTAATATTTCGGAAGGCCCCAGAGTTCAATTCTGGAGGTACTACTCCGTACTTGGCATGAGACCCCAACATTCTTGGGTATGCTGGGGGAAAATTACTTTGCTCCCAGTCTTGTACGACAATGTCCGTGGGGAACGGATGTGCGTGCCCATGGCAGTTTGCCCTTGCTGGCAGATATGCCGTCTGTGCATTCATATGCCGCTGGATAAGAGCCGAGGGATTGGGGGAGTTTTTCTTTTCTCGCCATTTCTCCTCTTGACTGGCCTCGCGGGCTGTACCACGATCCGAAACACGCGGCCAGAAGCGAGTGCCTTGGCGACAAGATGTCTGAGACTTTGAGTCCTCCGGAAGGCCTTCAATAGGACGGGGTGGCGGATTGGACACTTGGCTGCAGATGCGATGCGGGTTTACGGAGTAGAAATAGGGAAATTGAGAAGAGAGTGGTGTGCGCACTCTAGCCTGTTGAAGTCTGGTGCATGTGCAGAGTTGTGTCAAGAAATCGAAGGCTGGCGAACTCGGGCTTTGCACTTGGACATGAATCACACGATTGAGTCAGCTAGTAGTACTCCGTTATGCCGACAGGGCAGCAAGTTGCGGCGCGGTCGTGCCTTCCCTCCTGCTAAAGACATGGCCACCAAAGTCAGGCATCCAACCAGTCAATTGACCCGAATTGAAGTTGTGCACCAACATTGAACACTTGGTAAGCACGTGCTTCAGGTTCACGATGCAAACTGCAAACCAGACTTGTCCCAACGACCAGAGGTTGATTGGGATGTAACATCAACCCTTGAACTTGGACCTCGAACCTCGCGGCCCCCCTCGCGCCCCTCGACCAACGGCTGGACGCACAGACCAAATCCATCCACGACTGATGGTGGGATTGGGGCTGCACAACACCGACACCTGGTGGCTGATGGCGACGGCACTGTGTGCATCGAGGACGACGTGCGGACGACTCGGGGACTGGAAAAGATCGCTGCCACTGAAGCGGGCTGGCGGATGCATGGGACAGGGGTCTGGGGCTGTTGCCACGCTTGAACACCATTGTGTTCCTGTGTGGTTTGATGTTAATTTCGCCTGGGGATTCCAAGGTGCCTGGACACGGACCACAGGCCTCAAGGGCTTGATGGGCCTTGACCCGGCCACGACCTGGGCTTGCAGTCGGCTTGCAGCCATGCTTGCCACGGCGTGCAAATGGCGCCTTTGGCTCCCCAACTCCCCATGACGGAGGCGGATGGAGGCAGATGGCCCTTGAGATTGCTGGGACCGGGGCATGGACCTGTGCATCTGGCACCAACCCATGCCTCATCCCGGTTTCTCCCACGTCAGTCCATCGAAGGTTGCTTCCACACCTCATCGTCCGTCATCCTCCCGCCGGAAAGCCCAATGCGGGATCGCCCTTGGTCCAAGGTGTTTAATACCAAGACCAAGAGACAAAAGTGACTAGTGACTAGCGACTGGCCGTCGACTTGGTTAAACACCATCATACTCCGTGCCAAACTTCAGGACCCATAATAGCCCAGGCGGTCCATTTACCTGCTGCTCTCGTTTCCGCTGCTGCTTACTTATTCTCTTCTCGTCCACTTTTACGCAGTCGTGTGTGTTCGGCGTAGAACAATAACGTCTTCGTTGCCCCTTATTTCCATGTTCCCTCTTGCATCTCGGGCGTATCTTTTCTGGCTTGGACCCTCGCTGCAGTGCAGTTCCATCTAGCAAAGTTTGGCTTTTCTAGTTGCCCGCCAAACACTCGCCAAGGACATTAGCAGCAAGAGGAGGCTATACTCGAGTATCCACCAAGGAAAGGAGTCGACAATACGGTTGAAACATAAACGCGAGCAACAGCAGCCAGGCCTCTTTTCCGCTGCGGTCCCAATCTCTGCCTTCTCAGAATGCGACCTTAACCGGAAACAGACCACCGGCCTTTACTCCGCATCTTGCTCCCATTTTCTGGCCAGCAACTTGTCATCTTGCTGGCCATGGATAGCCTCGCCGGCCACCTCCAGGTTCCTCCGGACCGGAGTCAGATCTTAGGCAGGCAATCATGGAAGGTGAGCAGCACAACAGCCGTGCTCGAGTCTTTGTTTGATGATTTGGGAGCAGCATGCTTTTGTTCTCTTCTCCCCGCGTCACCGTCAGGCACATCCAATTAATCATGCCGCTTGCTAGACAAGATATATTGCCGTTGGGTCTCGCCAATCCACCACCAGAAATCGGCAAGGCAGCTACGGCTTCACGCAGAATGGCAGCATAGGCCGCGTCAACACCGTCATTTCAAAATCCGTGCAAAAGAATGCCATTGACGAACAATGTCTTTTCATTTACAAGACCAAGGTAAAGCGCACTGCTCCCCAATCGCTACTCCCACGTCGCAACACACGCCACTGACAACGTCCATGTTTAGGAAGACTGGGAGCCGATCCAGCAATGGCCGCTTAGCTGTGTTTCCGATTGCCAAGTCCAACTTGTCTCCCATCGCAAGCAGGGGCCTGTGTTACCAACTCTTGTGGTCACAGTTTCCGACAATCAACGAAAGAGACGATCAAGCCGAGCTGCAGGTTTTATTTCTTCCAACAAAGACGCAGGAGTGACGACGTTGTGGTTTCGCACGCCTCCCGATAACCGCCATCCCACTCTTCACGAATGGTCTCGATTCATCATGTCCAAGAAGAGCTCGCACAGCACGACAGAGAGCCCCGTGTCCCCGGTTTTCACGTCGCCGTTCCAAACACGATCCAACGACAATCCGGATTACTCCCCTCGACCAGGAAGCGGCAGCCGCGGCCTTCAGCACAAAAGCTCCACGGCCACCCATTCCACCGGGCCCCTGGATCGCGCAACCACCTTCAGCTCGGGCTCCCCAAGCCTACGATCGAAACGAAGCGATATTTCATCCCCTTCTAGCAACAACCATCCGTCTCAAAAGGTGCAGTATGCCATTCCTGAACAGCACTATACAACCATTAGGCCCGGCGATATTGTATCGTCGGGTCCCAATGGAGAGTACCAGGGTCAGTTCATCGAAGGATGGACCTCGGCCCAGGGAAGGTCATCCATGATGAGCTCACCCTCCCGAGGCAGGGATAGCATAAGCTCACACAGCCGGCAGCTTTCTATCCTCGATGAAGGGTCTCCTCCTTGCCCTGGGGAGACCATTTTGGACAGAGCCTTTCAGCTGGGACACATCCCTGGCGCCGGTTCGTATGTTCCCGGACAGGAAAAGCTCAGCTCCATTGCGAGGTTTGATGCCCTAATGCGCGATGCCGAGGAGAAGCGGCGAAAGCGGGACACGATCCAACAGGCCCAACAAACAACCATGACAAGTGCGTTTGATCATGACGATTCCTCAGATGACAATGGGGCAGACCCTGCCTCGGACGATTCCGACTCTGAACGCGATGGCTACTCCCAGAGACGGAACCAGAACGAGCAACATGGCGCACTACTCATGTCGCCATCTGCCCAGCGGGCCTTGGCGTACATTGCAGGCCGTCACGACGGCGGTACTCTGAAGAACCCAAAGTCTCATCGCCCGGGTATGTCGAGGAACAACCTTAGTTTTCATGCAGATTCCGCTCCCACATCCACTATAATCGCGCCACCCTCGCGTCCACACACCGCCCACGCCAAGAGTAGGCCCAAAGCCTCCCGAGCACAAACCACGCCTCATCTGATAGCCACAGCCACGGCAGCACCGGATTTACCCTCGATGACGTCCGGCAAGGCCCAGCAGGACAGCGGACACCATCGTTCCAGCACAACTGCGGAAAAGCGACACTCCAACTCGAGTGCCAAAAGGTTGAGTTTCACCGAGTTTGCCAAGAGGTTATCTAGCACCAGCAGCTTACTGCTCGTCCAGACGAACGCAAGTGGAGGGAGCAGCCGTGCCAGCAGCGAGGTCGACGCCCAGCCGTGCTCGTCCGCGCCGCGCACCAACCTGACTCTCCGCGGGACAGGACCTCTGCCACCACGGCCCCGGGACCGCGAGGACCAAGATAGACGGTGCGCATGGCGAAGCAGCGTTGGCATGGTAGGCACCGAAGGAGGCTTTGTATAGAGTCAACTCTGGCGAGGGACCCTCTCGACCACGGCCAAGCTACCAGCTCTCTACTTAAGTACACTACCGCACCGGCACCAGACCATGACACCAGGAACATTTGCGCCCCCGTCCTCCCGGCCGCCAACCATCTACTATAAACGTTATTCGACTCTTGGCAATTCTACAGCGCGTATACGAAATTTTTCAATGCCAAAACAGCATTCCTATATCGTCACGACCCCTCACGACGGCACTTGATTCACGTCCATTTCATCATTAACGACGGGGCATTCGTCCCTCTGCACAACGGGCAAAGCGTTTCAGCGCCGGGCATATATATATATATCCCCTTCTCACCTTTTTCCCGATTTCTACACCAGGCGGGAAAAGCCGCATCACTTACCACCCGCCCGTCTCATTCACTCGACATTTGCGTATCTGCATACCGGTGTATTTTGGTGCCGGGCCGGCGGCGAGGGCAAGTCGTTGCGGCGGCCTCATGATTTAGCGAGATTTACGATACCATGTGCATTCAATTCACCCTAAGCTATTTCTGTTCCTGTACATATTGTCATTTATGGCGGCAAAAGAAGGACGGGTGTATTTTATTTCCGCAGACGCAACTAGTTATGAAATACCACACTGCGCTCTTCCTAGCTCTCGTGCAGCACCAACATGCCAACCGTGATGGCTGGCTTGACGTCAGCGTCGCTTACTCGTAACATTGCCAGTACTTGCCGCACTGTGATTGTTCCGGGGTCAGTCCTAGCAGCCCCCGCTATTGCACGAGGATTGCGCACATGTCGTGAACTACAGTGGGTGTACACCGTCATTTCCGAACTGTGGGACACGAAATTGCGTAGTGGACATAAGTGGCATGGTTATGAGGAAAATGTCCAGCATCAGATATATACGCCGACTTGGCCATGTTTTGATTATATTGCTTAATTCTACTGCATCCTTTTCCAGTCATCTCATGTCCCAATTGTGCCTACCGTGCGGCTCTTTGCGGTAATTGCCACCTCCACCTATCCCACACGGTTAACATACGTAATACCTGTGTTAACAGCTCACCCGCTCCATGCTCAATGCTCAATGCTCAAATGCCCGGGCTCATTCATTTCACGCGACCCCCCCCCCCCCCCCCCCCTCCCCCCCCCCCCCCCCTCTGACTAGTCACATTTTGTACTGTTTCATCTATATTCCTCTCCGTTCTGCCTCGTCCAACAACCCCGTCAACCCCCCACGGACCACTCAGCGAATATACTGGGCAATGGCCTCCTGCTGTTCTGGGGGAAGTCTCTGGGTGATGAAACCTTCAATAGCCCCACCGTGTCGCCGGTTGGCTTCAACCATGTACTGCTTGACCCACGTCGTCACGTTTTGAACTTCAGGAAAGTCGTCGCGAGCCAGGGGTCGGCACGTGTTGAGAGCAGTATATGTCATGCCGAAACCAATATCATCTACTGAACTCTCCGTTATGATCTCGTCGCCTTGGCCAGCGGCAACAGCGGGAGGGTTTGCGAGCAGGGACAGCAGAATACGGCAGCTGCTGGCCCAGCCTTTCATAAACTTCTGCCCAAACACCTGTGAATCGCATAATGTCTTGGTCAGTGACACGACTGCCGTTTTGCGGTCAACAGGCTTGGCGAGCTTCTCTGTCTCAGCAAGCACAAATGGTGGATACACTTGGGCAAATGCACCTGCATCCAACTGGTCTGATTGCTTGATGAAGAAGTCCGCACCATAGCCAGCTTCAAGTCTGGCACTGACCAGATGATAGAAGCGGGCGAAACGGATCTTGAACGAGTCGGCAGGAGATCCCTGCAGCTTGGTGTACAGAAGCTGCAGAATCGTGCCAAAATATTTGTCCAGCGCAGAGCTATGGGATCGAGTTAGCTAACGTATCTTGTAATGGACTAGAAGTTGTTCCAGGGCAACACTTACGGCTCAAACGAGTTGACAATGGCATCCAAAATGTCAAAGGCCTGGACTTCGGACTTCTTGAATGCAAGCAGTTTTTGGAAAATGCCAAGAACGGCTTCCAGCTGATTGTTCTGAATAACCAAGCTTGATGCCTTGGGAATGACAGCAGATAACAGACGAACGCAAGCAGGAACGTTGCCACGGGTCTCCCACAAAGGCGCAGCCAGAAGAGGGCCCAGAAGACTCTTGAAGTTCTCAGAAACAGCGTCTGCGGGACTTGACTCGAGAAGCTGGGCAAGAATTTGGAAAATGTAAGGAATGAACTCGGTAACATCTTCAGTAAGGATCAGATTAAATGGCTCCCACAGCTTCTGGTTGAAAATCGCGGTATTGGTCCCAGAGCAGTATCGTACCAATGCACCCATAGCCTCGAAGTGGTAGTAGTAGAACCTTGGGTTGCTAGGGTTGTGCTTCATGACGTTGGTAATGAGAATAAGGTGGGTCAAGACGTTATCTAGCATTGGCGCGGCACCATCCTTGATGACGATGAGAATTCTCATGACGCAGCGCATCAAGAACTCGTTTTCTTGCAACTTGGCGGCATTAGTTTCGCGCTCAATCAGCTTGAACAAGTGGTTGAGAAGGTCCTTTGCAAAGGGCTCAATGTCGGTTCGGGGGAACATTTGATTGCCCACATCATCCGCCAAGAACAAAACACGTTCAACAGCAATTGCAGCGTACGTGTAGACAACATAGTTGGACGAGTTCATGTTTTGAATCAACGGCGGTAAAGCGAGCGTCCACTGTTCCTTGGACAGTTGACTGCGGAATGTGTAAAGATATTTAATAGCATCAACTTTGGAGATGGGCTCCACCCCCTCGCTCGCCATGAGATCTGCCGCAATATGCTGTTCAAAGAACTCGACAACATTGACAAGTGGGTTCACAGTCTTGACCCCCTGTGCGGCGGTGACAGCTCCCTTGGCGGCAATAGACAAGAATAGATAGACGGCCGTGTCCTTGGCCTTCCAGTCCGTCTTGCCCTGGTCAAGATAGTGGGTGATATACTTGGACACCGCGGTTGTTACGGGAGTCTCAAATCTTTCTTGCAATTTTCGCAAGAAATCTGTGGAAGACCGGCGTCTTGAGTCCGTATCTGAGCCCTCTAGATCTCGTCGAATAAACTCGATGGGTTCGTCTTCGAACATTTCAATGTCTGATTCTCTCAGGGCAACATTAGGCAAGATGACTTTTTCGACAATTTGAGACAAAACATTCTCATTGTTGAAAACAGCAGCGTGCTCAGCTGTACCGGCGACCGCGGTCAAGAAGTGCAAGCTCTTGCTCACGAGGTTGTCATACTTGGTTTGAGGCCCAACTGTCGATAGTAGGTTCCACGCGCTCGTAATAAAAGGTGCGCAGTATTTTGAAAAGTCCTCATCATACTTGATAGTATAAAGCTCCAGCAACTCGCAAATTCCTGCCTTGGCTGTGTCGACAATACTCGCCTCGTCGTCATCATCTGTCTCGAGCAGTGGGTTGTTGTAGGTCAGGTATTTGTGGAGAAGCTCAGAGATACTCGCAAGGTTCTCTTCAAAAATCGGGGGAAGGTCGTGAGAGGACATATCATGTAGGATCTTGATTTGCATGTCGAGGGTCTCGAACCACCCCTTGAGGGCATTTTTGTCGTTGGCATGCGCGGCGATTTTGCTGTCAGTAGTCTAGGCGATGTGTCAGCATCCCAAAGACAGTGCTACGCTTGAACAACTTACCACCAGCAACTGAACAAAAGGCTGGCCGAACGTGGTGATGACGTGGTTGATTTCGATATACAACTCGTTGGATCGATTTAGAGGGCGCCATCGGTTAAAAATCGAATGAGCGACTTCGAGGACGCCGACATTGACCTTGGGATCCGTGGTAGAAAACCGACTAACCAGCTCCTAATTATTCAGCTCAGCAAAAGCTCCCGGAATATGGCAATATGGACAGATCGTACTTGGGTCAAGGTATCCCACCGCCTCCAAAAGTCGGAGTCTGCAATGACGCTGATTGCTTCGCCCAGCTGTTTCTGAACATTTGGCGGGCTCGAGATCATCAAACCAATCAGGCGCTCCTTTATTATCTGAACCTCATCCTGTGAAATTTTGTAGTTGCCTTCCTCATCCTGAAAAACACGTACAGCTTTAGTATTTCGATCGAGGGTCGAGGTGGGGGGAGTCGGTACAGGCACGCACCACGTAGTTGGAACGTATGAAGTTCTTGAAGGCCAAGGAAGCAGCGAGTCGGGTATTGGGGGGAAGAGAGTCGGAATTGACAATGTTCAGCAAGGTGAGCGAGTATTGGGGCTTGGTAGCCTCTTGCTTCAGAGCATTCTCGGCTGTAGATGTGTTTTGTTTATTAGTACTGGAGAGCGGGGCAACAGCAAAGCAAAGAGAAAAAAAGTCAGGACGGAGGTATCTGCCGTACCTTTACGGTGCTGGGAAGGATCGAGGGTTGCATTCAGGAACTGAGAGATTTGCCCAATGTCGGCCGCCATGGTGAGACCTCGTGGAAGAGAGCTGCACTGTGGTTGTGACGTTTGGAGATGGAGAGAGGCGGTGGTGTTTGTTGGAAACAAGAGATGTGATGTGGAGGACTTTCTGGCGTTGCGCAGCTGTTCGCCTTTCCATGGCGACGGGTCGACCAGGGTCAACCACGGGTTGCGTGTGGGGAGCTCGGATCAGATCAACGGTACGGAGAAGACGGGGTGCGCCTGCACGAAGCTGTGCCGGCCGTGCCATTTCAACTAGAAACTCGTGGATAGGGAGACAAGTCCCATATCTTCCCCCGTATGCGCTTTTGATGGCCTTTTTCCCCCAATATTGTATAACAGTTCGTCCTGCAACTGTTTATATTAGCGTCTGGTCTTGCAGATCTCGTGGCTCTGCCAAGATCAAGCCCACCCCGTCAACTGCCTACCTACCTAGGTATACATGCATAATAGAGTACACAAATTGCGAATAAAGCACAATTGACATATTGAGCACGGCATTAATCATTCTGTTGCCCTGTAAAATGATCAAGCTTTCAGTAAACTTGAAACAGGCACCGAAGCTTGTCGCTCCCGCCACAAAGAGCAATCTTGGCGCTAAAGCCCTCGAATAGGAAAGGTCGGGTGCGAAGCAACGCTTGACTGCTCGCTCCAGCCCTACCCTATGGTTCAATCATCTTGAGGTCAGAAAGACACTACGGGGCGCTTTGTATACTTGCTTTAAGTATCGTTGGCTTGTCGAGCGGCCTGGCACCTGAACTTGCGGTCTGGTTGACATCCAAGGCCTTACGATGTACCGTCAACTGGTGCAAGTGTGTCAACTGCTAGGCACGTAGTACCAGCTAGTTGACTTGACATAGCCACGGAACTCAGTACTCGACAAGCAGCCAACATTGAAGCCTTGAGACCAGAGAAGTTGCTGGTATCATGTCATTAGGCGGTGCGATGCCCAGCTGCCTACCTAGGTAGTTCCCTACCAGACTACTTCCTGTAGGTACTAAGTACCCAGCCCCCCCAGCTTAGATGCTCTGTCTGCAGATGAGGTCAGCGAGCGCAGATTCTTCACTGAGCTTCAATGCAGTAACCGTCATGGTGGGGCTCTCCCCATCCTCCCTTCCTGCACAAGCCACACTGCATGTACTGTTCCAGCCAAGCTGCATGGCTTCTGCCCACAATCGCAGGTACTGGTACTTTCGGATAAGTGCCACCCAGGACTCCCGAGTGCTTCGCTTCATAGTGGGTAAATATGATCCAAAAAGCGACTGCATCGCATCATCACCACTTCCGGTCTCATCGACATTTCCTGCCCAAATCTTGTCCTGTTTCTCCTACATCCTCGCCAATGCTTGTCCTGGCAAGGTCAATTCTGTGTTCGACTTGAAACCGGTTTTTGGCCAGCTTCGAAGTATATTCCGTCGAGTTTCGTCGTCGTCCCAGTCCCCGTCCTCAACTTGGCGGAGTTCCTATCCACGGTTCGGGCTTCGTCCTAGGTTGCTTTCATCGGTTCTTGGTGCGGCTCGCGGCTCCCTACGCCGTGTATAACTGCCGCCTCGATCTTGAATGCAGTTTTATGTTCAAAGATCGTCTGGGCTGATCTCCAGGTATGCAATCTACGTCTAGCCACGATGGTCCCTGCCATTACCGGCAATGTTGAGTTTTTCGCCCGAGCTTGCTGAAGCGTGGAGTTATCGCAAGGTGGTTGTCTGCCTGCCACGAAGAGCGCAAAGCTGGACTTGGTTTGCCTGGTTGCTGTGTCTGCCTTGCTAACTTGTCACACAGTCCCAACATTTCCGCTACCACTCCTCTCGGCAGACGAGCACATGTCCCCGCAGCCAGAAGATGATCCTACTTCTCCGGATTCGACTCGCCCCGGCGGCCTGGCTACAGTCTTTCGTACCTTAACAAATTCCAAGGCGATCAAAGCCCCGCCTCCTCCTTCGAACCCGTCGGCTGCCTTGCCTCGAGCCGAGCTCATCAATGCCATCCCAACAAACTCCCAGGGGCTGTCCACTAACCATATGGATGCATTTGAACAACTCAAAAACGGCAGCCCCAGCGAGAGAATCTCCGCCGCGAATACCTTAAAGTACGCCATTACTGAATATCCACTGAATCCGATTCTGGATATCTGGTACGCTGCAAAGGACCTCATCGATCCAAACAACTCAGCTTCGACGAGAGCTGCTGGCTGGGAACTATTGACGGAATGCGCGAAACATGCATCTTCGACCGATTTGGAGCGGAAAGAGTACTTTCAAACTCTGTCCGCATCTGCTAACCCCGAAGACTTCCATCTGCAACTTGCAGCTCTAGTCGACCTGACAAGCCGTGGCCGTGTGCTGGCTGGCTTCGACTACGATTTATTACCTCTTCTGACGATTTGGCTGCAAAATGCGTACAATGCAGCCCGTATCGCGAGGAAAAACTCTCATCCTGGCCGCGGTGCCGGCGGTTCTTCCAGGGCCAAGACTGCAGCATTGGGCGAAGACAAAAACTTTGCACAGTTGTTTTTATTTCTGTTGGATGTCATCAAGTTCAGCTTCAACACAGCTGACGAGCCGGCCGTCACCGATCTAATTGACACCATACTCACCATCTGCATGAATACAAGTCAGGAGGATGACTTGCGCTCCTGTATCAATGTTCTAGATGCAATTGTGACCTTTGGCTCTATCCCGCAGAGTAAACTGAAGGACTGTGTTCAAGTTCTCAGCTCAATCTACTGCATGGTTCCCAACTTGCAAAAGAACTCGTGGCACACAATTGCTAATCTATGCAAGTCACACAATGGCCAAGCGACGGTTCGAATCATGCTTGATATACTCAGAAATTTGCAACCTGGCGTTAATGAAAAAGACTCGAGTAGAGAAATTCGGGGAAGTTTGGCTGTACTCCAGAAGCTGCTGTCGAAGACGACTGAAAAGGGCTATCCGTCGGTTCCGTATGCATTACTCGTTGATGGACTATCGAATACGCTCAAGGCCACAAAGTCTTTACGAGTCTACGCCGCGGTCTTGCAATTGATCAATTCCCTGTTCGACGATGGACTCGGCAACATCCACCGTCTCATCGTGGATGAAGATTGGTCGACCTCTCTTGACGTTGCGGCTGAGTGTTACCGACGTGTTCATGAGGGCGCTGACGGACAACAAGGCATTCAGGCCAATGACGAATCTCTGGAAGCTGTGGTTGACCGCGAGCTCCTGACGCTCGTCCGACGCCTAGACACTGTCATCAAGGAGAAGTCTCGCGACTTTGTACCCCGACAAACCATTGTCAAATTCTTTACTGATGTTCACAACCTATTGCCAGATGAAACAGCCAAGACTGTTCTGGATTACTTTCAAGAATTTCGGTGCTGCTCTCCGTCTGATTTGAGGTGGGAAGAAAACCTGAATCTGGTGTTGGAAGCCTTCTTCAGTAATCGCAGTCGAAGCTCCGACACAAGACTTAGGGCCCTCCATGCCATGATGGACGCGTACGAGATTGTCGACCTTGTTGGTGATGGTGCAGAGCAGAACTTCATTCCGAGGATGGCCAAGAGCATACTGCAAAACATTGCTGAAGAAGGTGACGTTTTGGTACTCGATGCCGTCATGCCACTCATGGTTTCTGTTGTTGTGTCATGCGACATGGAACTTTTTGACTTTGTTATTGATGCTTTGAGAGCCATAGTTGTTGGCGATAGGCTCAAGTCTCCCATATCACCTTCTGTCTTGTCAACTACGATTTCTCCAACAATGATGGACGGAGCTACGCCCGGTCTCCGACAATCACAGTCTCCTTCAAATGTCGTTACAAGAGGTTACGTCAGAATGTTTCTGCGACTCATGAACTCACATAGCTACAAGAGTGTGAAGTTGTACAATACAGTGGTCGGCATTGCTAAAACGAATCACTGCGAAACTGACGCCAGGCTAACGGCGATGAAGCTTTTGTTCCGACTACGCGCCGATTGGGCCAACAGAGTCTTTGTCACGGATGACCTTGACAATATTTCTCTGGCAACTGCCATGTATCGTACAGACGCCTCGTTTGCCAAGAAGCAGGCCGAGGAAGCAGCTCAGTCTCTTCGTTTGTCAAGAAGCGATCATGGCAATCAGTCCCGATCCTCGCGAGGGGTGTCTCTAAGTCAGTCTCAGCATCAAGAGCGAGGTCATCCAGTACGAACACCAAGCGGGGCCAAGACCATTGCTGCAAGATACCACCAGCTTTGGAGATGTCCAGACCCGCAGGCCCTGCCAGAACGAATCCCTAATCTCATTAGTCCCGTGCTCGTGTCTCATTCGACAACGACTGAAGCCAGCGACGAGAGTGAGGATGCAGACGAAGCCGCATCGCATGTACAGCAGCAGCGCAAACCATCAGTGCTTAATATGACAAATTGGCTTGATGCCGTGCTCGATATATTACAAGGCAGTGAATGGGAGATCTATAGCTTCGCCCTCGTCCACCTGCCGTCACAACTCAGCAATCATGCCATATTCAGAGATGTAATTCCACAGATTCAAGAATTACGTCGAATTATTTGCGATCAAATCCGAACGAATAGCTTTCAGGAACCTCCATTCGTATCTGGTCTGCGACGGGCTGATGTGGCTATATGTCTCTTCCACAGCCTGACAATGATTCTAAGCTACCACGAGCACTTTGGCAAGGGTGACGAGGATGAAATTGTAAAGACATTCATTCTTGGTATCGGTACCTGGGAACGTACCGCGAAATACTGCATTCACGCCTTGTCGATATGCTGTCACGAGCTTCCTCTCTCTACTAGCAAATCCCTTGTTCAAATGCTCAATCAAATGGCAGCAAGCATCACGCAGCCTCACGTGTCAGTTCATATTCTAGAGTTCCTTGCCTGCCTGAGTCGGCTACACAATGTATACGTCAACTTTAGAGAAGATGAGTACAGAATTGTATTCGCAATCTGCTTCCGCTACCTGGAGTATGCAAGGGACAAACGACAATCACATCGCGGCAGCCACAACGGTGAACCTAATGCAGCTGGCGTGTTTGGTGCTGCTACTGGAGAGCCCACGCAGACGGGTCCTCCCTCCGAGGAGCTTCCTCAATATGTCCATGCTTTGGCGTACCATGTGATTTTATTCTGGTTCCTGGCTCTCAAACTTCAGGATCGCGCCACGCATGTCTCGTGGATTGTCAAGAAGCTGTTTTCTGATCCTGATAGCTCTGGACAGAATGCTGACGAGCAAGCTCTTACCTCGATCGACTTCATGCAGAGAGTCACGTATGCCGATGTGGACGAGTCTTGTGAAGATCCGTACTTTACTGAGGGTCGATTCGGACCCATTGTGAAGAAGCAATGGATCATTGGAAACAGTATTGTGACAGTGAAGCAGGCGACAATATCGGGTTGGGCGCAAATAATCAAGCGACAGCCTTCTGGGACGTCGGCGTATACGATCCGGGAGACCTACGCGACGCCTCCACCACACCAGGTCGAGAACCATGTTGACGTGAGCCGAGAAGGCCAGCCGACCAGCAATTCTATTCTCCCCAGTCATGTGCTGGTTCAACTCATGTCACCTGTGCCCCAGAGCTTTGAGTCCGCACGACCTATTCCGTTGCCGGATGACGATGCCGTTGACCGTGCAATCAGGGTATTTGACCGAAGCTCCAGCGTGGACAGTCATAAGGTTGGCGTTATATACATTGGGGAGGGGCAGGATAACGAGGCCGAAATCCTTGCCAATGTTTCTGGCAGCAGTGATTACACGGAGTTCCTGAACAATCTTGGAACGCTGACAAAGCTGAAAGGTGCTACCTTTAACACGCAGGGATTGGATCGAGAATATGACTCTGATGGCCAATACACGTTTTGCTGGCGTGACAGGGTAACAGAGATTGTTTTCCACGTTACGACTCAAATGCCTACAAACCTAGAACGCGACCCACAGTGCACTCTTAAGAAGCGACATATCGGCAACGACTTTGTCAACATAATTTTCAACGACTCAGGCAAACCATTCATGTTTGATACGTTCCCTAGCCAATTCAATTATGTTAATATCGTGATAACGCCTGCGTCGCGGGCGTCTTTTATCGCAACACGGACGACGGATAGGCCTGGGGCTACGTCTGGACAACCATTCTACAGAGTTCAGGTTCTGAGCAAGCCTGGCTTCCCGGAAATATCGCCGGCATCGGAGACAAAAATGGTATCTTTGAATGCGCTGCCTGGTTTCATCCGCCTCCTTGCTCTGAATGCTTCGGTGTTTTCCCATGTCTGGAACGCCAGAGAGGGCGGCGAGCACATCAGCTCTTGGAGTGGTCGGCTCAGGGAGATTAAGCGTCTCCGAGAGAGATACGGACCGAAGACGACGGCAGCCCTGGTTCCATCGCCGCCGCCGACCTCGTCCTCGCAAAACCAACCTTCTGAGTCCTCCCGCCCAAGCAGTAGCGTGCGGGATAGCTTCAGCAGCTTGCGTCGCACCAGCGTGGCCACTTTCTTCACCAGCACCAGCGAACAGACGTCCCACCGGTCCTCGGCGCTCTCGACCGCCCCTACACATGACACTGAAGTAGGGAATGCAAATGGAGGAAACCCGTTAGTGGAGTCTGTCGACTTTTCGAAATGGGCTTGAAGGACATTTGTCTTTTGACGTTGAACCATGTCAGGGGCGAATGACCTATGTATGATGAACTGTTTTTATGTACTTTTTTCTTTAGAGGCGTCGATCATAGGGAGGGGGGAGGGTTTTACATTTGGAATGAAAAGTTTTTTCGACATTTCTAATTCAGCTAAAGGTTGACGTTTTGCTTATTTTTGGCATACCCCATTTTAGTATAGTTATTCCCCGGTTTTCATAAGGGAAGCGAATGAAAAGACAGAGGAGCGTCAAACAGGGACGAGGTAGAAGGGCGGTAGGGAAATGCCGAAAGCTGCACTAAATTATAGGCATTTTATATCATTGAAATTTTGACCGACATGGTTGTTCTCATGGTGATGGTATCCTAGCCGAGCCTCAATTTATTGACGGTGTGCGTTCAAATACGGAGTATCCTAGCGTCCGTTCCGACAGGGCCCACTCGCCCCACACGCCACCGCAAATCACGGCACGGTACCAGACAGTAACACGCGCCGGACATGGAATCACTCAACGCGTCAAGTCTAAACTTGATCGGAAATATTGACCCAACTGGTCTCACGTCAACTCACGGGAAAGCAAATGGGTTCAGCTCCCCAAGGGAGCGGGAAAGTTGAGTCGACTTCTGCGGCGGCTATGCCCAACCCTTTTTGGGCGATAGCATCCTGTCGGTGACGTTACAATGGCGGACGACAGCATTGATGGCCTTATTGAAGACATGGTCAATGGTAAGAAGCCATTCCGCCATCGAGCTCTTGACCCGAAGCTCACCAAACACCAGCGGCAAAACTCCCCGCCAAAGCTCGTGCCATCAACATCAAATCCACTGTCGCGTCCTTCTCTACTCTTGCGTATGAAGAAGGCATTGTCCCTGCCGCCCTCGACCGGCTGATCGACCTAGTCACCATCCCTAACTATCTTGATCAAGCCAGTTTAGCATCCGTGGTTCGGAACCTGTACCCAGCTGAGCGGGTGTCCCCCAATGTTGTGCTCCATGTTGTTTCGGCACTGGGACATGGCGCGCTCAAGGCACCGCTCAGCCTGCAGGCTGCGCTGCTGAAATGGCTGGTGATGGTGTATCATGTGTTGGAGACGCCAGCCGTCTTGGCGCAGGCGTATTCGGTTTTATTTAATTTGCTTGATACTGCTGCTATTCGGTGCGTATACTCGGCTTCACGACGCTCCAGGCTGCAGGGGTGGACAACTGACTTTGCTGACTTTGCGTGATTTCTTTCAAGGCCGCAGCTGGCGCATTTATTGGCGTTGATTACGAGGAGGAAGCATGTGAGACCATTCCGGATTCAAGCCTTGTGAGTAACTGTGGCGCGGACGTGGGCGAAGACGTAGTTACTAACTTGACCAAGGTTGAATCTATCGAGACAAACTGGCAATGACCCGCCATTGGTGGGCTTGTTGAGGGTGTTTAAGGATTATTACCCCGAAATTATTGTGGGTGAGGCCGTTCGAGGCAAGGCCTCTGCCTTCAAGGTAGGCTTCTTTTCGGATGGGCAAGGTGATGTGCGCGCGTGTGCTGATGAACACAGCACCCCGATGTCTTGTGGCGCTCCAGGCTGGCTGAGATTCAAGACGCCCACCGTCAACGCGTTGCGGAACAGAGACCGACGGGGCCTCAAAGCGGATTCAGGGTTAATAGACCTGTCAATCGGGCCCAGAGGAACAAGGCCGTGCCTATTGTGCTGACGTCTCATGCGACAGAGGTAAGAGAACGCCCTGTTCAACCTCGCTGCGGGACGAGCTGTTGCTGACATGGGGCCAGGATTCCGTCACACTCGAAGAAGTGGAAGATGTTTCCAGCTTTGTAGCCAAAATGGACAAGCTGGAGCTCCCGAATCAACTTGTTGCCGTACTGGCTGATCCCCTCTTACAAAAACTGCTTATTCTGAGGCCAAATCCTGAATCTTACCAGCGAATATCAAACTGGCTCAGCGCAGTATTCCAAGAAGTGATGGCGGGAGACGCGGATGAAGCAACGCTATGGGAGGTGCTCGAGGTGGTGAGGGAGTTTGTGGTTCAGACCAAGACGATTCCGCCTCTGCTTCTTAGCTTCTTCAGTCAGTTTTTCAACATTTGGGGGGGCGAGGGGAAACGAGATGTTTGTTTTGACATTCTTGGCTTTACGCCCTTCCACGACTTTGGAGGTGCGCATCTACAATTTTGATTCGGCCGTTGGACCATACGACTGACATTGTACAGAACTACACCGACTCATATTCCAGCCTCTCGAGGCAGCTGTGCAATATTTTGCACCCGGTTCGCAACAAGGCCTTTTGCAAATGTACACGAATCTGCTCAGACAGTGGACGGCCATCTTGCAAGCAAGCGACAGCATCCCCGAGCACGCCAGCGCGACAATCGCCTCGCTCGTCCTGCACACAAACACGCTTGCTCTTACCCTTTTACAAACATCTCCATCCGTCACAACCGACGCCTCCATCCTCGACTTTTACGAGCAAACCACGCGCGTAATCACCGACGCGAAGCTCAAGCGCTACGTGCGCATCGAGCTGCCCCCTTCCCCGCTCATATACACCTTCCTCTTCAATAACTCCTTGGCCACCGTCTCCCGCATCTGCTTTATCCTGGCCTGCTACAAAAGGGGCATCGAAACGGCCGTGGCCACCCGGCCCCGAGCTCCAGCCGCGGATGCCGCACCTCGGATCGACTCGCACACCTATGACCGGCCCTTTGTCAACCTCTTCAACGGCTACATCATGGACGTGTGCAATTTGTTCTGGAGGAACCGCGGCTTCAACGACACCGACACCAACGCGCAGGCGTGCACTCTCTCGCCCGCCACGGTCAACGCCCTTGCGGCGTACGCCGTGTCCGTCGACCGCGCGCTGCCGCTCACCTCCTTCTTTTCGCTCTCGCACTCGCCCGTGCTGTGTTACCAGAGCATAGAACGCGTTCGGGACCTGGAGGACGACGCGATGGAGCACGATGGTGAGATCAGGGTGCGGCACGGCGGGCCCGTGACGCAGAGCACTCTGACGAGGCTGGCGAATGCGGGCGGAATGAAGCTCAGCTGGCAGGACTACCGGATCGAGGTCCTGAAGAACCTGGCGGACAATGGGTTCCCTGGCATTGCGGAGCTGTTGAAGAATGCCATGACGGTGCTTAAGAGGTCCATTGATGGTAGGTTGAGCATTCAGGGGACGCCGATGCAGCCGTAGTTGTTGTATTTTTCTTCTTTTTTTAATTTACGACGAGGACACGACGTGGGGCATGACGTGGGCATGAAAGCACAGAATATTCGGGTTCATGTAGGATATACAGAAAAACAATGTATTTGTACGTGTCCCTAGTTGAGGGGACGTGGATTAGATCCCTGGTTGACAAGATGGGTATCAATGTATGGCATGTACGAGAAACAGAAAAACAAATCCAACAAAAAATATGTATGCATGCCCTGCCGCCGGGCAGAGTTGAGTCGTGCCGCGTCTCCGGAAACCCCCCCAATTCTAAACGCCGCTCACCGTTGAAAATGCGTGAGGCTGATTTCTATGCGCCGATACAATGCAGTTGAGTGCCGCCGGTCCTTCCCGATACGCCCTCCCCCTCCACACAGCGCCGATGGATTGCAAACCGATGCAGTAGTAGAGTGGCGCACCCGGCCTCTGGCTGAGGCTCTCGTCTTCCACCCTCGCATATACATGCACACGACGAGTCCTAGGCCTCTTTCTGCCTGGACTCGTCGCCGTAGCCGCCGATTTTGATGCCGCCAAAGCCGTACGTCTTGCCCTCGGAGCCGAGACGCAGCTGGCTGCGCGGCCCGCGGGCGCGGAGGTCGTCCTTGAGCCAGGCCAGGACCAGCTCGCCGAGGCGGCTGTTGCCGGAGCGGCCGACGGTGCCGTCGATGCTCCGCAGCATGGTGTCGGCCTCGTCCCACTCCCTCACGGCGCCGAGGTGCATGTGGACGAGGTGCGTGGGCCAGCCGGCCAGGTTGTCGAGGATGTGGGTGGCGTAGACGATGGTGCAGTCGCGCGACTCGGTCTCGCGGCGCAGCCAGGCGAGGAAGTCGGCGCGGCTGAGGACGTCGAGGTCGACGGTGATTTCGTCGAGGAGCAGCACGGTCCAGGGCCGGACGAGGCCCATGGCCAGCTGGACGCGGCGGCGCTCGCCGTCGGACACGGCGTGCATGCGCCAGGCGGTGTCGATGTCGAGCAGGGCGACGAGCTCGTCGCGGCGCTGGGGGAAGGCGTCGCCGCCGACGGAGCGCAGCAGCTCCGGGACGCTGATGTCGCTGCGGACAATGGGGTTGAGCACCCACTCGAGGCCGAGGTAGGTGACGCCCTCGAGGGAGTCCTTGAAGGGGTCGACGCCGCAGATGGCGATGGTGTTGGAGGGCGCGAGCCGCTTGCCGGCGAGGAGGCGGAGGAGCGTCGTCTTGCCCGCGCCGTTGGCGCCGATGAGGAGCGTGCGTGAGCGCGGCGGCAGGTCGAGCGTGATATTGCGCACGCCCGTCGAGTAGTCGGGGAATGTGTACGAGAGGTTGTTGACCTGGATGCGTGGTGGGCTGGGCATTTTGGCGGCGGGCGGGCGGGATGACGATGTGGTGGTGACACTGGTGAGGAGGTGTGTGGTGGAGGAGAGGTGGTGGTTTGACACGGGCGCAGCCGTCGGTGGTCCACATCCCTTTGAGTGCGCTAAGGTGCCACCTCCGTACCTGTCTCCACCCTTTTTCAATACCTCAAAGGTATCTTTTTTGTGGTGGTTTTACTAGATATTTAATGTACTTTAATGTATATTATGAACCATAGGTACTTATAATATTATACTAATAACATGTAAGCTAATGTACCTTTTGATTTAAGAACTGTAATTGGCTCACATCCTTGCTCGCTACAGAATCGGCACCTTAGCGCACTCAAAGGGATGCAAGGTCGAACGACGTCGGTGTCTGCAGATGGAGGACATCGACCTAGAAGACATGATGTTACGTAGGTGCGGGTGCTTACCTGCTGATGTCGGTTAGGGTTAGGGTTAGGAGTCTATCTCTTTGACTGCGATTTGGCTTGTGGAGAACTCCACTGCCATACAATTTTCTTAGGTAAGCGAGTCTCCCCAAGCCAAATCGCAGTCAGAGAGATAGTGGAGCTAACATCAGATAAGTAGCTAGCTTGGATAAATAGCAAGACCTACTATGTATCATACATATTATGTACATACAGCCTCAGCTAATATCGACGAGGCATTGCCACTCCCCACGATTCCCTTTTCCCCCGCACTCTAACTGCCTCAACGACTTGGTGGACTAAAGGCACGAGTCGAGGAATCATGTTGGCGCGCTCATGAATGCTGACCTGCGTACTCCGTACTTGCCAAGGAACCCGGCTCTTCATTTCCGTCGTTTCATTCGCCGTTTTTGTTATGCTACAATGCCAACTTGCATGTATTTCATTCTCAGTTTATGCTTTATGCGCCTAGAGCGAGTTATGCGCTCTGCTAGTCTCCCCCCGCACCCTACAATCATCAATGCCATGATGTTGCCGCCAAGGGCCGTCCAGATGCCGGTATTTTCTCGTCAGCGGCGTCGGTGGGGGTGGGATCAAAGGAAGCGCTGTATGCACATACATACAATCAATGCGTCAAGGGAAAAATATCCGCACCTGTCGGTGTGTCCACTTTGACTAGCGAGCCTACGACTAGTACCATTGTGTTTTCGGCTAAAACATGTCACTGGCTGGTGCACATACAAGTTTATAAACGTCAATCAATCTGGTCTGGTCTGGTCTGGTCTGGCATCTGGCGTCTGGCGTCTGGTGCGTGGCGCCGCGATGTGCATGCCAGAGCTTGCAAGCCCCAAGGAGGGTAGGGGCCACACACATACATGCAGAACGTGGCTGGAGAGCATGAACAGATATATGAGCACTCTCCACGACAATGCAGGCGCATTCCCTTTGAGTCAGCGTGGTAGGGTCCGGCTTTCGTGACGAGCAGGGCTTTGGCCAGTCCAAAAAAATCAAAATGGAAGGTACAGGCCGATAATTGCCATATTTGCACATGCAAAGAGCTACCAGACATGACACTTGACTTCTCGCAGTTCTACAAGATTGGAATCCTTTTCACGCTATTCCGTCACAAAAAGGTACCCGCTGCTCCGTGTAAAGTATCGTAAAATATTTAAGTAAGTGGGAAAGTGGCACCTGGGACCTTGGGTATCTCATCGCCCTCACTAGCATGTGCCATGTGTGAGATAATAAATACATCGGCCCGAGATGGCGTGGAAAATTGACTGGTTCTTGGCTTTGCTTCTGTTCGGTCAATTACAAATAGGGCAGCGCGTGCCGTCTGATTGGCCCCGCCCGCCATTGCCGATACGCCCGACGCCATCTAGTCTTGCATCAAATAGATTTCGAATTTCGAACCTGATCAAGTTTTGCCACCTACACCACGAACAATGGACGACTCCTCGCAGTGCAGGAACCTGATTTCGCCTCATCAAAGTTCGGCTGAAAAGAAGCCGAGCCGCATAGACCAAAAGAGGCGGCGCCTGTGCATGTGCTGATAATGTAACGACTAGAGTAGGGGGTTGGGAATTGTGTTGCAGCTACTATATTTTGATACTCGCGAATGTGCCAACCTCGGGGCTTACACCAAGAGAGACGCGGGCATCGTATTTTCTCCGAGCGGTACGCATCAAGATTCAAGACGAGGTCGGGGTGGTATACTATTGACACTGTAATGTTTTGGAAGTGGTTCATTCAGTATATGGAATTGACCCTGGTCATTGCATCGCCAACCCTCGCGCCGGGACGTGGCAGTTGACGAAGCGACTGTTGCTCTGAACCAGAGGTTCAATGTTGACAAGTCGAGTGAATACTGCAGTAATATTAGTTGAAAGGAATGGTGCATACTGTTTTAGATTTTACGCTTACACGATACTTACATCATGCTTGTAATTTCATTTGACTACAGAGCGAAACAATTTGAAAATTATGCCATGTACAACTAGGCATCGGGTCTGGTGGACCCCGAGAGCCGCGACCCACCGGACAGAAATCGAGAGGTCAGTGCTCATTTCAGACGACTTGTTTGAAGGGTAAACTCTGTTAAATAGCAATCGCCGCAGTTGGTCCGTCTAGCCCAGGAACGTTAGATCTGGTGGAATCCGGGGCTCCCTGACCATGGCGTCTACTCGGCTGCCATTGGTTGCGTAGTGCTGCCGTCTTCTTAGGAGGTGCCGCTGCCGAAACGCCCCACTCTTCTGCGCTACCTCACAGGTCCTGTCAATACTTTTTTCCAAGGGCTGCGATATACTACTAGCGTTATACAAACTTGGAAACAATTAGTACTTGTATTATTATACTGATAGTGAATGGATTTCTACACCTTTTGAATCAGCATTTTTGAGTGCTTCAAATTACTGCTCGCTACAAAAGCGTCACGCTGCTTGCATTGTCCCGTGGAGGCGGATACCACGCGGCCCCCGATGTCGCTGGGGTGGACAGCCATCACGACATGCTCCAAGCATGCATCGGTGCACCCACCCCAGACTGCTTCTCACTGTGCCTGCCGATGGTGGTTCAGAAACCGGCGAGACCGTGGGTGTTCCGGGGACGGGGCTCCCATGTCGCGATTGTGGGAGCATGACATCTGTTTCGCATCTGCCTCTCGTGGCGTCCAAGATGAAACGTCAGCGCTAGCAGAGATAATAGCCCTGCACGTGGGCGAGGTGGAGCAGCCCGTCGGCTCCGGCACTCGACTGACTTTATCGAAGACTGGAGCGTTTTTAAAAGCCGCGCCGCCCCCAACTTGGCTTCAACGTCAAACCCACAAACGATGGTGGTGAACCATCACAGACGCTCCCTTAGCCATCTTTTCTGTCCCTTCCCTTCGTTTGCAATTATCATGCTTCAACTTTTGTAATCCCGTGTCATCAGTCTTTACGGAGCAAAAAAAAAAAAAAACTAGCCCCCGGAGCTGGTTCTCCCTCGTTTTTTTGCAGAAATGGCCACCAAGATGCCTCCGGGCACTATTCGATTGACGGGTACGTACAGCTCCAGCTGATGCACGGAAACAAGGGCTCACCAGGACACGCACAGGCCCGGACAAGAAGATTATCCTGCACCCAAAACCGACAGACGACTACGATGATCCCCTGGTGCGTGCTGCTCCCACGCCGAGATTGATGTGCGCACAACTAACCCGCAGAGCCAGAACTGGTCGGCCCGTCGCAAAGCGCTGCACTTTGGCATCGTCATCTGGTACACGTCGATGACGTTTGTCCTCATCGAGGAGGCGCACGTCACCTACACGGGTCTCCAGCTGGACCTGGGCGTGAGCGACGACGACATCGCGCTCGAGCGCTCCCTCAGCTTCATCGGCCTCGGGCTGGCGGGCATCGTGCTCATCCCCCTGGCCTACCGCTACGGCCGACGGCCCCTGTACCTCATGAGCATCCTGACCCAGACGGCGGCGGCCCTGTGGACGGCCAACGTGAGCACCAAGTCGGAGTACTTCATCAGCAGCGTCGTCACGGGGGCCGCCGCGTCCGTCAGCCAGACGCTGGTGCCCATGACGGTGGCGGACCTCTTCTTCGTGCACCAGTTCGCCACCATGAACGGCCTGTTCCTGTTCGCCCAGGGCGCCGGCGCCTTCCTGGGCCCCGTGGCCGTCGGCTTCCTCGTCGACGCGCAGGGCTGGCGCGCCGCCGTGCGCTGGACCGCCGCCGCCCTCGCCTTCACCTTTGTCCTGATGCTCCTGCTGCTCGAGGAGTCGACCTACGTGCCCTCGCCGCCGGGCAAGGACGCCGAGGGGCCCGCGGGGGACGTGCTCGAGCGCGAGGACGAGTTCTTCAACCGGCCCGTCTCGTGGGCGAGCACCGCGGACCCCGTCGACCTCGTCGACGTCAACCGCACCATGACGATTCCCACACGGGCCGTCGTCAGGCTCCCCGCGCCCCCCAAGACGTGGAAGCAGCGGTTCGCGCTGGTGACGCAGACCAAGCGGCCCATCGGGGTGCGCTTCACGTCCCCGTTTGTCATTCTCGTCAGCTTCCCGGCCGTCGCGTACGCCGCCGTCACGTACGGCTCCGTCATGGCCTGGCTGTCGGTGCACCAGCACCTCTCGGCCATCAAGCTGCTCGAGGCGCCCTTCCGGTTCGACTCGTTTGACGTGGGGCTGTTTGGGCTGGCCCCCTTTGTTGGGCACAGCCTGGGCAGCGTCGTCGTCGCCGCCCTGAACGATCGCTGGGTAGTCCACCTCGCGCGTAGGAACGGCGGCATCTACCACCCCGAGATGCGTCTGTGGCTCGCCATCCCCGGGGCCTTGTTGACGTGTGCCGGGATTCTGCTCTTTGGCATTGCCCTTTCCAAGGTGAGTGGGCGGGCGCCTTGTTCTCCTTGGCGACTCTTGCTGGATGTTTACATGCTGACAATCAATTGCTTGTTTTAGGCGGCTTCTGTGGTTCTCATCGGCGTTGGTTCCGCTGTATTCGGACTCGGTTTTAGTATTTGCCTGGACGTGGCGCTGGCGTACATTACCGACTGCTACCACAACGTAAGTAGATGCAAAAACCGCACCATGGTCGACGTCTTTGTGCGGCAAGGATGCTAATCGAGGTGGTGTAGATGATTGGCGATGCCCTGGCGGGAATTGTCTTTGTCCGGAACCTGATTGCCGTCGTGGTGGGCGTGGCATTGCTCCCGGCGATCCAGAAAATAGGCGTCCTGCAAGCCTTTATCATAGTTGCCGCGACGGCCGCGGCGGTGCTGCTGATTCCCGTCCCGATGATGATTTGGGGCAAGAAGGCGAGGGCCGCCACGGCCGCCAAGTACGAGCACTACTCGCTGGCTGCGATCCCCCCCGCCTCCCTGAAGAGGATACTGAACGAGTGGTCGTAGGCTTTGCCGGAAATGGGTTGGGGCAAGAGGCCGCTGGTGGGCTTTGGTGTCAATTGTTTGGCCTGCCGTGTCACGGGGATGGGATCACGGATGCTGTGATTAATCGAATCGGAGTGGTACGAGTATAATTTGCAAGAATAGGGAAGAAGAAGAAGATATATAAAATGCTTGGGGTTTGTAGGATAGTCTTGGAGGAGAAAGGGGCGCTATTCGTGCGAGACTAGCAAAGAGTCTGGTGTATTGGTCGTTGTGCCTTTTCGTGAAGAAGCACCGCGCACGCTATGCATCTTGAAACAAACGACCAATGATGGCGGCAGCGAGTCCTGCTGTTTGGAGCCCTCCGCCAGCCATGACGAATGTCTATCATAAGCACGGGCACCGGGGGCCGGGGTATGTGAGGCAAGTAATAGATGGACAAACAGAAGATAGAACTAGAACGGGGAATTCAATAGAAAGAAGGAATAATAATGCTTCTCGTAACATGAAACGTAGGTGATGGCCAAACCTAGCGACCTCGGGGGCTGGAGAGTCGAACACTGGCATCTCGCCGTTGCAAAGCAAAACCTAAGAAAGAAATCCACGTCTCCAAAGACTTGGTCTTCAAGGCTTGAAAGACGCGCCATGAAGCGACAGGGTGCCTAGGTTTGCAACAATATCATCATTACCGACTTGACAGGTAAACTGTCCTCGTGCGAGCTCTGTCCGACCTTGTTCGTTCTGATTCTGACCGTCATTCGTGCTTCGCAGTCATCGAGGCTTATCCCGAGGTGCACGGCCAAGCATAGCTGTGGCTGCCGCCGCAAACTCTACGTGTGATTGGGCACACGTAGAGTTTGGAGGGTTGTGCCCAAGAAACGTCGGCAACTCGGGCATCCCTGAAGCGTTTGATGTCCTCTGCCATATGCGTTGGTCTGGAGTATGTTGGAGGGTATGGGCAGCAAACATGCTTGGCGATGGCTTGGACGAGGTCCGGGCAGCCGGCATTCCGGCATGCCTTGCACGTCCTGCGTCGAGTGGCATTGTCGACGGTTGCGGAAGCACTCGACAGAGAAGCGAGGTAAGGGAGGCGGTGGCGGCGACCGGGGTTTTGAACATGGCACTGCCGGGTCAACCTTGTAATTTATCTTGGGCACGGATTCCGCTTTATAGAGATATGTACGTCTACGTGAAGAAGCGCCGTTGCTTGTCGGGCTAGAAAAACGGCGTGGAGGAGGTTTGAACCTCCACCGCTTGCAAGCAGGATGAGGGTGGATTGTTTGAATTTTATGTATACCCTTCACCTTTGCGTTGGTTGTAAGCGACGCAGGTAGCCAAGGCTCGAGGATTCGCGATGGTGCTCGTAAAGGTCCAAGGCAAGGGTTCGGCCCGGGTGATGCATCCACTCCCATACGAGAGGCGATCCAATACAATCCAATACATGGGCTTGGCATTAATGGACACAAAGCCACCTACATATGTATAAAGTAACTGCGTATTGTTGAGGGTCACGATCCCACTCGTGATACTGGGGCCTAATTCCGGAAGGCACAGCGGCGACGGATTGGCCATGTAGGAAGGGTCAGCCACTGAGGAGACGAGGAGTCGAATGGAAGGCCGGTATGATGCACAGTTTCATCACCTTGGAAGAACAGGCAAGATGAGCTTGCAAGTGCAAGTATAATGGGCCAGGAAGCACGCAACTAACGTTTTTTGGAATTTGCAACTATACCATTCGGTCATTTAGACCACAAACCCCGATATTTTCTCTTCTTGATAAGCCGTGACATACCCCCCTTTACATGAATAAATCTACTGGCAGAATTCCCAGCAGGGGCTGCCGATCAAGACAAGCACAACATGCAATGATTTCTCGGCAGCTTTTCAGGGCAACATTGACAACAAGGACGATGACGTGTTCAAGTCGATGTCCAACTGTAGACTGCCTAGGACCCAGCCCGAAACTGGAGGGCACACCCAACGAACCCCTTTTGGATACCTTTGATTGAAAGCGAGCCGGAATAGTCAGTCCTTGGCCACGGCTCATGGCGAGAAGAAGCATGCTCGGAGTGCGTCGACAAATTTCAAGCGTGTTCCTTGGGCGACGCAAGTTGGCAACTTTGCCCCCGTTCGCTGGGGGTTGGTGAGATGTGTGAATAAGAGGGATGGCTGAACATGACACATTTGACTCCGGGCGAGGAAGCTTCCGCAACGGACGGTGGTACCAGGGTACTTGATCAGTCCTCGGTTGCCTGGTGACGCGGTATATTTCGGAAGAAAGCCGCGTTGGCGTGCTTTATCGCCTGCTCCCCTTGGCCACTGGCGGTACTGAATCACGGCTGAACGGTATAAACGGACAAGCGGCATAGTAGTAACTACGTGACAGGAAGCCATTCATGTTGCCGAGGCTACAGGCATATTCTCGCCACTACCAAGCCGTGTTCTTGGCAGGAGTACTCCATCGTCTTGTACAGCAGCCCTCCTTGACCTCTTGTACGCAAGTCTCGGCTGGCCAGTCGTTTGTACTCCTCCATCTCTTATAAGCGGCTGCTTACTTGGGGTTCCAACTAGACAACACGCGTCAATCAGTCTCTGGCCGCCGTTTTCCGGATCCTTCCCGTTCACATTTCCAGGACGAGAGGTCTCGTGTGGCTTCCCCCGACCGGAAGCCGGCAGAAAGATTCTACCAGATAACTTACATGTATCAAGTGGGCGCCGCTGCCCTCTGTTCAAATAGCAAGCGCAAGTTTCTTGGGCACAACGGCCCAGCCTATAAGAAATTCGCCCTGGTCAGCCTCAGCCCGCTGCGAACACGTTTCAATGTCCAATGTCCACGTCAAAGCCATCCTGTCTTGCTTACGGGAGTCATTCTATCCAGCCACGTTGGGTCAAGTCGCCAGCGGAGACTCGTCATGAGCGTGTACAGAGTCGCCTTGAGCTGCAGCACGGCAAACGGCTCCCCCAGACATGCGCGCTGCCCGCCGTGAAAAGTGATGAACTCGGCACGCGTCCTCCGCCGCCTGTACTCCCTGTGTATATCGCGCCGCGAGCACCCCCAGCGACTTGGCCGAAAGGCGTCTGCGTCTTGGCCCCAGGCGTCGGGGTCGCGGTTGGTCGAGTAGCAGTTGTAGCCGACGTACGTGCCCTCGGGGAGGAAGATGGCGTCGCCTAGATGGACGGCGAGGCTACGCGGCGGTTGATGAGCTGCCCGATGGGGGGGAACAGCCGCAGGCTCTCGTATATGATGGACGTTAGTAGGGGCAGGCTGTCTAGGTATTCTGCGTCCGGTGGATTTTGAGGCTGCTGGTTGAGATCGTCGAAGAGTCGGTCTTGTATGTCCTGTGTGGAAAGGCGTCGTCAGCTGCCGCCGACTACGAATTGTGTGCGGCTTCGTCTCGACTTACCTGGTGCTTGGCCAGCAAATACATTGTTGATAGGATGGCCAACTGGGGGTTTTCTTGGCCAGCCACGAATAAGACGGCAAGGTTGTCTCGGAATTGCTTCTCTGTCAGTTGTCCAGAGTCTCGGGCGGAGAGGAGCCGTGTGCACAGCTTGTTCTGCTGATGGTTGTAAGACGTCGTGTCCCCTTTCGCTCCATGCTCCAGCGTCAAGAGTAGTTAATTGGTGAAGTCGGATGCGAGCCTTCTCGCTCGTGTCCTGCTAGGAAACGGCAGACGGTCAAGAAAGGGAAAGTTCATAAAGAGAGGTGTAAAGATTTCCTTGGTGATCTGGGCCTGGATCCGATGCAAGCAGGCGCCGCTTGAGCACGGCGTCTTGAGCACAATTTTGCATTAGCCAACACTTGTTCCGTTTTGGATACGGTCCGACTCGTTTCCATTCACCTACATTTAGATCGACATTAAAATACGTGTTTTCGAAACAGGCAATAGTGTGCCTCTGGATACTTCCCTGAATGCCGTCTGTTGGCAGAGCCTGCGACTCGACGAGAATGGTACTCAACTGTCTGGCATTTCGAAGCAGCACATCCGGGTTGGGACTGGCTTGCAGCCCAGGTTTGATAACCCGCGTATACTTCTTCCAGGTTTCTCCGCGACTCCATATGATGTTATCCCCGAGCAGAGCTGCCAAGACACTATGAGGAATCTTGCTGTAGTTTCCACTCTTCTGGTGTATGTCCTCGCGTCTGAAAACTTCAGCTAGATAGGCCGGCTTGTGAATCAACACGTTCCATTGGCCCGCAAAAAATATCGAGGCCGCACCGTGCTTGCGCAGTGGTTTCTCAATGTACGTGGCGAAGATGTCCTGCTGATCGACGTCCTTGACCAAGGGCATCAGTGCCACCCAGAAGGGTATCGTGGGAATGCCGCCAACGCCTTTGCGAGGCGATGAAAAGCAAGAAAGGAGGGCACCGGAAACAGTGATTGCCAATAGTATCGCACCACCCAGCAGCAGGGAGGCAGTCATGGCGCAACCCGAATTGCACAGGGTTTCGCAGCAGCACACCAATGTTGCAATCAATGGAGATCTTGATGAAAAAAAGTGTCCCAGCTGTTTTCATTGCCAAGAGCAAAAATTGTATTGGCACATTCGTGCAAGGCTGTTTGGGCTTGGCAGGAGCGAAGCCAAAGCCGGATATATCTTTTGGTGGATTTACGTGTAAGCGAGGCCGATAATATACGTGGCATGAGTTATCTGTAGTAGCGCAAATAATGCCAGAGAAATAAAAAAAGAAGACACACTGTCATGCTACTCTAGCGTGAGATTTTGGTGAAAAAAAAGCCGGTGAGTTTACTTTTCGTGCGCTAGACTGCGCGTCGTGACGTCGTTGACGGAATCAAACGCGTAGCAACGCCATCTCACGGATATCACACAAGGGTTCAATGTTAACATACGAGACCGCAGCGCACTAGGCTGAGCGCTGTCTTATACTGTCAAAGTCTCTTGTTACCAAAGGTCTCGAGGACAGTCAATCACCTTTGATACCAAGGACTGTTACTAGACGAATGGAGCTCTGACTCGGAGCCCTCGCGAAGCCCCCATCACCGCGCGCCAGGTTTCGCCTCGTGACGTCTTTGACAAGACCAAACACGCGGACGCGCACCAAAACGTAATGAATCACGCGCCGGCCAACCTAGCATTCGCAGGCGTTTTACAGTCCTCGTCCCGTGATTCGTCCCTCGACTCCCTACCCAATAAGGCCAGTCAGTCTTTATAAGGCAAGAGTTGTTCATGGTCACCACACATTCTGACGCGGCTCTCCTCACGGTAATCCGTACCAGGACCAACATTCTTCGTTTTGCTCCCTCAACGGCTCCTACCAAAGGGTGGACAAGGTTCGCATCAGCAGTGTCCCGTCTGCGGCGCTGGATCCGCGGCGCTGCTCTCGCCCGGTTCACCTGCGGCTCACGCATTTTCTCGCCATCGCCATATAAAATACCCCAATAACTATATCGCCTATTATAATGATACGATAAATGACCCAAAAGCTTCAATATCTCGAAAAGTCCTGAGAATCCTGCACATCCACAGAGCCGGATCCGGCGATGCCCAGCCCCTTCGCGAACACCCCTTATCTATTATAAAACAAGTCTCAATCGCGTCGTTGGACGGCTTGGATTCATACCAAAGTACATCGGACAATTCTATCCATGGCTGCCGTTCCTGATACTTGTGTCGCCCGGGACACCCAGCACATCTACAGCCCCGTTGGCGAAATGGCTTCGTTGCCGCCCAGATCGTCGATCCACGGCCGCTTCATAGCGGGCTTTGTGCGCCATACCTCCGGCCATCTCATTCACTGCTTCGGCCCCTTTCCAACCCGAATAACCCCAGTATGGCCCCAGATCCGGGACCACGTCTTGCGGGAGGAGTGCCGCCCGCGCAACCGCCTGTCGCAGACCTCCTTGCCCATCAAGCACGCACCCGAGACGGCTGACAGCACGGAGCGTGTGCCCCCCTCTCACGAGTATGTGGTTTTCGAAATGCCAAGGCTCGCGGATGAGCAGGTCATTGGGCTTGTGCTCGCGCCCGACTCGTCGCCGACGCCGCAGTCTCTCGAGCTCGATATGTTTTTCGCGGACCTGGTGCTGCGCGGCCTGCGCGTGGATATAAAAACCCACGCAGGCCATTTACGAGACCCCGACGCCGACGTGGCCGCCGACGCGATTGTGCATCTTTTCGATACAAGCCTGCGGTACGTCGGGAAACACGACAAATGGCTCAGGGGAGGACGAGACGTGTTCCGGCAGCAGGTGAGGTCGTTTACGTCCCGGGGGGCACGGGTCGAATTCTGCCTGCCCGCGTTTCCGTGCAAGTCCTCCAGCACGGAGAAGGTCTTGTCCCAGTCCCCAGACCGTGGGGAATACGTGGCCCTGTCGAATTTGCAGCGGTTCCTGCAAGAGGTAGAGGATGTCTATGGGCCGGGGGCCAAGCTCTGGATCATCAGTGACGGACACGTGTTTAGCGATTGCAGTGAGTACAAGGACATGATATGGATGGAGATGCTAGACCCGGGATGCTGATATTGGATAGTTGGCGTCGACGACGGGGTTGTCGACCAGTACGGGGCGGAACTGCAAGCCATGAACGAGACGATTGCCCATCGCCTCGGGGGCAAGGACAGGATCGGGTTCCGATCTCTGCCCGAGTTGTTCGACTACGACGGCCTCGTTGGTGCGAGCGAATTGCCTCTGGTTACGGGTTATCCGCCGCTCAAACCTCGTCTGATTGGTACCAAGACGACAGCCAAGGCCGAGCTGTGCCGCCGGATTCTTGACATGGGATTCCGGCCGGGCGACGCGGAGCCGATGGAGGATCTGATTGCCAGGGATCCGGCGCTGCTGGCTTTGTATCGCGGTTTCTCCAAGTTTATGCTCGAGGACCTCGCTACGAACCAGTACACGAGGCATCTTAGCCGGAGCCAGTTGAGAAAGAAGGCGTCCGAGGTGGCTAAAGAGATGATGCAGGTATGTCCTTTGCCTTTGCTACACTGTGACGGGCGCTGAACTATTTGGTAGCGAAACCAGGCCTATTCGAATTTGGTGGAAATGATGTTTCCGCACCATGTGCGGCTGTCCATACACGCGTAAGTGACTCGAGGTCCATATATGAGCAAAGCTTTTGATTTGATACCAACATATGTTTTAGACACGATAATGCTGGCCCGAAATTCGGCATCAAGATGTTGGGAAAACACGTCATTCCGACGGATGTCATTCCCCCGACGGGCGAGGCTTTGGATTGCTGCGACCACTTGCATATACCCACGCCCTGGCACAATTGCATGGTCGAGATTGATGGGCGCCTGGGCCTCTACACGACAAAGGCGAGTGCCGTGTGGCCGGCAGTGCGATCTGGTGATGCCACATGGGTCACTGGCGGAGAATGCGGGAGTTATGTCTACTTTAAAAAGATGGAATCGGTAGCGTAAATGACAAGTACAGTTGCGTTGGATTGGGTTGATATTACCTTGAAGTCTGTCGCTACGGCTTCTCATCTCTCTCCGTGGCTGGAGATGGCGCGTAAATGTCTAGACTCAGTAGTTGGTTGAAGACGTGTCATGGGCTGGCATCAATTGCATGTGGTCTCAAGTTGCGAGTACACCGCAAAACTGAGTCGGCAGCATCTGAATCAGGCCATAGTATAAGTGCGTTAGGCTTATACCTGGCATTCTTGCTTGACTTTGAAGTCTGCTCCCTTTAAATGCTTTCCCCTTGGCTTTATATGCAATACAATCTCGGTTTATGCGGGATGTCCAGCCCAAGTACATAAATTAACAAAGGGCGAGTAGCTTATTTAGTCCTGCGGAATTTTCTTTCGCAAGATTTTGACTCTATTACACCGAGGCAATTTTTTCTGACCATGAAAAGAGGTGGAAACCGACGATGAAATCAGAGATGATCTCGAAGAGCACTTGGAAAAGGTCCAGCACGTTGAGAGTTATATCTGCACCGAGGACCTGGCTAGGGGCAAACTATTTTTGTTGAAGTTCCCACGTTTTCTGCAGTCACGTCTCGCCTGAAGTGGATATTGGCTTATCGTGAATGCTGCTAGTCATGCTCATAAATAACAAGCGCCATGTGTAGTATCAGAGGCCCTTTATTAGCGCAGTCTTGTGAACTCAGTCTAACTACGTTACGCGGTGAAGAGTGAATCCAAGACAGATCTAGGAGCGAGCTAAAAAACTTTTTTATAACTACAAATATACGTTTTATAAGGTAAATATATATAGCGTTAATATATATATTTTTTCTAGCAATTAAACAGAGCTTCTCTAGGTAATATAATATAAAATAGTATAATATAATATAAAATAGTATAATACAATATAAAATAGTATAATACAATATAAAATAGTATAATACAATATAAAATAGTATAATACAATAATTATATAACCTTAATCCGTCGCTTCCTTGTAACTCGTCTTGACTTTACACCGCCCGCCGTAGTAGATTCCCGAGCTTGTCCCATCCGTTCCGCTCGAACAAGAAGATCGAAAAGGCGTTTAAAAGTAATACGGATCAGCACTGCCTCTTGACTATCAGAACATAGCGCATCAGTAGCGAAGTCACTAAGATGCAGTTCAAGGCATTTTGTTTCATTTGTTGCTGATCTGTCAGATAGTCGAAATGGCTGTTTCAAGTTAGTCAAGTACTTCTCTTCCGAAGATTCCCACATACTGCATTCGAAATGATTTCTTCAGCCTCCAGCACCTCCTTTCCGTCGGACCGAGTATATTTTGGAGACCATAGTGAGAGGCTGGCATCCTTATCTTTATTGACTCTAACACCGATTACGGCCTTGACATCCCCGTTGGAGTATAAGATGTAGTCCTGGGCAATTTTGGACACATTTTTACCATCCTGTGTGTAAGACACTTCTAGTACGACGCCTGGATAGACGGCCCCTGTGTGCTGAAATTGTGCGTCAGGTCGACGCTCTATAACACTTGAGGATTCTGGTACCCCTTCTGACAGACGAATCCGGGACGAGCCTCCACTAATGATATTCGCGGCGAGGGTGCCTATATTGCCTCCTTGACTGGCAATACCCTGTAACCGATCCCGTAATTCCCCAGCTACAAGATTCGAGAAGAAGTCGTGGACCGCTGAAGGCATGCGGAGGATAAGAGTTTTACGGGTTGGGTCAAAATCGAACCGCCGGAATAGTCGTTCAATCGTTTCGCGAAGTAAATCGTATTGCTGCCGATTCACTCTGATTTTAATCCACGGCGCAACGTCAACAAAATTTGCTCGATGCTGGTAAGAATAGAGCAGACGAACCAGAGCGCTGAGGTCGGAGGCACAGGGGAGTTTCTCAGCGGTGGCGGGTGGAGCTAAAGGCAAATGATTGTCGGTCATATCGAAGGATCGTGAATGGTGTGGAGGAGAGATGAGTTTGGTTTATGTGGTTTGTGTGGACGCAGCCAGGTGTTCCTGGCTAAGTCCTCACCTTCACCCCTTGAAGCGTAGTTGCCTCCACCAATCAGACACTGCAATTCCACGCACCCTTTTTTTCTTCTGCCAGCGACGGTTATGACTCTATGAGCAGAAATTCAGGGTAAGCGTCATGGGCAACTAAACACACTGCAGGCGCAACTTAGTCGGGTAAGGTCTGGTAGGTATTTATATATATCATTTTCGCTGTAAAAATACATGTAAAACTTCTTGACTATAAAGCTAATTATAAGGGGTAAAAATATTTAGCGTAGCCGGGACTTGGACCTAGTATAAAGGCGCTAATAGATTTAAATAACACCAGACACATCTCTTGAAGACCTCAAAAACGCACTTTCAACCGTAAATTACACACATCAAGTCACGGCCTTAAACAGACGGGAGCCACACTAAATTTGTCCAACTGTTGGACTTTCATAGCTACAGCTGGAAACTCGGTGCCTCTCCGCTTGTATCGATAAAAGCCCTTGGTCGAATTTTGGCGAATGCAGTTTATTGGAACATATAAATCCTTAATAATTACGGGATGTAAATGTTCGTAGCTTTCCAATTTAGTCTAGCAAACCTTGATTCTGTTAGCTTTATAAAGTATGCTCACTTTAAGAGGATATATTAAGCTTACATTCTATAAGATACAATGATCGGTTTCTTCAATCACTGACTGCATGAACTGCTTTGGGAGTCAATACGAGCGGCGTGGGCGATTGCACTCTTCCCGACAATACTGGCAAAGGGAAACGATGCGCAGCAACGTGTATTGAGTACAACCTGAACTCCAAGAAAGACATAAACCGACTGAAAGATTTTCTCAATACTAGGCATAACAGAGGCGGGGAACGATGGGGCAACTGTTGTGTGATCATGGGAACTACTGATTGCCAGGACCAACACGCTGGTCCGTACTTACGGATCGACCCCTCTTCTTCTTAGCTGGAACTCAAGCTCATGCACATGTCCATCATAGTGTCCATCTGTGACGCGGAATTCTGGGCTGAAATGACTGAACAGATTGCCTCCTGCGTTCCCCCCCGTTGTGTGCTCTGCACACTACAGCTGAAAGGCAACAACGACATCTTCGTGGGTTCGTGGCATTGATTCCTCGGCCAAGCATAATTCTGACGACATGACTAGCTTCTCAGGCGAATCCAGCCTATCAGCCCGCCAAGTACTTTGCCTGCATGGTGAACTGCCCGCATGTCAATGGTCTCGCTTATGGCTGTCACTCGGTCTGCTTACGAGCTGGTCTGCCATCTTTGGCCGCTCGCGAGGTGAACTGTTGGGACGAGGACTTTAGCCTTTCAGCTGGACGATCATCCGACTACCAACACCACCTACTGCGCAACGGCAACACTATGCTCGATATTGCGCGATCGGCTATACAAGCTGAGGCAAGCATCACCAAGGCCTGCAAAGCGCAAATCGACACCGCACATTGTATATGGGCAACGTATGTGACGCTACGCGGCGAAAGCTACTTGTCTAGCCTGAGCAATGACCCCAATGGTATCCTTTTATATGACCCAATAGTAAAGCCTGCAGCGGACATTATTTACTTTGCGCGAGGTCCCCTGGGCGTCCAGAACATACTATTTGCCTGTTCGGCAGATAAAGTAGAACTGGAAACTGTCCGATGGAATTGGTGGCAGGACATGCCCTTTTCTGCTGGCCAAAGCATTTATTTTGACTTTGACGTACTTTTTACCACGCCATTGACTATTTATTCATGGCCGTATGGAAGCGCTAACTTGTGAACTAGGGTCTCAAAATCCGCAATATACATGGGAATCAAGGAGGGAACCCAAAACGCCCAATGTGGTCTGCGCCGTCACTCCAACCGAGCCTTGTGCACTTCCCCCTCGTACAACACTCACGACCCGCCCGATTCAACCGTCTCATGGTCAATCATCCAGAAATAACAGGCTACTCGATAGCATGGAATACCGCTCGCCGAGCCCTTACAATGGTGGCGCACGCACCCAGTAGCGACTTGCATTGTTATGATGAGTTTCCCGAAAGGGGCACCACATGGTTCTACATTGCACTTGGTAGCGGAGAGCTTCTGAAGGACATATGGCGTCGAGACTGCCATTCACATCCCCATCGGGGTGTAGATCTAATTATAGCTACATCACTCGACAACGTCTATGTAGTAGGGCCTCATGAAAATCCCAACCGGAGGTACTCTTATTCGCGATTGGCCGTCTTGCGTGATGGTCCCAACTACATGTACATCGATGACTCTGTCGGCTTCATACGCGAGCTCGCCTTTGACCCGGAACCAGGACGCAACAGCAATACTTGGGAGGACTACATGCCGGTGCCTATATCCCCCAATCCAGGAAATAATCCGAATTGTTGGAATATCTCGGAGAGTTTCTTTTACACCTCGGCGCCGCTTGACGATCTGCTTGGTGTCAACCTATGCCAGTTCAATGACATGGTCACCGGTTTGCTGTTACATTATGGGGACGGATCGCAGGCGAGTGTGGGGGAAGTGAGGCTGGACAGACTTCAAAGCGACCGTCGGCAAGTGCCCAGAAATTCAACAATACGATTTACAGTGTCGAGAACAAATTACCAATGCCCCTATGTCAATGGTCTTCAGATCTTCACTGAAAACATGGTAAAGCCACCCTTCAACCACGGGCTGGATCTAGAGGTGAATTGTCATGGGATATTGGAATGGTGGTTCACAAGGCGGCAATGTCAACTTGCGTATGGAAATCGTACCAGTGCTTCAACGTGCTTATAAACCAGACATATATATGATGAGACTTCTGGCACGATCAAAGCAAATTGACCGCTTTCACGACGAAGACCATCGTGTAAAGTAGCCTCACTTATCGAGGCTTTGACACCATAATGCGACGGATACAATCCACAAAGAAGGCACCGGCAATGTGGCCGAGTCAGTCATGCTGCATACATGTACCGCACTCCATTCTCTTTTCCAAGTACTGGTGTTAGCTATAGGGTAGCTCCAACATTCAGCCGTTGGTCGACGACGGACTGACCGCCATCTTGCAAAAGAAGTCCGTGCCGCATTCACCAGACTGTCGAATGGAGAAAACGCCAAAGAAGCGTCTGGTACATATGCGGGGCTCCTTTTGTTCCCAGGCACCAGTAGACCATTCCAACATAATCAACGTTCTGTTCCCAACCACGGAGAAGAACAATGACAGGCCTATGCATGGATTACGACGATTTAATTCGTTACTTTGGAGATCGGTATAAAACGACCGCCTTCAATCCCGTGATTGAGCGGCTCCTTCTTGCCTGCCCCTCCTCCACCGTCTTCGCACTCGGCGGTCATTCCGTCGTCGTGCAGATCTCTCCGAGCATAGTGGCCAAGGTGGTGGTTCAACCAGGAGACAGCAGGCTACAAAATGAACAGAAAATATTTCATCTTCTCGAGCAAACAGAGTGTCGGTACATTGCCAAATGCCTCTTTCGCGGAACCGATGTTAGTTTTCTGGAATGTCTTCCCCATGGCACTCTCCGCGACAGAATGAGCATCATCTCCAAGGTCCCTCGGCCCGTCCTGCAATGGATGTTGCAGCTATCGTCAGCAGTCGCATGTATAGAGAACTTGGGGTATGCCCATGGCGATATTAATCCTCAAAACGTTCTGGTCGACGACAACGACGGACTGAAATTAATCGACTTTGATCATGCACTGCCGATCGGGGACCGCCTGAATGTGGGATACGAGCCCTACGTTCGACAATATAGAGTCGGCACGAAAGACAAGGGCGGGTCCTTTGGTGTTGCTGGACCGAAGACGGAGCAGTACGCTCTGGGGTCCATGTTTTGGTACATGTCCCGGGGCACTGAGTTGTATTCCGAGCTTGAAGGCCCAGATCAGGTTGAGCGCTTACTCGACGATATTTTCCCAGAGGTCAGCTTGGAAGATCCTATGGACAAGATTATAGACAACTGCTGGCATGGGCGGTACAATCGCGTGGCGGACTTGCTCCGGGAAATAGAAGGCATCGCCGGGAGCACGACAAAGGAACAAGAGTTGGTGAATGGAATGGAGGAGGTTGAGAAGCGCCGCGTTTGTGAAGAATACTACAACAGCGTAACTCGTCCATAGAATGAGCTGGCTAGATAACTTGGGCACAAACAATGAAAGCTACAGGCGTGGGTTAAATTACTAGACGACCAAAGAAGATATTTTACACTCAATCTCGCTTACAGTCTACTATGAATAGCTTGAGTTTTGCTTTCGAGGTGCCTCAACCACTCTTCCTCACTCAGAATGACAATATTCAGAATTCCTCAAAAATGCTGATTTCTTACGAATCCAATTGTGCAGAGAACTAAACGAACGACGCTAATAGGTCATGTTAGCCAAAAGATTCGTGATGCGATGCAGCTAGCCCTACCTTTCAAGTCGGATGAAAGCAAACGAGAGCTTGAATACTTGTCCCAAGAATCTTGCATCCTCTTCACACGACATCGGGGTCGATCCTGCCCGTGGGTTCATCTGACGAAACTGATTCGCAGCCATGGTAAATCCCAACAGCAGTGAAAAGTCGCACACGGTTTGTGCATTGGACCTCGGTTCCATGACGCCGCTTCGCACTGATGTTGACGTGATTTCACGGAGGCCGCTGCAGAAGGACGCCAGGGACTAGAAATATCAACATGAGTGCCAATATACTTGCTCATCGGCTCAGAATGCGGCAACTTACGAGGAGTCCATTGGTCATTAGAGACGACGGACCATCATCTATCGTTGCTTGCTGGATAAAGATGGTCAGAAGCAGGACGCAAATATTGGTAGATAGAAGCTGCATTGTAAACCAGAGTCTGCACAAGCCTCTGGCCTCGGCTTGCGAGACGCAACTCTTGGAACGGTTCATGATTATTGCATAGGATCTCCGTGTTTTCGGTCATGACGCAGCATCTTGGGGGTACACGGGCGAGTATATAAGCTCGAGATGGTAGCATTACCTCGGATCAATGGGGATTGGAAAGACTGGGACTGTGGCAACATTGTCTGGCAGGACCCGGGTCATGCCACCAGACGCTTGGCCCAGAGCCTTGGGTCGCATGACACGTCAAATTGGCGAATAGACCTTGTTCAGACCCAGTCGATTATAAGAATGTAGGGCAATCACAATGGTTTTGTTTCAAGGGGTTTGGAGTCGACATTTTGTATATTTTTCTAACATGGATTGCCCTATAAAATCCCGAAAATTCGTGACTCTACAAGGAGCCGGAGCTTGGCCAAGAAGTGAAATAAAAGTGACATATAGCTGTGCGGTATGCTCTACCGGCAATATAAACGAACATTGAAACGGGTCCCAGCTGAGGGGCCGCGACTTATATGAGAGTGGCGCCGTCGAGGTCTCGGAAATCCAACGCAACCTTGCTCAAACCCGAATATCCGACCCCACACCAAAGGGTCCCAGTCCGGCGGCCGTTATTATGGGACAAGTCTCCACAAAACAAGGTAAAGTGGAGACGGGTCCAAGACGTAAAAAAACGAAATACACGCTCTCGCCCACTTCGCTTTGATGCTCTCGTTGCGCACGAAAACCGGCACATGAAAGCGGTGAATTGCTCATCTTTAGCCATAAATAGTGTTTTCAATTTTCAAATAATACTAGTCTTGCCTTGGCCGAGATTACAATCATCTGTCTGAACCCCATGATCCCTACAAGCCGCGCCCGGTTTCGGTGTTTTGGGGCGCGTCAATCCATCATCACTCCAACCCTGGGCTGTACACAAAGACTTGTTCGTGTCAGCTTGTAATATCTGACACGGACCGCAAGGTAGACCCTCTAGCAGTCGCTCTACTCTTGCAAGGCGTTCAAACAATTCCTTCTTGAACTGCTGACGCTTCCGGGGCGGCGCAGGTGTACTTGGAACACAGATGACCCCACGCTTCAAAAGTAAGCATCTTGCTAGCAAATTTTGGCTGTGTATTTGAGCGTACCTTTTGGCAATTTGAGCACGGGAATTCGTGGTCACATTTCTTCTTGCGCCGTTGGCAGGTGACGCACGCCAGAGGCCTTTGGGACCCTGCCGAGCTGTGGAATGTCGTCGAGGGCATGGTTGAGAAGTGAATGCGCGAGCAAAGAATGCGGTGTAGGATGATTATGAGCTCCCTTGAGGTACGGTTAGAAGAAATTACCGATATATAGACGGAGAACAAGTAGTATCCGTCATCTTGGTCAAGAGGTTCGGACTAACCACTTGATGATCTTGGTTTTGGATTATATAAAAGTAAAGATTTATGGAGCTGTACAGTAGTATATGTTGAATTGTGATGTAATCATATTACTGGCTGGCCCACCGAGTCATGCGTAGCATGCCACGGATCCGATCGACACCCTAACGGACTACACAACGGGCTTCCGGGGAAAGATGCGGATCAAGACCCCGTCTCTCAACTTTCGGGACCCTGCAGGACTCCGAAAGGTCTCAAAGTCTTGAAAAGTGGATATTCAAGATAGAGTCATTAGCAAGGTAGTCGAACCGTGTTATCGCGTCCATTCTGAGCAACACGTTTTTTCGGACCGTATGCGAATCCGCGTTCCGTTTCTGTGCGTGTCCGCTAGCCAAGGGGCTATGAAAATGATTTGCCATTGGATTCCGCCTGATCCGCCTCCCTGTTCACTTACACTTGCTATTTAGGCCGGTATAGCTCTCTTGTTGTCTCTTTCTTTCACACAACAACTTTTCTTTCAACGTATTTTCCCTATAATTCTCCCGTTTGTTCTCAGCTTACTTGCAACCCGATCATACCCTGCCCCATTAAGCCGAGTAGCCTCACGTCGTCCTTCCAGAGTCGGCCATCAGAGTCTCAGAGAGCGCTGTTTCCATCACACGCCAAGATGGACCAGACAAGTGACTCCGTGTCCATCCCGGGCCGGAGTACTTCAGCACAAGGCAGCGAACGGACGGTTTTCGAAATATCTACGGGCGGACCTACAATGAGAGAAAATACCCGCCATGCCACGGCTAGTCATGACCAAGCAAGTCATCCTGCCACTGAACCAAATGTCACGGGCCCTGACAGCGACACGGTGGACCCTGAACCCAACAGGAGAGACTCCCTTGTGCAAGACCTTGCTCGTCGTTATACTCGAAATTCTTCCGTGGCTATTGACAGTGATGCTCGAGGCATATTTGGCAACGATGATGCCGACTCCCCTCTCAACCCAAACGGGCACAAGTTCAATGCCCGTACCTGGGCAAAGACGGTGGCGCAGGCGGCGACTGAATCTGGTTCTGGATTTCGCCACACAGGATTCTCCTTCACCAACCTCAATGTGTATGGCTTTGGCCAAGAGACAGACTACCAGAAAGACGTCGGCAACATATGGCTGGTGGCAGGCGGCTTCCTGCGCGGCCTGATGAGCAGGATAGGCAGACGCAACAGCCGGGGCAATGCGCAAAGGGTCGACATCCTCCGCCGTCTCGACGGTGTCGTGAACCCGAGCGAGATGCTCGTCGTTCTCGGCCCCCCCGGCGCCGGCTGCACCACCTTTCTCAAGAGCATCTCGGGAGAAACAAACGGAATCTACATCGACGAGTCGGCCTCGTTCAACTACCAAGGCATATCAGCGCACGAGATGCACTCCCAGCACAAAGGAGAGGCCATCTACACGGCCGAAGTCGATGTCCATTTTCCCATGTTGTCTGTCGGAGACACCCTGACCTTTGCAGCCCGCGCCAGACAGCCGCACAGCATACCGCCCGGCGTATCGCGAAGCCAATTCTCCGCTCACTATCGAGACGTCGTCATGGCCATGTACGGAATCAGCCACACGGCGAACACGCGCGTGGGCAACGAGTACATCCGCGGCGTGTCGGGCGGCGAAAGGAAGCGAGTGACGATTGCCGAGGCCACGCTGTCCAGCGCGCCGCTCCAATGCTGGGATAATTCCACCCGGGGGCTCGACTCGGCCAACGCCATTGAGTTTTGCAAGACGCTGCGGCTGCAGTCGGACGTGTTTGGCCGGACCAGCGCCGTGTCCATCTACCAGGCTCCCCAGAGCGCATACGACCTCTTCGACAAGGTCCTCGTGCTCTACCAAGGCCGGCAAATCTACTTTGGGTCAACGGGCCAAGCCAAGGCGTACTTTGTCCGTCTCGGCTTCGCCTGCCCCGACAGGCAGACGACGCCCGACTTCCTCACGTCCATGACGGCCCCGTCGGAGCGAATCGTCCAACCAGGCCACGAGAGCCGCGCGCCGCGAACCCCCGACGAATTCGCCCGGTGCTGGCTGGAAAGCCCGGAAAGGAGAATCTTGCTAGCAGAAATTAACACGTTTAACCAGGCGCATCCGCTGGGCGGCGCCGACGCCGACGCTTTTCGACAAAATAAGCGGCAGCAGCAGGCCAAGAGGCAGCGGGCCAGGTCGCCCTTTATCCTGTCGTACGCGGAGCAAGTCAAGCTGTGTCTCTGGCGAGGATGGAGGCGTCTTGTGGGAGACCCGAGCCTGAGTATTTTCGCCCTTGTTGCAAACTCGGTCACGGCGCTGATTATATCGTCGCTGTTTTACGACTTGCAGCCCACGACGGCGAGCTTTTTCCAACGCGGCGCGCTGCTGTTCGTGGCGATTCTGGCGAATGCCTTTTCTAGCGCGCTCGAGATCCTGACGCAGTATGCGCAGCGGCCAATTGTAGAGAAGCATAACCGGTATGGGTTCCATCACCCGTCTGCCGAGGCGTTTTCGTCCGTCATCGTCGACATGCCCTACAAGATTATGAATAGCGTCTTTTATAACGTCATTTTGTACTTCATGACGAATCTGAATCGCACACCCGGTGCATTCTTCTTCTTCTTCTTCGTCTCGTTTCTCATGGTTCTTGCCATGTCTGGCATTTTCCGCTCCATGTAAGTCTACCCCAGGGTGTTTGTCGAGGCCCATTCTCACCATAGTTCAAGTGCCTCGCTCTCGCGGACTCTATCGCAAGCCATGGTCCCTGCGTCGGTACTGATCCTCGCGCTCGTCATATTTACGGGCTTCGTCATTCCCGTCGATTACATGCTCGGCTGGTGCCGATGGATCAACTACCTGGACCCCGTGGCCTACGGATTCGAAGCGCTCATGATCAACGAGTTCAGCGGCCGGCAGTTCAAGTGCAACAGCTTTGTCCCCAGTGCCGACGTGGCCGGGTACGAGAATATCGCCGGGTCGAACAGGGCCTGCTCGGCGGTCGGGTCCGTCATTGGGCAGGACTTTGTCGACGGCGACGCGTACATCAACACGCTGTACAAGTACAGCCACGGCCACAAGTGGCGCAATGTAGGCATTTTGATTGCCTTTATCCTCTTCAACCACGTCGTCTACTTCCTGGCCACGGAGTATATATCCGAGAAGAAGTCCAAGGGCGAGGTCTTGGTATTCCGGAGAGGCCAACTGCCGCCGGCATCCCCCCAAAAGGGAGACGTCGAAGGGAGCAATTCTTCCCCCGCCAGGGTCACCGAAAAATTTGGACAGTCTGTGCCCGAGGACGGGGGCGCTATCCAGGCTTCCACGAGCGTTTTCCACTGGAGCAACGTCTGCTACGACGTCAAGATCAAGGGAGAGCCCAGACGCATCTTGGACCATGTAGACGGCTGGGTCAAGCCGGGGACCCTGACGGCCCTCATGGGCGTTTCGGGCGCCGGGAAAACCACCCTGCTCGACTGCCTCGCGGATCGGATATCCGTGGGCGTCATCACAGGCGAGATGCTCATCGACGGCAAATTACGCGACTCTTCTTTCCAGCGAAAGACGGGCTACGTCCAGCAACAGGACCTTCATCTCGAAACGACAACGGTGCGCGAAGCCCTCGAATTCAGCGCGTTACTACGCCAGCCGGCGGCGACGCCCAGAGCCGAAAAGCTCGCCTACGTAGACGAGGTCATCAAGCTGCTCGACATGCAGCCCTACGCCGACGCCATTGTCGGCACGCTAGGCGAGGGCCTCAATGTCGAGCAGCGGAAGCGACTAACCATCGGGGTCGAGCTGGCGGCCAGACCGCCGTTGCTTTTATTCGTTGACGAGCCGACATCGGGACTCGACTCGCAGACATCGTGGGCGATTCTTGATCTTTTGGAAAAGCTCTCCCGGGCAGGGCAGTCCATCCTCTGCACCATCCACCAGCCGTCGGCGATGCTCTTTCAGCGCTTCGACCGGCTGCTGTTTCTGGCCAAGGGCGGCCGAACAATCTACTTTGGCGACATTGGCGAGAGCTCCTCCGCCATGACGTCCTACTTTGAGAGCAACGGCGCGCATCCGTGTCCCCGCGGCGACAATCCCGCCGAATGGATGCTGCAAGTGATTGGCGCGGCGCCGGGTGCCGCCACCGAGATCGACTGGCACGAGACGTGGCGGTCGAGCAAGGAGTTCCAGGACGTCCAGTCGGAGCTGCAGCGGCTGAAGACAACCGCCGCGGCGGACGATGCCGTGTCGAAAAGGCAAAGTCGCGCGCTGTATCGGGAATTCGCCTCCCCGTTCTGGAGCCAACTGCTCGTCGTGTCGCGGCGCGTCTTTGAGCAATACTGGCGCACGCCGTCGTACATTTACTCCAAGTTTATCCTGGGCACCTCAGTCTCCCTCTTCATCGGGCTCGTGTTCCTCGACGCGCCGCTCAGCATCCAAGGCCTCCAGAATCAAATGTTTGCCATCTTCAACATCCTCAGCATCTTTGGCCAGCTGGTGCAGCAGCAGATGCCGCACTTTGTCACGCAGCGCTCCCTGTACGAGGTGCGCGAGAGGCCCTCCAAGACCTACAGCTGGAAGGTCTTTATGCTGTCGCAGGTGCTCGTCGAGATTCCGTGGAACACGCTCATGTCGGTCGTCATGTTTGCGTGCGTCTACTACCCCGTCGGGTTCAACAACAACGCCAGCGCGGCGGACCAGACGGCCGAGCGCGGCGCGCTCATGTGGTTGCTCTTTTGGCAGTTCCTCGTCTTCACGTGCACGTTTGCGCATGCCTGCATCGCCGTCATGGACACGGCCGAGGGGGGCGGCAACATTGCCAACGTGCTCTTCATGATGTGCCTGCTGTTTTGCGGCGTGCTGGCCACGCCGGACCGCATGCCGGGCTTTTGGATCTTCATGTACCGCGTGTCGCCGTTTACGTACTGGGTCTCGGCGGTGCTGTCGACCGGCCTGGCCAACACGCGCGTGACGTGTAACGGCAACGAGCTGGTCGTCTTTGACGCGCCCGCCGGCCAGAGCTGCCGGGAATACATGGCTGCGTACCTGGACAGTCGGGGTGGCTATCTTGCGGGCGGCGGTGCGTCGGGGCAGTGTCGGTACTGTCCTGTTTCCGACACCAATGTCTTTTTGGCTGGCATTAGCTCCGACTATGGCCACCGCTGGCGAGACTTTGGGATAGGCATGGTGTATATTGTGTTTAATATCGCGGCTTCCCTGTTCCTTTACTGGCTGGTTCGGGTGCCGAAGCCAAAACGCAACAAGTGACGCGGAAACAAGTCGCTTGGCGGTGTCTGAATATCTGCAAGTATGCTGTTTACTGGCTGTTAGTTGGTTAATGGAATCTGGTATGTACTACGAAGTATGTAGTCTGGTAGATTAAAATGAGTCGCCGATTCAATGTTACGTCATATGGCACAAAAGACAGATCGGGAAGGTGCGCCTTGCTGGTGTCTTGATCCCCGCACCCTATTCGCCGACAACGTGCTTGCACGTGTTCTCGGGGTCTGGTCTGGTATTACAAGTCTGGTTCCATGTAGAGGGGTCAACGGTGCTCGGCTAGATGCTTCCTGACAGACCCAACTCCAGGCGCTCGCCTAAAATCTCAACGTAACGGGGCAAACCGAGCCCCGAGCAAGAAGTGGCCGCGCCTCGAGCAATTCAGTTCAAATACCCTGCACCTAACACAGTTATTCATCAACCATCTATCAAATAGTCTATTTACAAGTCCTGGAAACGGCACAGGTCAAGGCGCTACGTCACTGGCCATGACTCGTATCAGTGTTCCCGGGGCGCCACGACCCCAAGACGACCTCAAGACCGTCGTGGAAACAAGGACACGGGAATGGCATTTCCATATTTATTTCCTGTTGCAATCTCCCACTGAAACGGCGGCAGCGCTGGCTCTTCGTGATGCCGTATTGAGGCTCCGTCGCGATGGTGAGAATAACAAAACACAGCATCGTCCCTAGGCTGTTGGTTAACAATAACAGGTGCCTTTGTCGCTGTTCCATTGCACAGAGTCAACAAGTATCCAATCGGGCCGCATCCTGCTGGCTCATACGAGAGTAGGTGGAAATACCTTGTGAGTTGCTCTCAAGAGCCAGGGCTAATGCTTGAATAAAGTCTGGGTTCCGGACTCGTCCTTCTCCGAAGTCTTCTTCTACTTGGCATCAAATCGAGGAAACTTGAGGTACGTCTCTGGCTTTCACCAGCTTGAAACCCCTAGTTCGCCTCGCTCGCCCGAGATGCTATGACGACCAACTGAAACTGCACGCGATGCTTCTGTGCTAACTGCTCATCTAGCATCCTTATCCATCCGCTAACCTCGGAGCAACGCCGCGATCATGAGACGCGCAATGGCTGGATGGGCACGCCTTGGCCCATCTACCTCGACAGCTTGCCTACCGAAAGCGACGAGGTTCCGCTTCAGTATTCTGAACTGCGTCTTGGTTGGTCTGCCGCGCCGGAAGAGGAGATTTCTCTCGATGAGAGGCGAAGAAGAGGCGCTGAGGTCGAGGCGCTGTTGGCTAGAGATCCTGAAGCAGCTCCAGCTCCCGTGGATTGAGAAGGAAAATGTGGTTCATCAGTCTTTAGCCTCCTCAAGGGTGAGCCGAAGATGGAAAGGACAACTTACCAATGCATCAGTGCGGCCAATGCTAGGACACGCCAAAAAGTGTTAGTATGGAAGAGAAAAAGAGAATTTGTGCCAAGAGGAGAGGAATTTGTCACGGGGAATGAAGCTGAATTCTAGTATGCTATTCATAGTTGTCGACATTGTCATCTTTGATTTATGTAGGTTATATGTGAAGAACGGGTCCTCCAGACTGCTAATTTTGAGTAACAACACAACTGGCAACCCCACGCTTTACATCTGGCCTAGCAATAATGATGCTTATTTTAATTCCTAGACCACATCACCTTGTCCATGTAGCAGCACGGATGACGGAAGCTTGTACATACGACATAGGCCGACCTAGGGTGTATCCTTATCGCGTGTCTCGTCATGGACATCGTCTTGCCTTTTCAAGACTCCATGATTCGAACTATTGCTTTGTACCTTGAGGCAATAACAACGGTACAGAGGACCTGCGCATCATCCTCTGGTTTGGTTCGGCAAGATTGGATAGACAGCCTACAACGATTAACATTTAGACCAAGACTCCCAGACCGCTTGCACGCACACCTGTTTCCCGGGCGTAGTGACCAAGCTAGTAACTATGTATAATCCTTTTTTTATTTCGACTTTGATTCGACTTAATTTAACCTCGATGTATTTAACCTTAGTTTTACAACTACATCTTTTAACAACTACACCTTACTATACCCAATTCTTGTCACATCAAGCACTTTAATTATATTAAAAAAAATCTTTATTTTTAGCAAATACTCGTTACCAGTTAACAAGTTATCTAGAGCGTTGTGAATGGAGAGTTCAGCCATTTCTCATCTTTTCGTGCACTTTGCGAATTTCGATATAGCAGCGTTTTCATCGTACCAAAGTCCACATTTGGGATTTGCAAGGCCCCAACGGACCACCAATCATTTCGTGAGTCTGAGGCCAGATGTTGACAGATGTGAATGAATCAGCTTACCATTGTATGACTTGACCACACATGGGTCAACGGCATCAATCTTGCCCAACATAAACCAAGCCCCGCACCTCACTCCATTTCTGCACCTCTTCTTGGCAAACATCTACCTCCTCGTCATCAAAGGAACGACTTTTACAACCGCTCCTCAGCGATCCAGGCCATCTCCACGCCCGGTGCCTGCGTCGTAGCCATGGTCACATATACAAACCTCCAACTTGTTGAACAATGCGACAAGTGAGCAGTCTCCGAGCACCAGCCACCAGCGCGGTACTAATTTCACAAGATTTCCGTACGCGCAAACGCGACCCGACGAGTACGCGGCAAAGGTCTCGGGGTATTACAAGTTCCATGTAGAAGGGTGTGCCTCGGTGCTCGGCTTCATGCTTCCGGCCACCGTCCAAGGATTCCAATGGCCGGATTTCTGGAAAGTCGACCACCAACGCAAGACCGTGCTGCTCTGCGGTAAGACGCTGGACGAAAGGGATCAACGCGTCGCCAAAACTCTCGCCGCAGAACGTCAACGCCGTCACTTCAAGATTCTCAGCGGATGGCGAGACGAGCTATACCCAGTGTATGGCCCGGACCGCAGCGTACTCGTCAATATGGAACGAGCGGCCGCCGCCTTGTTTGGCATCGTGGCCTACGGAATCCACCTGACTGGGTACGTTGTCGCAGAGAGTGGCCTCAAGATCTGGGTGTCTCGCCGAGCCAGCAACAAGCAGACGTATCCTGGTATGCTGGATAACACCGCCGGTGGTGGTATGGCCAGCGGCGACAAACCATTTGAGAGCATCGTGCGGGAAGCGGCCGAGGAGGCCTCGTTTCCTAGGGATTATGTGCGGAAGAATGCCAAGTGTGCTGGCACCGTTAGTTACTTTGACATTCGGGACGAGCGAGCTGCTGCTGGCACAGAGGTTGGACTGCTGCAACCTGAATGCATTTACGTGTATGATCTTGAGGTCACTCGAGACTTTGTGCCGCGTCCAAATGATTTGGAAGCAGAAGATTTTCGTCTCTGGGATATTCCTGAATTGCAGGCTGCCTTGAGGAGGGGGGAGTTCAAGACAAATTGTGCTCTGGTGCTGCTTGATTTCTTCATTCGTCATGGCATCATTACACCTGAAGAAGAGGAGGACTACGTTGAGATTGTCGCAAGACTTCATAGAAAGCTAGAGTTTCCTTGTGCTTGAGATCAATTTGGCACGGTACAGAGTGTGAAGCATTGCCTTGAGGTCTGCGCCTTGTTGAGAGACAGCTAAACGAGCTCTGTAATGCTGAGTCGATCCTGGCAGATCAATCGAGGAGGTCGAGGCTTCGGGGAGAGAGGGAGCCGCAATCCAGAGGTTTCCGCTGGTTACTTCTTGGCCATGCTCTCGCACACAAAGCTGCGGGCGTGGAGGACTTTGGTCATATAGCAGTAGACGGTTCTCAAGAAGTGGGATATCTCCTGTTTAATTTAAAACCTCTTTTCTCAGGTCCCCGCGCTAATTCACAACGTATCGATCGCCTTAAATACAGCATGCCACGGTCAACTCCAAATGTTTTGCGACGCTGAGCAGTGTCCATCGTAACTCCATGGTGCATACGTGACCCAGAAATCACAGACTGCGAGTCTTGGGGGGTTGATTCTTGCCAAACTCGCGGGTATTATGTCCTGGAAATTGGGAATACTCCGTGACGCCAAAACGGTCACTATAAACAAAACCCCTATATTGACGTCCTGAGAGCTCCTACCAAGCAGCAATGGGTTGTTCCGAGAAGCAATCGAGATGACCGCACGAGTACCCTGCGGCTCTCGTCATTGCCGATATCGCTATTACACAATCGTGATTGCACACTTGCGAATTCAAGGGGTTCGGCCACGTAGCCAGCCCGCGTATAAAGGTCAGCGAGGGCCTTTTCGCCAGTTTGCTTAGAAACTGCCGCCCCGAGCCTCCCCATTGAGCTTGGACAGTGGCGGTCAGGTCAGGCCCAGGATCGCAGCTAGATACGTGATGGTACCAGCTATAGAGCGCATGTGCGTGGCAAGACGGTAAAGAAGGCTGTTTAAACAAGGCAATAATATAGGCTGGGTAAAATATGGTCAACGTGAACTGGTCGTAAGCCCATGGTGTGATTTGCAAAACCGACTGGGGGAAAGCCTTGTTCTTATAATACTTTTTTTTGTAAAGCAGGCGCAAGCTAACCGGAACCGATTTCTATTGCATCAGCAAGCGTCTGTCAGCGCTGACGGGGTTGAGGTTGGAATTACTTCCGATAGGCCGCTCCAACCATCATCTACTGCATTTTTTCTCGGCTTGTCGCTGAGATTGTTAGTCGATACTGGTTGTGAGGGAGCTCGGGGTTCAGCCCTGGCTGTGAGCTTCCAATTTCAGCTGCCGCTCAGCATCTGCATGCAGAGACGGACTGCATGCTTCAATATTGCAACCCTACTTGACTTGAACAAGCCGTTTTATTACTAGGCCAACTTGACCCTTGAATTTAGCAATTCCGCAAGTCCAGCTATTATACTTGATGCTTTTCTTGTCATGGATTGTTTACACTCCTCAACATGACGGCTTCCAATCACCAACTAGACGCGAAAGTGAAGATGAAGATTTTGTGAAATGGCATAAGAATGATCAAGCAAGCTAGATGTAATGTTTCTTTTCAACTGCAATACTGATGTTGTTTCGGCTGGGCAAGGATTATGACCAATTAGATGGCCGGATTCTTGAACTGCTACCCTTGGAGCCGATGCAAATAATCCCAGCCGTCTTCTGTCTTACACGTCAGCTTTACAGGCCATGATAAGCTGCAGGCTTCTAACCGAGGCAGTATGTCTTAAAGACAGCCCGCTCTCGTGGTGATTTAGACTCTTGCGGAGAACAACTGGCTCTACTAATTTTCTCAGAATTAATACCTGAAATTATAGGGCGTTCATCTCAACTGCGGCTATGACACTATTTAGAACTACACTGTGCCGGCCATTGCGATACTCAAACTAGACATTGGGCCGAACGTGGAGTTCATTCATATTCAACATTTACGAGAAGCCGACTTGTCACACGGGTATTACACTCAGCTCTCATCACAAGACATAGCGCAAAAGGGCGTACCGAATTCTTGAAGCTCCATGGAAAACGAAAACCCTTCATACCAAAGACTACTATTAGATAATATACTAGTCAGTCTACTTATAAACGCTGTCCTTGTCCACCGTAGAAAAAAACAAAGTAGACACTCGTGTTAGAATCGTTTCACAGCTTAAGAAGCTTGCTTTGATCACTTATTAGTAGAGGTGGAAGCAGAAAGGTACCAAGATTGTATTTTGCCGTGAAATACTCTTGTAAATAGTTACCGAATATTGATTCAGTACTCTATATTCCCCTATTCTCCGACATTCAAAACGCATCCCAGTTTAGTTACAAAACTCTGCTACCCAGCGTGTCTCAAGTCAAGGTTTTCAATCACACAGACCGACCTTTCTGTAGTGCGGACAGTTGCTCTCATTGTCTCTCTGCTACCATCGCTCCCACAGTGAGTTTGAGCGTTCGACTCACAACTCCCCAATGGGCCTGAGACAATATCCTATACCGTGCTGGCGCACTAAACCTGTCAATTATTGTTTATTTACTCAACTCCTATCCAGGCTTTACTGCCTTGTTCAAGCATGAGTAAAAGCTGTCCAGCACGAGTTCCAGGTGCGCCGTCGGGCAAAAACGGGCGGAACACGTCAATGCCGGCATATGACGCCAACCCTCCGCACGCACAAGAGCCGGGATGTGCCTGTTTCGTCATTGCCGCTGTGACAGGGGCTCGAAGAGGGCTTGGAGCAATAGCTCAATTCAGCTAATAACAGTCCTTGGTTTTCCTCAAGGCCTCGGTCGCCAAAGACGTCTTGAAATACCAGAAGTCGGCGAGGGACTTTGCCCTAGGTCTCGTGACCGTAGCCCTTGTGTAACCAGCCATTTCCGTGTAACAGCTGCGGCGATTACTCACCTCGTCTGGTTATTTGAATTCCGTCTCGGTCGATCAAGCATGGTCAACGACTACCATGATTGGGTGTTGATCTCAGCACGGAAAATCCACTGCAAATGGCGACATGGCGTGAGGCTATACTCGTTTCGGATGCAAATGCAACGCCTTGATCTATTGCACGCGATATGCATGCTCAACACGTCAATTGCCTTTTAATGCAGCAGTATCTACAGTATCTAAACAACTATTTTCAACCAGTCTCAGCTTTCCAAGTTTGCTCAGTTGCAAAAGCAAGACACGTGCCTCAGCCTCGAGGGTCTATTTCATGCCCGTCATGGCCAATCTCTTTACAGATTCATCTACGGAAAAGGTCCATGTACCCTCTGAACCGAGTGTTAGCCATGCTATAGAGGAAATTAACGAAAAGGCGCTTCTTCGCAAGATTGACGCGAAGCTCTTGCCCGCAGTCGGCGTTTTATACCTGCTCTCCTTTCTAGATCGCAGCAATGGTAAGCCAACAGATACTCCATCTTCATCGTGGAAAGAATCGTCCAGCTAATTCCATGCCTTAGTGGGCAATGCCCGTATCGAGGGTCTGCTCAATGACATCAACGCAAGTCCGTGTCGCCATCCACGTGCATCGTCATGAAGAAGCGCTAACTATTACGCCAAAGCCGGCAATGAGTATCTTACCGGTTTAACCGTGTACTTTATCGGCTATGTGCTTTTCGAGGCAAGCAATGCTCGATGGAACGAGACGTGCGTGTTCTAACGGCTCCCAGATCCCCTGCAACATCATACTCAAACGGACAACGCCGCGGCTATGGCTGCCGACACTCACGATAGCCTGGGGAATCGTGGCTACGCTGCTGGGCATTGTACACAATCTGGCTGGCTTCTTTGTGGCGCGATTTTTCCTCGGCGTCACGGAGAGCGGCTTGTTCCCCGGCGTGGTCTTCTACTTTTCCATGTGGTATAGGCGCCGGGAGCGACAGTACCGCATCTCGCTCTTCTTTAGCGCTGCGTCTCTTGCCGGCGCGTTTGGCGGCATTCTTGCCTTTGTATGTTTTCCCCCTTGGGTTTTCGAGCTTCATGACCGCGGCCGCATGGATGGTGCTTGACAACATTGGTCTTGCTGCGTTCAGGTACTGACTGCATGGGGATCCAGGGCATAGGCAAGATGAAGGGAATAGTTTGGGAGAATGGATGGCGCTGGATCTTTATCCTGGCAAGTGAAGGCCCCTTTTGTCGTGGGAATGCATTAGACTGCTGACAATTTAGCACAGGAGGGGCTTGCCACCATCGTCATCGCCTTTGCTGCCTACTGGTTCATAGAAAACTATCCCGAGACGTCAAAGTTCTTGTCAGAGCCTGAAAAGGAGTTTATCCAAGCTCGCTTGGCTGCAGATAGCGATGCTACCCAACATGAAAAGTTTACCTGGAGTGCAGTCTATGACGCGTTTCGTGATGCAAACTGTTGGCTCTACGGGCTGGGGTTTCATACTATGAGCTTGCCGTTGTATACGTTGTCTCTGTTTTTGGTATGTTGGGGCCTCGTTCCATTATGTTTGTGTTACTTCCTCGCGCATGTCCGTGACATAACTGACTTGTGGAATCAGCCTACCATCATCAAGGATCTAGGGTACACGGCAGCGACAGCACAGTTACTAACCATTCCGCCCTACGCACTCGCCTTTGTAACAACGCTTGCAGTTGCTATATACTCAGAGAGACTAGCTAGACGCGCCGTCTTCATTGCGGCTTCGGCCATCGTCGCTGCCATAGGCTACATCATCCTTCTGTCGAATACAGACCCCAAGGCTCGGCCGGCCGTATCGTATTTGGGAACCTTTTTCGCCGCTGCGGGCATTTATCCTGCTACCGCGCTGGTTCTCTCCTGGCCTGCCATCAATGTCTCCGGCCAGACGAAGCGAGCCACGGCAAACGCTATGCAAATTAGTATCGGAAATCTAGGTGCGGTTCTGGGCACGCAGCTGTACCGATCCAACGATGGACCGAGATTTGTTGTCGGTCATGCCGTGGCATTGGCGTATCTCGTTGCGAATGTTGCTGTGGTGGGCGTGCTGGCGTGGAAGTTGAGGAAACAGAATTTGCAGAGGGCGGAAGTTGCTGACGAGGTTGTGGACGTTGGGAGAGCAGAGGACTGGAAGGGTGATGGGGACGCCCGGTGGAGGTTCCAGTACTAAACATATATGAATATATATGTTTTTTTATATATATGTGTGCATCGAGCATGGAACGAGTTGGAGTGTATAGATTTTCAACAACTAGCTTTACGTAACTGCGAGTTAACTCAACCAGTGGCTTTATTAACGACTCCGCTGGAGGCTAATTTAGTCCTCTTTAAAATCGATGCTATTTGCGTCAGACATGGCAGTCCGCCAGCTCTGCAGACAGTTTTCGATATCTCGACGCAAGCAAGATACGTGCCTTCTTTCCCCAGATAGCCAAAGGTATACCAAGACTGTTAATAAATAGGTTTATAAACCCGCACATGATGAACACATTGGTTACGCCCACCCTGTCCAACCATGGCGTGATAGTAAAAGGCCCGATAATGCTAATAGCGCATCTGAAAAAGGTAATAGCAACAAAGGTTTGTCCAACCAACTGCGCTGGAATTAGGAATATGTTTATTACACGCAGTCAAGACACTCACAAGCGGAAATGCATCCAACACCATGGTAAGCGATATGTCGGTGGTCGATCCAAACCCAAAAGCAAACATTGCTCCGCCTATACTTGGATAAATGTAATGCATGCCCTGCAAGGAGATGTGTCAATGCCACTGGAGTCCTGCGGAAAACAATCTCAAGTTCTTACCCTGTCCGCCGTCGCACCAAACATGATTAAACCGCCTGTGCTGACAATAGCAGGGAGAATAAGAGGATACAGCCGCATTTCGGCCTCAAACACCCCTCCACTCCTTCGAGACAGCCGCACAATAGCCCAATCCGTCAAGGGCCCTCCGTAAAAGAAGGACAGGATGGTTCCTATCGTCGGGCCGGTATACATGTAGCCGACTTGAGCTGGATTAAAGTTATACGGCGGCGCGGCAAACACTATCGTTAGAACGGATGAGAGAACAACAAGCCAGCAGACGCCGGATGCTAGCTGCAGCCAGCCAAACACGACGTGTGGCATGAAACAAGTGTATACGGGAGCAATCGCGAGCTTCAACAACGATTCGTCGGTTTGGGTGAGAAACCGCATCGCATGTCGGTACCTCTGCCAGGTCGAGGGAGTAGCGGAGGGAGCCGCCTCCAGGTCAATTTTACCATTGGTAGTATAAGTAGACGCCTGCGTGCCCTCAATCGTCGGTATCCACTTATTCTCTTCGAAGAAGAAGATGAAAATGACGTGAATAGCACTCATGAAGCCCGCGAGCGTCATGTACGAGACTCGCCAGCCTTGTGCCTCGGCCTGGACACCGGCTATCATGGGCGTGAGGAAACTGCCGCCCATGACGGCTACGGCATAAATACCATTCGCGGTAGCTCTCTGATGGACGAAGAATAAGTCGTTTATCTGCAAGTATAAAGCTCGTGGTCAGCCTCTTGGCACAGTTGTACATGCTGCACCTATCATGGCCCAAGTCCTACGTACCGACATCTCGATTGATGTGTCGGTGGTCGAGGCAGCAAGGCCATACAGCAGGCTGGTTAAATAGAGTTCCACCTTGGTTTTCATGTATGCCATCCACCACGATGAGGCTGCGACGAGAGCCGTGGAGAAGACATAGGTCGACCGGCGTCCGTACTTTTTGGTAAGGGGAATAAAGAGGACGCAGCTGGAAGCTAGGCCAACGAGCTGAATGGCTTGGGCGTTGGCAAGGTCTTGATACGTAATGCCGAGGTCTTGCGTCATGGGATTCCAAAACACTGGTTGGATCGAAAGTCTGTAGGCCGTGTAAAGTGTAAGCCTTGGCCGCCACAGGGGAAAATGGGAACAAGATCGTACGCTGTAAATACGGCCAGCGTCATGGACGTGAGAAGGCCGTAGTTGAGGGATTTACGCCATGTTGGCCAATTCTATGTCTGTGGTGAGTACCTCAACGTGCCTGTGAGAAATTCAATGGCGACGAACCAGCGGCTGATCGGGGTCGCTGGATGGCACTGGGTTCAGTATCACGTCCTCGGAGCCGCCACCTCCATTGTGGGCTGAAAACTTGGTTACTTGATGGATTCCTCGCCATGGTGAAAGGGAAGGATTGCCAGTTACTTGTTAGCAGAAGGAGTGTTCCCGGCACGTCTATCTGATCAGCAACCGCTGAATCATCATTTCTCCGATCGCTCATCTGAAGTCTTTGTTGCGAAACGATTATAACAGTTTACGATTGGAAATTTAAGAACAAGATATCGTACAGCGGGTTTGACGGCAATGGCTTGGTTGAATCTGAACGAGATATTGGCAGATCAGAGTTCCCCTTGAGCGCCCAGCAGAAAAGAACTTATATGGCATTTCCCAGCGAGAGATTGCAGCACAGCACATTGTGAACAAAGGAGCGTGCGTCTTGATAGTTTCGCAGGCTAACTCAGCCCCTCGGAAGAATGATTAAGTGAGTTCCGACTTGGCCAACATGCGATTGGCGAATCCAGGGCGTCAACGGCGGAGCGGGTCTGTTGCATTATCACGATGCGACGCCATTATGTTGGGAAGAGGCGCGACAGCCCAGAGACTAGTGCCGGCTTATTGGATAACACTTGGGCCCTAGGGAAGTAAATCCTACTACCCCGGATTCTTGACCGGTCAAAGCAAGGTCTAGCCTAACTGGTCGACTTTTCTCATGCTTGAAAAGTCCCAAGTTATGGTTTCATGGGGCAATTAGATCAAGAACCCCAGGATTTCTGGCCATTGTAATCGGACTAGTGCATCAGATCTACGGTGCCTTACTTGAGTGCTGGATCTTGAAGACGCTTTGACTCTGCCTAGCATGTGAGGATATATCGGCGTGATATCCCGATAGTGTGGCATCCCTTGCGACAGCCGAAACATTGAGGTTAAAGACTGAAGCATCTTTTGCATCATTTCCAGATGTCGACCTCAAGTAAATTTGTTGATCTTGCATCGGCCCAAAAATAGGTAACAGTAGCTGACGTGTGCCTAAACAACCTTGTCGATGTTGGCATCGCTCGGGGAACGCGGGGAGATCGCGCTAGTTAGGAATTCTCCTCTTAACATCGACTTCTCATTAAAGATGATGGATTGTCAACTTAAAATGCTTTATAGATCGTGAGGCAATGGTGAACGAACCAGTATTATAGCGCATCCCAGCAGCCTCTGCGCCGCGGAATTTTACAACTCTGTATATTGTCGGGCAAGGGTAGAATTCAATGAGCCCGAACTCTGTAATAATTTTCTCGGCGGCCACAAACAGATCGTGTTGTCTGTTCGTGCGAAGTGAGAAGGTGACGGGGAAATGCCACCGCGAGCGGAGGCTGTGATGATCGCTGAGCGTCCACGATGTGTTCGTTTCGTGCTTTTAACTCGAGAAACTGGCGAGAGAAGTAGTCAATTGATGCTGCGACATACTCCATTCAAGTCTAGCGCGTAGCGAGCCGAGCTTCCGTCGACATCATGATTCCTTCGTGCTCATCTTGGAGGGGAGAACCTGTCTGGCTTTTTTCCCAACCTGACGTCTACAACGCCCGCTCTGGCCGTAGACAAGTCCTCCAGCCCCTTATTCAGCACTTCTTTTGCTCTCAGACTCAAATTCTTCTCCTTGTGGTTAATCTTGTTGCAGGGAACAAAGGCATGAACGACAAAACCACCCAGCTTTCAGCGGCGGCAGAAATGACGTGGCAAGTACCGCGATGTCCCGTAGGAAGGATTCCTGCCGGGATGATTAAAGTCTCATGGTGTTTGGAACTAAATCGAAGTAATTTGGCAAAAGACATAAATGACAGTAGTAAGCGTGGAGATGACAGTTTGTAGACTTGAAGTATGAGCTGCCCACAGCAGCAAGTTGGACGGCCATTGCGACAAAGGACCAGGCTAACAAAGACTTGAGTGACATAATCATCACTTTGATCAAACCAATGCTACCGAGTATAGGTCCAGTGAATATGATGATGGAGCGAATACCATCTTGCTTCAAGCTTTCGTGGACAGAAAGGCCTCGATCGAAAGGTTCGCCCAATCCATTGTATCGGTAGGATTACGGACATCTGTCAAGGTCCGATGCCCAGATCTGTGCAACAGCGTAAGGATCCGATGCCAGTAGAGCTCCGGCGCCGTCATCATCGGCAAGCAATGGATATCGTGGCGACTCTAGGATGGTCAGCAGGAAGACGATCACAATCAATTCGGGGACCACCCAAACAGCAATACGAATTTCTAACCACGATCAACTATCGTCGATGGTAGCTGCGGCGATCATCTCCGTGTCTGTTGTACAGACTAAGACTAGCGAAACCAGAATTCTTCCCCATGGTACGGAGTAAGGACGATCCCTAGTCCAACAAACGGGAGACGAGGTGCCCGGGTGGCTGCAGCAAGGACACCGAGGTCGTCTGAGCGCACGGCATCTTCGCAGGGCGAATTCAGGCGTTGTAACGGTAGAAAGGGTATTTTCAGCTCCCATGCCGGGTCCCTGGCAAGTCGGGATGATTAGAATAAAAGTGAAGCTCTAGTGCTTACCACGGAGCACGAGCTATCACAAAATACACGTACTCGTGGAACCGTTGTGTGCCGGCCGACAATGGACGGGACCAAGGGTGCCAAAAATAACTGCATTTGTTCTTGTACCCCATTGATCGGATAGATGATTCGTGCCGCTGCCTTGTCGGGAAGTGGGTTGTCGTTGCCAAACTGGTATTGCTGCAGACAAAGTCTGGAGCCTTATGCACGCACGGTACGGGGAATTGTTTCCGGGCAGCAACTCCATGTCATATTCAATGTTTGCCACAACGTACGTGTCCGGGCGAGTCCTTGTCACGGCTGCAATATTGGATTTCAGCCAGCCACGGCGGCTGAGCGGCCCTGGGGCACGGCCCGTCGCGCGTAGAGATCTCGAGCTGTCAATATATTGACGTCAACGAGGGCGGAAGTCGGCGTTGCATTGTCGCCACGCTGGGTTGGGGGCCGTTGAGGGCCAATATACCAAGGTTGGCAATGTCAGGTACATCTAAGATTGCGACTGCATCTAGCACTCTGCGCATTTGCTCATGTACGTGCCATCACACTACATGTCACCTGCACTTACGGCATAATAACAAAAGCTTGTCAACTTGGCAAGGCTTCTGTCAACTTTCACCGGTGAGCTGACGTACCTGCAGATAGTTGTTCCAGCCAAACCCCCCAGGTGCATTGGGTGGCGTTCAATATTGGCACAGCAGGCCGCACCGCGTACGCTTTCCGTCCCGGAACGCATCGTCGGGAGAAAACTTCACGCCATGTCTGCAGCTGAGATTGAGGACGGCTCGTATGATCAACGGCATCTACCGGCAGTTGTGACAACAAAGGCTTGTGGGGGAACAAAACTATTGACGCCTTCCTGTAGTGACTAACGCCGACATCAAGTTTTGACTGTTTAGAATCTTGCTTTTTTTTTGCTTTTTTTGAAGGACTGGGCTTGACATTGGGCCTCGGAAAACTATATAAACTCCCCGTCGTCGACTTGAGTCAACTTCAAGTCATCAAACTCCTGCATCTCAATCAGCAACCTTCTCCTACAACACCACACACTACACTTCTTTTATCACTTCCAGGCTTTCTTAGCATACCTTCAATATGAAGTTTGTCGCCACCGTTCTCACCTTGGCCGCTGTTGCTACTGCTGCTCCTGCTGAGCTCGTGGCCCGTACTGGAGGCGCCTGCAGCATCAACGGCAACAATGATGGAAAAATCACGTGCTGCAACGCGGGAATCCCTATCCTTGGCCAACTCCTCTGCAATATCGCGGTTTTAGGAAGTAATTGCAATGCTGGTCAGAGTACTTACTGCTGCAACAGCCAATCCTCGGTGAGTCTAGTAGCCGCTTGGAGGTCTTCAAAAAAAAAGATGTAGTAGAAACTAACTATCGTATACAGGGTGGTCTCATCAACGTGGACGTCAGTTGCATCAAGCTCTAGTGAATTAGCTTGACGGTGCGATTGAACGCGTCCGAGCTGTCGGCGGAAGCCCTGTCAGGGTAGTGTGGCTGGTACGGGGGTTGCTGGCATTGTCTTGGCTCTTCTAGTTGAGAAGGCTTCCATTCTTTTGTGTCATATAAAGCCAAATCCTTGAATATGAACTGGGGTACCGGTTTATGTTGTAGGATATTTGAAACTAGCAAGGGGCAGAAATAAACGGGTTCCCACCCTAAGAGTTGTTCCGTTTTGTGATGTGACTCGTGGCCACTATTTCTATGACGTTGTAGTAATGCATGTGGCCTTGAAAAACGGCATTAGCTCTTGACGCTTCTATCCAATTGAAATCGGAATTGGGTCCCAACGTTTGCTGGGTGTAACGGGCTGAAGAAGTTCCCTGGCCTCTATTGGGCCGCGTTCTGTCCACACTGTGATACTCATGCATGTGTTGTCAGCATCAAGGCTATTGTCACAAAAAGAAAGGACTCTTATTAGGCAGCAACTATATCCCCTTATATTACTGTTACCGAGACCTTGGATGTTCAATTGAGCAAGATTCATGATAATGCCGTTGACACATGTGCATGCGTGGTTAGCATTGAACCGTGTGCATGACACCCTGCGGCAAATCATATCCGAGTTTTGCTCTCCTCGTTTTAACCAATTTCGCATTCTGCATCTGGGATGGACACTAGATGTGGCAGAGTCTCTCAAGCATACCCAACCCTCTTGGCTGGCAACTGTTGGAGGGAATAGGGCATTTTTTGGCCCTGTTCGTCACGATAGTTGCTTTCTCTAGGGCACGAGTTGAAGGAGGCCCTAGTAGGGGTTTTCATGGGCTCTGACTATGTATACCAGGGGTCAATTTGCTGGACTTCCATCATCATCAAGTATCATCAATTTAATACATTCAGTATCTTGTAATTCCGCTGCGTAAATTGCTGTTATTTTTTCAATTGCTACGCCAAATTTTTGTCTCTTTGTATCTAATACCATTGTATCGGATAGTTCTAGCTCAACTCTCCTAAGTAAATCTACCATATCAATTTGGGTTCTCTTATATCCTTCAACCCTCAACATCAGCCTTTTCATTCGCTCAGCTCCCACGTTTGTGCCTCTTGCGCCCTCCCCTCTTCTTTTGCGGTCTGGAACATTGAGGAGCTTTTTATCTCTTGTGAAATATGACTCATGCGTCGAGCAAGCCTGAGCCTATTGCCATTCTTGGCATGGGCCATCGATTCCCTAGGGTGCCGATGACGGACCGAAGTTTGTCTTGGTAACTATGTATAAGTATGAAAAATACATGGTCAAAATGACATGCAGGCCGTCCGGATGAGTAAACATACCACCCCCGGTTAGAGCACAGTGGAAAAATAAGTTATAACGAGTCTACGATGCGGCGCAACTCGGCTGCTCTAGAGTGCATGCTTGAGCTGTGTCTCAGTACTGATAGAGTAGAGTAGATCCATAGCCGCGAAGGGCATTTCCTCAAAGGAGACATGTCGTTTTGGGTGCGTCCCTTTTCAACTTCACATCTGATATGGCCAAAGTGAGTTTCGGGATTTCTTCCTTTATGCAGCCTCTCATATGCCAATATTTGCTGATTCATGGACCCGCAGTGTGACAAGGGCTATAATTATATGGCTTGGAACAATGTTCGATATTCAGCTAATAATTTGCTTTGATATCAAAGATCCTTGGTTTTCCTCAAGGCCTTAAGGGGCGGATGACCCTTATTTATATCAAGAGGCGGTCAAAGGGCTGTCCTGGGTGCCTGAGGCCCCCGTTAGGTCTCGAGCCCTTGTGTAACTATCATCATGTTCAAGGTACGGCCCGTGCCTTTATGGCAACGTGACATCCGTGTAACACGCAGCTTCGACTGCGTCTACAGACTACCTTCAAAGCCTTGGAAGGGAATCGCTCATACTTCTTATTAAGCAGTTGATTTTATTGGACTTTCTTTGTCTTTTTCTCTTTAGTCAATCATTTGAACCAGTTTTAACACAGCTGGACTTGAGTCGGAGAGTGTTGCTGGTTCACAAACGGCTGTATTCGTGGATGCCATGTGCAATGTTTCATGGCTATTACAACATATTGATGATGGATGTGAAGAATCTTCCGCGGTAGTTGTTGACTGGAGACGCTTGAACCCTCTCAAATTTCCCCTATCTGCATAACTCCAGTTGACCCTATTATCGTTATCTTTCTGAAGTTCTTGACTAAACTCCCAGGTCTCGACTTGACTAACGCTGCCTTTTGCTACAAACTCCTATCCTCAAATAGCCATCTTGACCCTCTTGAACCCCGTGTCCTCTATCACACGGGCCGCCACGTCCCCCTTAAGGTAATACGACGCAGAAAGCAGAATAACTAGTTAATCGGAACAAACCACCCTTTACGCCCTGTGAATTGTAGCCCTGGATCTGAAGCTGGATTTGTTCCAGGTTAGGTTTGCCGCCAACCTGCGGTGCTTGGATGTCCGGAGCATATGTCTTACGGCAAAAGCGGGGTCTGAAAAGATCAAAATACTGCAATTGGTAATGGAATGCGTTTAGCACCGTCGGGGAGGCTGAGGTGCGATTACCGGTTTTGGCGAGGAACACGCATTGATGTCTTTCTTCCCATCCACGTGTCCATACATATTGTTGAGAGAAAAATACTGTTATCTACCAAATTAAACCATGCAACTCTGTGAGGCCTCAACTTTTGGCAAATTTGCCAAATAACACATAATATTAAACTGGGCTTCCAGCGCAGATTGACCAAGTTGGGGAAGTGTATGTGTGTCATCACAAGTCATTGCCACCACAACATGAGTGGTTTAGTAACCTTCACTGCATGCTATTATTGCTGCTCGTACGCAAGATCAAAGAAAAACACGGCAAAATGATTATCCCTTCAATGTCTTATGTAAGCAGTGTAACGACGAGAGGTACAAAATGCTGACCAACAAGCAGCTAACCAACATCTTTTCCCCGGGGTCGTTAGACGCTTCTGCTCCAAATACACCTTTTCCCTTCATACTACGACCTGTGCACTGCCACAATGACGCGGGAAATTACCAAGGACGATCTAGCGGCAGCTGCTCGGGTTCGGCCATTCTGTGCTGTTCATTTCTTGATAGATGGCAAGACTGTCGTCAAAACCGGAGAGAACACTCGCCTGGCTGAAGCCAACACCATGAGGTTCATCCGTGAGAATACGAATATCCCCGTCCCAGAGGTCTATGACGCATATACGCATGACGAAACCGGCCATGTATGTATTGTTATGGAAAGAGTTGACAGTCAAACGCTCCAAGAGGCATGACCAATACTTCGATGATGATATTGGGGGCTATGGACCGTACTCTACGGAAGAAGGTTTCAACCAGGGTTTAGTGCGGGCATGGACAAAGGGGCGGGAGGACGATAACTTTATACGATTCCTCTGCAAAACTCTACTTCACACGATGCAGGGCCATGAGTTCGTTATGACTCATAATGACTTTGCGCCTCGTAATATTCTTGTCCGTGGATCTCAAGTTGTGGCTATTTTGGACTGGGAGCTCTCTGGTTATTTCCCCGAGTACTGGGAGTTTGCAAAAGCACTTTGGAGGCCTGCTTGGGATAGTCCTTGGATGAAGGATGATCTTGTTGAGAGGGTTCTTGACCCATATTATCAGCAAGCTTCTCTTATTCTGAATACATCCTATACTATTTGGTAAAGCGGACGTCGGTCGAGCGGAACTCTGACCCAATTCTTCCTACGTCCGGGTTGCCTTTTACACTGTTGGCTCTCAACAAAGGGCGCTGGGCCAACAAAGGTGACACAACAACAAAGGCAAAGGGCCACGAGGCCCGAAGTCGGTTAGCGAGGGCTGCCTCAGGCAGAAGCCCTCACCGACTTCTTGTATTTATATGGGCTTTTTGTCTATCAAGGCCTCGTTGAAAACTAAGGACCTTTAATAACCTAAAGTCGATTATTATAGTCTGAATAGAACACTACGTTCTAAGCCCAGTTGCTCTGCCTTTGTTACACTGCCTGAGCTGTGGCCAAGTGAAGCCTTAAGCAAGCCTAAGCATGGCTGAGCTGAAGCTCAGCCGAGGGCAAACTGCTACAGGACAGCCAATAAAATATAAATGACTGACTACATACATTTATTGCTCTCCGCCTCAGTTCACCGTTTTCTTCCTAAGTTGGTATAATTTATCATGGTGGGTTTTTGGCCTTAATATATAATGCATTAACCTATTATTATTTTACGTCTACTCCTGTTCCTTACATCCATATTAGGGCCATCACTTTTTCTATTATTATAGACATTTTGACTAGCATTTTCCTTGCATTATATTTCCCACCGATCAGTGCTTATTATTATCTCTACAACATTCAACTAAAAAGAACAGCCTTAACGTGCGTGCAGGAATGTTCAGGGCCTGCATAAAAGAAAATAAAGCGATATTGATGTTGCGCCCAGGTATTAACTGTTACGAATTTAATTCGTGGCGTTGATTAAGGCGAAACAGGGATTACCCCTGTCCTACGGGAGGTGCCTGCATTTAACCTAACGGTAAGTTAATAAGGACCAGTCGTTGATAAGTTTCCGATAATTTGATTGAATTGACATTGAAGGAAAATTGATGAGCCACAGAGGAACCAGCCACAGGAAGTCACGTGTAAATTATATGCCTTCTCGGTGTCTTGGTTCGAAAGCCAAACACACGCATCTTCAAATCTTCAGAGCCTCTTTTTTATCGCCCGCGCACATCTGTAGAGATTCTAATTTTGTTTCAAATGCGTTTGGTCGCCGCCAGGAACTGTGCGCTGCGGTACCAACCATGTACCGGGAAATTGGCACTTCCCAAGGCTCTGCCTTTAGATAAACTCGTCGACGAAGAGCAAATCCCGGGCTATCAACGCCGGAATTTTCTCCATCCGAACCCCGGAGACAAGATAGGAGATGCATATGTGCTCAAGGCGAAAGTAGGTTGGGGATCGTCCTCGACAGTATGGCTTGCTCAAAAGGACCGGTTAGTGGTAGGCTGTCAAACGCCTGTACCTTCTCAATAACTAACCCAGATTGCAAAAGAACCTGGTTTTGGCAAAAGAAATATTTCGCCATCAAAATAACTACGAATAACTATTGCGACGGTGAGGCTGCAAAAGAATTGGCAATGTCTGCTCACCTTGCGTCCGGCAACAAAAGGCATAGGGGTCACCACTTGCTCGTCACGGCTATGGATCATTTCACCATTCCGTCTCCTAACGGGTAGCATGTTTGCTTGGTATTCGAGCCGATGCGAGAGCCATTGTGGCTGTTCAAGAGTCGGCTTTCTGCCGGGAAGATAACGTCTTCAACACTCCCCCTGTTCAAACTTTATATTCGGGGCATGTTGTATGCTCTCGACTACTTGCATACCGATCGTCACGTTATTCATACCGGTAGCTCAGCTTTCTAGAAATGCTTTTTACAAGTACGGGCTGCTGATCATCACCATCTAGATCTCAAGTTGGACAATATTCTCATGGCATTTGAACATAGCTCGGTCCTCGAGCGGTTCGTTGAAAGCCAGTCAGCGAACCCGATGCCTCGCAAGGCCATTGGCGAGGACACTATTTATCTCTGCCACAACGACTTTGGCGATCTTCAGGAGGAACATCTCCAAAACGTAGTTCCCAAGATTGCAGATTTTGGGCTAGCACAACGGGGAGATGGCGGGGAGCGGCTCCTCCATCCAATACAACCCAACCATTGCCACGCGCCTGAAGTACTACTCGGAACAAGTTGGTCCTATAGTGCCGATATTTGGAATTTCGGCGTTATTGTAAGTCTAATGATTTCCAAGTATTGAGCGTACGTGTTAATTCACAGCAGTTATTGGACCTACTTGGTGGACGGGAGCTATTTCTCGGCAGGCCCGAGAACGTCCCGGACAGGAACGAATACAGTGCCGCGCACCATCTCGCCGAGATGATTGCACTTATTGGTCCCGTACCTCGTCGGTTGATACAACGACAAAGAGACATGAGGCACTGGTGCTGGGAGCCACGCATCCCGAACGCCAAAGGGGATATGTGTAACAACGCGGAGGATTATTTCGGCGGCCCTTTTTTCGATGGCCATGGTGAGTGAGCCAGGCACACAGTGACTTGGATGGCCACTAACGAGTCTGCAGGCAAGTTCATGTATGAGTCATTCATTCCGTTTCATCGGCAGTTGGGAAAAGAAGTGCCAGACTGTATTGTTTCTGAAGACTTGGAGCGCTTCCTTAAATTCTTGAAACGGATGCTATGTTGGCTCCCTGAGGAAAGGGCAACAGCTGGCGAACTGGCTCAAGATCCATGGCTATTTTCTTCATCCTGACCTTTGGCAGGATAGACCAATTGCACTGGTGCCTGGGCTGGGCGAAACTACCGAACAGTATGCCAAAATTGCCTATATCGTAGTGATGGGCGAGAGCAAAGCGATCTGTGGCGCTTTTCCGGAGCTTTCAAAGCTATCCTAGATTTTCCTTCTGGCTGTAAGTCACTGGTGTTAAATGCAAACTAGTCAGGTGAACGCATTCAGCGGAGAAAAGGAGGGGAGCCTCAAAATGTAACACACGTGAACTGTCCCTGCCTCACCGAGCTGCGCAAAACTCACAGACCAGCCAATTTATATCCAACTACCATACCCCTCGCTCAATACCATCTATTCAGTGAGTTAATTTACAGAAAGCCGCTGCAGTCCTCAACGCTGGCGTTGACAGCACATCCCTTGGCTGGGAGTCTGCAAGCCGAGGAATTAGCATAATCCTTGCGGTTTCTTAGCACTGGAGCTCGTTTTGGAACACATTTTTATGTCACGATTATAATGATATAGAACTAAGTGGGACCGTGGTCTATCCTTTGGGGATTCTGAGTAACACGTAGCCGTTTTCTCAGCTCTTGGTCTCTCAGCTTCATCTGCATACTATTCATACCCTCGGGGAAATATAGATAAACCTTGTAACCACAGTCAACTGATGCATCCATCATGGGGCCCTCGATGATGTTTACAAGAGGTACAACTACGCCTCAGTGAGACTAGTCTGAAGGTCTCGCCTGAAGGTTCCAGCAGGAGATTGTGATTTGCGAACGGCGGCGGCATCATATGCTCCGAAATGAGGCAACAGTGGGCCTTCAAGGATTAATGATCCACATCAAAGTCATGGAGGCTTTCTGCTTTGCGCTATTTCCAGTACTCCGTTCTCAGGATACCATCACCAGCATAGTGTCTAATACTAGGGGTCCAATCATACCTGTTGCTGACATGTCGGCGGTCGAATATCTCGATATTCTCTTCCGCCAGCGCTTCAGATCAGAGAGATGCCATTCAAGGATGGCGAAATAATCCACTCTGCGTGGGATCGGGTAATTTTGTGAGTGCAAGGCTTTCAAACATCTAGGAGGCGGGTGCCTTTTACCCCTATCTAGAAGTTGGTCACGCGGATTCTTGTTTGCTGACTTTGTAATTTGCATGTTTCCCCGTACATGTCGAAGACTATCCTATCTCATGGACTCCGATGTGTGGAATATACTACTCGATCCCGAGATTAACCGCATCACGGGGCTGATAGACTTTGGCTTTGGGCTATCGCTTCCCAAGGCGGTGAATGCCTGTGGTCTCTCACAGCGTCATTCAGATGAGGGTGACGTTACATAAGGATGCTGCTGAGACTTCAGTGCGGCCTTGGCAGCCGAATTTTCCGGCAGGCAGCGACTCTGAATCACTTCTTTGTGAGGAGAAGTCCCCTCATAACCCTGTCGTTTCCGTGCCCGACCTCTGGAGCAATTCCGCCCAACGAAATTGAGATCCAAGCCACTAGGTAACACATCTAACGCAGCTGCCTAATTTTGCAGGCCGGAAACCGTGCCGTATCATATATTTAGGGGAATCGATTTTGGCGGCCACATCATCTGGTGACGTTTCTCCGGTCATTATTTTTAGGCTGCCATTATTCGGGCTGTCCTTTCAAACTTTTCAGACACAAACGCCGTCCTCAGTCAAGCCCAAGTCACGTGGCGCCCTTCGCCTGTGAACGCGGCGATTCCGTTGCCCCGCCACATGTGGCTTGGCCGCACCCCGTTGGGTTGGGTGTTGGGAAGTTTCAGCTACCTGTACGCGTGTATACAGTTGGTGGCGTACAAGGCAGGGAGGCAAGTAGACAGTACATATTTAGAGCACGGGCCAACTGGTCAACTGGTCAGCCTACTGGCCGAACCCGTGGCACCGTCGACCCCTGCCAGGGCAGCGACGCAACACTTTTTTAGTGCGTGCCCTTGTCAGGCTGATGGACCAGACTGGAGAAGCACATGTCGCCCAGCCAGTCCTCCTTATCCAGCTTCACAAACACCTTGCATTTTCCGGCACACAGCCCATCTCCAACCGCGTGCGCCATCCGTTCTGTTGATCGAGTACATCGTGTTGCGACACGAAAACGTCCAACGGCATCGTATTGCTTCTGGCCCTCTTCCTCGAACGGGTTTCCGAGCAACTGGTGACAAGTCATCGTGGTGACGTTTCCCCTCCACCGCATCGTCGGACCGCCACTTCAACAGCGACTTTTGTTTCTCCTGCCGTCCAACACCACCACATCGTAACCCCTACGAGCCCACCACCGACAACAGTAAGCTATAGCGAGACGATCTAAACCAAGCGATCATGAGTGGCAATCTCGCGACCTCGGGTGGCATCTCGGATCCTGCCCTCATCCAGTGAGCCCCCACCGCCGTTGGGCCTTGTGTCAGGGGGTACGATATAGTTGCTAACCTTCGGGCTCAGACTCGTCAATAAACTTCAGGATGTCTTCGCCACTGTCGGCGTCAACAATCCCATCGATTTGCCTCAGATTGTCGTAGTGGGCAGCCAGTCTAGCGGCAAGAGTTCCGTGTTGGAGAACATCGTGGGGAGAGATTTGTACGTTGCCCCTTTTGCGGCATAGATCGATATCAACGAAGAGCTAACTAACCGCCTCTATCACAGCTTGCCTCGAGGTTCCGGCATTGTTACGCGGCGTCCATTAGTATTGCAGCTCATCAACCGCCCAGCCCAGACAAACGGTGTCAAGCCCGAGGAGATTTCTACAGCTAACGACAAGGCTGCCAACGCCGACGAGTGGGGAGAGTTTTTGCACATCCCTGGCCAGAAGTATCACGACTTTGGCAAGATCAGAGAGGAGATTGCCCGTGAGACGGAGGCAAAGGTTGGCAAGAACGCTGGCATCTCGGCTGCCCCCATCAACTTGCGTATTTACTCTCCCAATGTTCTCACCCTAACACTGGTCGATTTACCGGGTCTGACCAAGGTGCCCGTCGGAGACCAACCCCGCGATATCGAGCGACAGATTCGAGAGATGGTTTTGAAATATATTGGAAAGTCGAATGCCATCATTTTGGCTGTTACGGCAGCCAACATTGACCTGGCTAATTCAGACGGCCTCAAGCTCGCCCGTGAAGTTGATCCCGAGGGTCAGCGTACCATTGGCGTCTTGACAAAGGTCGATTTGATGGATGACGGAACCGATGTTATCGATATTCTCTCGAATCGCGTCATCCCATTGCGTCTGGGTTACGTCCCCGTGGTTAACCGAGGCCAACGAGACATCGATAATAAGAAGGCCATCAACGTTGCCCTTGACGCCGAAAAGGCATTTTTCGACAACCACAAGGCTTACCGTAACAAGAGCTCGTACTGCGGAACTCCCTACCTGGCACGCAAGCTGAATATGATTCTCATGATGCACATCAAACAAACCCTGCCCGATATTAAAGCAAGAATTTCTAGCTCTCTACAAAAGTACACCAACGAGCTGGAGAGTCTGGGGCCATCTATACTTGGAAATAGTGCCAACGTTATCCTGAACATTATTACCGAATTTACAAACGAGTGGCGGACAGTTTTAGACGGCAATAACACTGAGCTTTCCAGCACAGAGTTGTCGGGTGGTGCTCGTATCAGTTTCGTCTTCCACGAGCTGTACGCGAACGGTGTCAAGGCCGTGGATCCATTCGACGTTGTCAAGGACGTTGATATCCGAACTATTCTCTACAACTCTTCTGGTTCATCTCCGGCCCTGTTTGTCGGTACCACCGCGTTTGAACTCATTGTCAAGCAACAAATCAAGCGCCTCGAGGATCCTAGCTTAAAGTGTGTCTCCCTCGCCTATGACGAACTGGTCCGAATCTTGTCACAGCTTCTGGGCAAGCAGTTGTACCGGCGATATCCTCAGCTCAAGGAGAAGATGCATGGTGTTGTCATCGCCTTTTTCAAGAAGGCTATGGAGCCCACCAACAAGCTGGTGCGCGATCTTGTCTCCATGGAGTCGTGCTACATCAATACTGGTCACCCTGATTTCTTGAACGGCCACCGCGTAAGTGTGCGAGCCCGTCTTTATGTGGAAGCTCTTCTCTAACTCCCCCGCTTTAGGCCATGGCGATTGTCAACGAACGATACAACCCCGCTAAGCCTGTCCAGATTGACCCCAGGAGTGGCAAGCCTCTTCCACAGGCTAGCACACCTGCTCGGGCCAGTAGTCCCCCAGTCCCTGAGGTGGATGGCACTGGCAATGCCGGTTTCTTTGGAAGTTTTTTTGCTGCCAAAAACAAGAAGAAGGCGGCAGCTATGGAAGCCCCTCCACCCACATTGAAAGCCTCTGGCAACCTTTCTGAACGAGAGAATATTGAAGTGGAAGTCATCAGTAAGTCCTTTTGGCATCACTTGCGCCGAACAGAAACTGATCCCGTTCGACAGAGCTGCTCATTTCCTCCTATTATAACATTGTCAAGCGCACCATGATTGACATGGTCCCCAAGGCTATTATGCTTAATCTCGTGCAGTATGTACACCAGGACTTTTTTCCACTCCTGTTGTAGGTACTAACTCGCAATGTACAGGTTTACCAAGGATGAAATGCAGCGCGAACTGCTCGAGAACATGTACCGAACCGATACGCTCGATGACTTGCTCAAGGAAAGCGACTTCACAGTCCGCAGACGGAAGGAATGCCAGCAGATGGTTGAATCTCTGGGCAAGGCTAGCGAAATTGTCAGTCAGGTCCAATAAAGCCTACCAACCCCAGGCAGACCAGATACTTGTGTTATTGCAATTTGCTTGGCGCCGATGGAAAACGTGATGAACAGGCATGAAAACGTTACTATTTCTCGACGTCAAGGAAAACCCGTCGAATCAAACGCTCGCTATTTCTTTTTCGATACCATGGGTTGGTGTACCAAGGCTTAGAGTAGATCAGATAGTGTGACTCGCGGATTCCCATTGGAGAGCTCGAGGCAGAGCATCGTCCCCGCCGTCTTTTGTCACTGAGAATGATTGATTGATGTTACTTTTTTTGGTCTGATTTGGTCATTGCAGAGGGGATACAGAAGGCGGATCTTATTTTGGGGACCGGCCAATGTATGTTGTGCGTGGCGCTTTGTGTCGCGTTTGTGGGTAAGGGATGTATGGACTAGACGAAGCGTTTTAACCCCTTTATTAATAGCAAATCAATGTGTTCTACGTGAGAGGGAGCTGATGTCTTGAACAGGATAGGGCAAGCATCACGCCGGTGGATGATGTCGCGAAACAAGTGTATTGATATGCATTGTACGTTTGGCTGTATCTGTTGCTCTATTCTCTGAAATCTTACAGCTTCGAACCCCCCTTGGTCAGGATATACGCACCCTTGTGCACGTCATATTCTCTCCCCTTCTGCCACCCCAGCCACTTCTCCAACGCCTGTTGGCCACCATCCCCCGGCGCCAGCGGCTCGCCCTCATACCCGTCCCCAGGAACGCCAGCGCCTTGGCCGTGCGTGACGGGGTCGGAGTGTCCCGCTGGCCGCTGCTTGATGGCCAAGCACGGCGTGCCGCGCAGCGTCACGGACGGGCGCTGGTCCCCCTCCCTGGCAGCATCGCTTTCCAGCTCCTGGTACTCCAGCACGGGGGCGGCGCAGGCGTCCGTCCCGTCAAAGATGGCCTCCCACTCGGCGCGCGTCTTTTGCCTAAAGGTGGTCTCGAAGAGGGCCCGCATGGCCGGCCACTCGTCAAAGTCGAAGCGCTTCTCCTCCAGGCCCCGGCCGGCCAGGCCCATGCCCTCGACGAGCAGGCGGAAGAACTGGGGCTCCAGGGCGCCCACCGAGTAGTACTTGCCGTCCTTGGTCTCGTACGTCTCGTAGTAGGGGCACCCGCCGTCGAGGAGGTTCTTGCCGCGGCCGCGGGCGCCGACGCCCGACTTGAGCCCCAGCCGCGGGAAGGTGGCGAGGTACGCGGAGCCGTCGACCATGTTGGCCTCGACGACCTGCCCGCGGCCGGTGGTCTGGCGCGCGAGCAGCGCGAGCAGGATGCCCTGGAAGAGGTTGGCGCCGCCGCCGGCAAAGTCGGCGAGGATGTTGGTCGGCGGGTGGGGCGTGTCGGCGGCGCGGCCGAGGAGGCTGAGGGCGCCTGAGACGGCGAGGTAGTTGATGTCGTGGCCGGCCATGGCGGCGTAGCGGCCGTCGCGGCGGAACCCGGTGAGGCGGGCGTACACGAGGCGCGGGTTGAGGGCGAGGAGGACCGAGGGCCCGAGGCCGAGCTTCTCGAGGACGCCGGGGCGGAAGGGGTCGATGAGGACGTCGGCGCCGCGTGAGACGAGTTCCTTGATGAAGGTTGTGCCGGGGGGGGACTTGAGGTCTACGGATATGGAGGCCTTGTGGCGGGTGAGCGCGTCGGCGGTGGGGAGGGAGCGGGTGTCGGAGGCGCGGTCGATGCGGATGACGGAGGCGCCTGCGTCGGCGAGGAGCATGCCTGCGAAGGGGCCGGGTGCGAGGCCGGCGAATTCGAGGACGGTGATGCCCGTCAGGGGCGGAGGGCCTATTTCCGCCATGTTGGTCGGTGTTGGCGAGGCTTTGGGAGGGCGAGAGTGGACGGGGCCTTGGGTGTGCGGTTGGCTAAAGGCCGGTGGTGGGTTGTTCAGGGCATTTTATGGGTTTGGAAGGGTATTTGTTGTTATTTTGTGGTGGTGAAGCTTGAATGACGTTGGCGGCACGAGGTGCGATTGAGCCGAGGCTCTGGTCGTGGCGGGAACCGAAACGCGGAGGCGGAGGCGGGGGTGGAGCTGCGTGATGGCGGGGGCCGGCAACGCTACTGTGAACCGAGCGACCGTGATTAGCTTGCATTGCACACTTGTATTGTCTTGGTGAAAATGTGTCAACTTGACTGCCGAGTGTCATTTGTATGAACGATATCATTTGACTTGTAGTTGCGGGCAATTCTAATCTTCATTATCGGCGAGTCCCATGTAGCTGTATCATCAACCTCCCCGTCCAGGGTAATAGATGACCTGGCCCCTAGAAAGACGAAAACTCAAAAGGATAAAGAATAAAGGATAAAACACCGCGTACTTTTAGTGTATAAGACAATAACATGCTGGCTTGTTCCCACGTTTGCAAGCGAAGCGATTGTAGTTTACGGACTGTAATATATCCAAATAAAGGCTACGTTTGGTGAGGAAGCTGGGGAACTAGCACGACACAAGGCGGGTTTTTTTGGACGGCTCTTGCTCAAATTTCTCTTGGCTAATCCTGAGAACGAGCAAACTGGAAAACACATTGAAGAACAAGTGTTGAGTCCAAATGGTAAAATCTGAAGAATGTTGGTCACGAGAATTGCTTTTTCTAGGGCTCAAATTGGGGCTCAAATTGAGGGTCATAGCAGGGTTCTCCAGGGGCTCTAGCAGGGTATAAAAGGGTCAATTTCCCGAGTTTTTCAGGTCGTTGAGCACAACTTACAAGTCTGTAACCATCATCTTTGTCAATGAAGCTGCTCAATTGAGGCCCTAACAAGCCTCCCAAAATCACATTATTCCGCCGTGTAAATTGCTGTTGGATTCAACAACAAGGCAGTCAGGGCGTAGAGATTACGAGCCGTGCTAGTAATCAAGGTGGTACATAGCCCTCCACGTTATTTGATTTCAATTACTAGTATTTAGTCAAATGCTGCAAGAGCCTACCTTTCCCTTTCTGGGCCGGCAGAAGGTGCTTTCATGTACTTGCCAAAGGCGGCCTTGGCCACCTACTTGAGAACCGTAGGTAGGTACCTAGGCAGTAAATGTGCAAAGTAATTCGCAGTCATCACCTTTACAATCTTACAACGCTGGAGTCACGTGGCTGATTTTGCTCTGAGTGCCTCATCAGTCGGCTGGTAGGTGCACATACCTGTCAGCCGTTTGATGAACCGCTGCCTTGGGTACCTGAGGCACAAAAGTCCGTCTCAACACGTTGGTGTTCACTTCACTTCAACAAACAGCAACTACAGTCATTTTACGGTGCCCAAACTACTTCAAATACCGCATCATACAAGTCCAGGGTCGCTGTGCTCCAATACAGATGGAACATACAGAACCGCAGCCAACCCTGCCCGACGGCGGCCGAGAACTCCTGGACAAGAAACGTCGGGCTTTTGAGGAACCAACCACAGCCTCCGGTACCAAAAGAATCAAAACCGCTCATAATGAGTCAGCAGCCTCTGATATTGCAACTCCGGCTATACCGTGAAGGGTTCCTTTTCCTGATAGGGCATGTTTCACCTCAGACCATGAAGAAACGTTCTAACCATCTTATAGCCTGCCGTCTTGGAAGAACGAAATGGCGAGATTGAATTTCGAGTTGTCAATAACGACGGCGCTGGAGAGAGCGTCGTTGTCCTTGTCGGTCTAAAGTGCTTGTTTCAAAAGCAGCTTCCGAAAATGCCCAAGGATTACGAAGGGGGGACACTTACGCTGTGCTCAATGGTCCCCCGGATACAGGACCTAGAAGTCGGCCGTGCTTCTCAAGCAAAAGGAAAGTGGTACAGGCCAAGATTCGGGCCGTGAGCAAAAGCCACATTGTTCATCGCCCGCCGTAGCAATGGGTCAACGATGCCGTAAGCCCGATTGACCCCCTTGCTATTCCTGCTATTCGGGCAACTGGTTGGTGCCTGGATATGGACGACTTATCAAGGGAGCCTCGCCACGGACCGCATTTCAACGAGCTTCGACGTGTTTTGTATCAGATCCAGAACCATAAACAGGTTTGGCCCTTTCTCCATCCTGTCAACAAGGACGAAGTGCCTGATTATTATAATGTTATTACAACACCGATGAATCTGTCGACAATAGAAGAAAGACTAATGCACGATTCTTACCATTCTCCGAGAGACTTTTTCAGCGATCTGAAACTTGTTTTTAATAATTGTCGGCAATATAATGACGCAACAACGGTATATAATAAGTGTGCGGTTAGATTGGAGAAGTACATGTGGAGCCTTATCAAAGAAGTTCCAGAATGGCTTGACCTACTCGAGGAATAATTTGTATTAGTACATCGATCTTCCTGGGGGTGGACTGCCTATTTCTCTTTGGACCCATTATCGCCGCTTCCGCCTACACGACAAGTGTTTGTTGGATTCGAGGCGCAATTGGACACACGATGCTTTCATTCATGGCAGCCAATAGTACACGATTCTTACACCTTGTCGCCTGGCGCGGCCTGCGTACCAGGTTCCATACGCTTGTGTCACGTCCAGAAGACCTAGCTTCATTCGTGGGACCCCGCTTCAGACGCCTCGCCCTGCTCCTCCATCTTCTCCTTCTCTCTCGTCTCAATCGTCGTCTGCTTCTCCCACATGACGTGGTACTTTCCTCGGAGCGCCAGTAACTCCTCATGAGTGCCGCGCTCGACGACCTTGCCCTTGTCCAGAACAACAATCTCGTCAGAATTGGTGATGGTAGAAAGGCGATGTCTGGTAAAGAGAAAATATTAGCTCCCGTCTAAGCAAAGTGATATAGGCGGCTTACGCAATGGTGATTGTGGTTCGCCCAGACGTGACGCGGTCGAGGGCATCCTGGATCTCTCTCTCGGTATTGGAGTCCAGCGACGCAGTGGCCTCGTCTAGGAGCAATATAGGCGCATCTTTGAGAATCGCACGTGCAATGGCAATCTAAGAGACGTATTTTTTTGTCAGCCAGCTGGAAACAGGGTGTTGCGCAAGGGAGGAACAGGAGATCTTACCCGCTGGCGTTCCCCGCCGGACAATTTGAGACCGCGCTCTCCAACCTTGGTTTCGTATCCGTCCGGGAAATTGAGGATGCTATCGTGAATATTGGCGGCCTTGCATGCTTCGTGGACATCGGCCTCGGTGGCATTTGGAGAGGCGTACAGTAAGTTGTACATGATTGTCGCGTTAAACAGCACCGTATCCTGCGGCACAACGCCAATGTTTCTGCGGAGAGAGTCGGTCTTGAGATCCCGCAGATCGTGGCCGTCAACGGTGATGGCGCCGCCGGTGACGTCGTAAAAACGGAATAGAAGTTTCAAGCAGGTTGATTTGCCGCCGCCAGATGCCCCGACAAGGGCCGTCTTGGTACCCGGGGCAACGGTAAAGCTGATACCATCGAGAACAGGCTCACCCTTCTTCACTGGATACGCAAACTTGACATTCTTAAAGGCAACTTCTCCTCGTGCGGCAGGTAGGGCGACGGCGTCTGGCTTTTCCACAATGCCCGACGTTTCTTTGAACTGTGGCATGTCAGAAGCTGAGAATTGAATTGGCTGTCAGACAATGGCTGGGATAATGACTTACCAGGTCAAGGAGCCGCTCGGCCTCGATGAGATTGTTTTGAAGCATGGTGTAGTAGGTGCCAAAGAAGTTGAGAGGGCCCTGAAGCTGGACGAAATAGTTGATCAAGCTGACAAATTCACCGACCGTCTGCTCGCCAATGGAGATTTTGTATGCCGACACGGCGACCAGAAGCGCGGTGCCGAGGGTGAATATGGAACTCTGGACGATGTTGAGACCGTTGAGCGACCACTGCACCAAGCGCTCGGCCCGTTGGAAAACGAGCACATGGTCCTTGAATCTTTGCGTTTCGCGAGGGATGGCGCAGTTATGCTGCACTGTCTCGTAGGCGATAATGGCGTCGGTCCTGATGGCTTCCATTTCGCGCGTCTTGGTGGTCATATCTCGCCTTTGCCTGGCACGATATTTGACTAGGTACAGGGTGAGAAAGATGTAAGACCACATGATGAAGAAGACAATGACTGTGTAAAAGGCGTCGTATTTGACAAAAAAGACGACGCCTGCGAAAAAGATGTCAAAGATCATGGGGAACACCTGAAAGCAAAAAACCTCGAGAAAAGTGTTGGTGGCCGCGCCGCGACTGAGCGCGCTGGTGACCTCGCCGACCTTTTTGTTCAGGTGGAACTCCAAGGACAAGCCAAGTACGTGTTCAAAGGCCGCCGTTGATAGTCGACGAAAGAGAGACTGGGACACAGGAATCCAGAGGACGGACCGCAGGGCCCCGATGGCTCCTTGGTTTCCCTGCAGATAGCGGTAAGCGACGAAAAGGATAATGTCCTTGTACGGTATGCCGCCTTTGCCGAGGGCGTCGACAAGGTTTCCTAACTGCAATGGAGCCAGGACGTTGACAATGCGCTGGCATATCAACAGAACAACACACACAACAACAACAGCCTGGTAGAGTACGGAGTCCTTCGGCCTGGTGGAAGTTAGCTTGCGTTTGATGTCACGATGCTGATTCAACGGCGGTCGTACCAGAGATACGGAAACAGGACTCGGAAACTGGCCACGTAAGTGAGCCAACTCATATTCGCCGTCTGTGGCGTTTTGGCCGCGTCTGATGCTGGCTTGGAATCTGGGACCGTGGCATAATTGCCGGACGATCCGTTGCCATTCTCCAGCAGGGACTGGCGTTCCTCGGGCAGAGATTTCGGCACTGACGGTCTCAGCTGACATTCTCTGAAGATGAGAACTGCCGCCATGAGGACAAAGATGGCGCCTCTGGACACCCCTAGAGCATTTAATGCATCGATAAACGTCTTGGAAACAGCCAAAGAAGTCTGTGTAGAAGACAGGACAGCAGCAACAACGACCTCCATCAGGGCGCCAGTGATCCAGGCCGAGCCATGCGCAGCAGTTGGGTTCCAGGGCCCCTGAGGATCAGGAAGCAATCCGGCCAGGAAGTAAAGCAGAACGGCGACGTAGGAGGCCTGTGGTTCACGTCAATGGGCCATTGGAGCATACGCATCTCGTGGGAGCACTCACCAGATATGCGCTGAAGGGAAACGCAGTCGTACCGGGAGCCTCGCCATGGTCAGCGAGCGCCTCTTTTGCCGCCAGAGAGGTGCTGGCAATCAACAAGGCAGACAGCACAAGCTGGAGGCTCCATATCAGCCAGGCACATATCCGTCGAGTGCGCTCCGGTCGCTTTGGCTCATGGTCGGATGGGCTGGGATTCGCGATGCGCGCCGCCTCCCGACGCCGATTGCGGAAGAACAAGAGGCATTGCGCTCCAATCAAGGTAAGTGTGAGGAGGACTGGGTAAAGATAGAAGAGTGTCTGCAGCGCCAGCTCTGCTCTCGCCATTGATGCGATGAAAGCGACTATCACGGGATGAGGTTGCGACAACAGGTCTAAAGAAGAGTGACTAATCGGAGCCGTGTTTTCATGGAAAGCTGTCCGGTAACTTGGCGGCCCACATATGCACCCACATCCTCTGTGGTAATGGCTTGGGTTAGGGTTTTTTTTTTTTTTTTTTTTTACGTATTATATATTCAAGAATAAGTTATATCTAATATTAATTAGAAAGTAATAGTTTATTGTCTCTCTTTTATCTTTCCTTCCTTACCCTGGTCCCTTATCTGAATATCTGTTCTTTTATCCACTCTAGTAACTGCACGATAAAAACCCTAACCCTAACGTATACATCATCTCTACACCGAAGTGTGCTGCTCCTGTGAGCGGCGTACGCTAAAAAGGAAACGGTAAAGGCACAAAATGCTCAAATTGCGTGAATTTTACGCCTTTCTCGTTCGTGAAGCCGGTTTTATAGTTTCTTTTGTTGCCTCCGCTCCTCATCAGCCTCGACAGATTCCATAGCCGCGAGGGCCGACGCAAGGACAAACTAAAGCACGTTATTTCATGTCAAATCCTAAAGCCGAGGTTCAAAGTACGGACACATCTGTCGTAATGAAGAAATAACTAGGCTTCGGAAGGAGAGAAATCTCCGTAATTCTATGCACGGCCGTTTGTGAGCCCGTTTGTTCAGCATATATATACTTGGGAACTGCTCCTCGCAACTTAAGAACATGGTACTGCAACTTGTAAGTGGGCCTCACGGTAAATCTAACCACAAATGGCGAAAGCTCTCCGGCAGCCGTGAAAGCATGGGACGCTAACCAACGCCACATCTAGTCGGTCATCATGTCTTGATACGGCGTTTCGCTTTAGAATACCCTACTTGCACACATATCGGAGGTACTAAAGTGCAAGTTTAAAGTAAAAGTCCACTCTCATCGGTGGATTAGGATAATGAGTTAACGTTACGCTACCAGGGGAACAATCCAGAGCATAAACAAGGGAGACCAGAGCCTAACAGATCCGGAACCACGACAGATTTATATGGCAATTTTCAACACCTGGAGTACAGTCCCATCACTAAGCAAACAATTCGTCCAGGAATTCACTCTCTGCTACGATATTCCAATCAAAGCCAATATCACCTCTGTACAAATCGAATGACCCCCTGGCACCCGAGTGTACTTCCCCAAGAGGCGGCCAAACCCACAGTTCCCTCTGCTTTAGCCAAAAATATTTCGTAATCCCAGGTTGGAAAGACGGTCTAAATTGGCCTCACGCTGTGGTGGACATCCCAAAAGTTGCGTTGTTGGTGTGGCCGGTCCCGAGACGCGGCGGACGGCAATACTCTTGAATACCAAGCTCAACCCGGTCGGGGACCTATCTCTTGATCCAATCCAAAGTTTGTCTTCTGAAAACTTTCAGGCTGTTTGCGAGCAGATTCAATCCCAGAAAATGTCCATCAACTTTTGTTCCAGACCCAGAGTCCTCTACAAACGGAGAGTGAGTATCGAAAGCTGTACATGCGCTGTGCAGGTTGGAAAAAGTATCGCTACCACACGCGGTTTTCATAACAGAGACGTCGGATCAACTTTCAAAGACGAATGGGCTCTCCTTCTCCTCCAGCATTCTACTGCCCTCACCCTCCTGCCCGCTCTTCAAAATGCTTCCCGTCTTGAGCGATTTCATCCTTCTTGCAGGCAGCTACGAGGACCATTTCAACGAGAAGAAGTTGGTTGAATACGCAAACAAGCAGCAAATCAAGGATCAGCACTTGCAACATTGACGAGAATTGCGACAAGAGGACCTGGGGTTTTGACGCCAACAGGACTACTTTCTGCAAGCCACCTTGAGTTGTCGATTTCATACGCCAATCAGAGGTTGCGGAGTCTCCAGGTCCGGATTACTTTCAGGCTGTCGCAACGTTAGTTGATTACGTGCAGGGTTCGTGCTCTGGTCTTGTTAACAGCGCTAGGAGTTGCCGAGGAAGTGTCCGGTGCTTTCTTTTTGGCCTGCCGCCTTGCAAGAGCTTTTGCTGGCCGACCTGCTAGGAAGGCGTGTGTAGTTGTGAAAGCCGTTACTAGATGGTGGTAAGACCGCATGGAACCATCTCGGCGTTGCATCCGGTGATCACGAGGACGTGGTAGTTGCCAAAGGACCCTGGTTCAAAACGGACCTTTTGTGGCATCCACGATGCCGCAGCTTGATGTTGATGCTAAAGTGCCAAGCGAAGAGGCGCACTGGCGGATTTGTTCAGGATGGCACGAAGCTAGGTAGGCATGCCTGGCCAGTTCGATACACCGTGAGCTTATGGCAACTTTCGCTGCTCAAATATTCGGCCGAAATGGGTGTCTAGCCACTCAGAAACTCGGTATGCCGCGACACGCCCAAGGAAGTTGGTGATATCTCGCGGCGTGAGAAAGGGGACATGCGCTCCCGATGAGGAATCAAAATTATGTATAAAGGGATTCAAGTCCTGTCCTGGGAGTCAGCATCAGTGATCCAGAAGCAGATGTTGAATATTAAAAATAGCTGCCTGCCTGCTACTACACTATTTGACCCTGATAGCATCCTCGACTCACAACTCGTGCCACTACCACCATGCGTGCTCAGCTATGTCCAAACCCAGACTTACTGTTTCGAAACTACATAAACACCCAAAACTCACTTTCTCAGAAGACTGCCATCTCTGCCCTCCTCGTCGGAACGGCCGTTGCCAACCCCTTCTCCCCCATCAGTCACCGCCAAGCACGATGCCCCTACCAAGATTGCCCATTACACGCCCAAGTTCCCCGGCAGCGGGAACTACATGCCGTCCCGGGCATCCAAGCACACCAACAAATCACCCCGGCCCCTAAAGCGCGAGACCAGCGAGCGAGTACACAACACCAGCCTGGCCAACTACAACGTCAACAACATCAAGGACGGCGTCGGCGGCGGCAACGACTCCTACACCATGTACTGGGGCGACGGCAGTCACCAACGCCGGCTGGCCATCCAAAAGTCGCTGTGTCTCCTTCGAAGACATGTAAGTGCCTCCTGTCTGTCCTCCTTGCGGCCCCCAATTCTCACAAGCCAGGTTCAACAACTACAAGAGCACAATGTTCAACTCGTGTGGCTGGAACGGCTGGGGCCCCAACAACAGCGGCCCCAAAGTAGTAAGCAAAACCAGACCCCTATCCTCTACGGAGTACACGACGTTGACTTTGTCGCAGGGCGCCATCTGGGAAGGCATCCAAAAGGCCGCGGGGGCCAGCAGCGTCGACCACCGCTTCATCCTGGCCGTCGTGATGCAAGAGTCGAGCGGGTGCGTGCGCGTCCCCACGACAAACTATGGCGTTCGGAACCCCGGCCTGATGCAGGACCATGACGGGGCGGCGAGCTGTAATGACGGCGGGAAGGCTTGCAACCCGTGCCCGTCGGATACCATCTACAAGATGATTAGCGAGGGCACTGCGGGCACCGATGACGGCGACGGCCTGGCGAATTGTATCAATGGGGCGGGCGGAGGGGACGTGGCGGCGTTTTATCGCGCCGCGAGGATATATAACTCGGGGTCTGTGTCGTCCACTGGCCAGCTGCAGGACGGGATTGCTACGCACTGCTACGCTAGTGATATTTCCAAGTAGGTTTTCTTGTTGCCTCGTTTGGTGAGGTTTGCTGACTTTTGCGTAGCCGCCATACTGGCTGGGTTGGCGCGGCGTCCGAGTGTACTTGCGACAGTGACCCTGGGAGCTGTGGAATCAAGACCAACTAGGTTTGGGGAAATTTCGAGTTTGAGGAAAGGAGTATGTATATGGGGTGTTGTTGCTTGGCACGGCCATCTGTGAATCTGTATATATTTAGAGGGGGGTTGCCAACCGCTCATATAAAAGGCCTATATACCCGGATAATCAATCAGCTACAAGACCTTGTGATTTGCAGCCAACAGCTTGCCATGCTGCTGGCTAGATTTCAAAGCGGTAGGCACAACTAGGACGACGACCTTATGACATTCGGCGGCAGTTTTTGAACCACCGGATCTCCTATACGGACCACCGCCAACGTCACCTTGATGCATAGCCGGTCCGGATTATCAACCGCTGTCAACCAGTCAGTACAGACATCCCAACAAACGACAAAGACGAGACGTACCAGTATTTCCCGGAGGCGAGTAGCGAAACTCCCACCTGTTGCCGGACGCAAGCCTCACGCATAAATGTCCGCCCGTCACGTCCGCCCGCCCCTTAAACGCCAGTTCCATCTGGACCTCGTCCGTGTCCGGATTACAGCCGCGCACAACACCATACACAGCACGCGGGTCTCCACGCTCCGTCATGAACATCTTGGTCGTGTTGTCAAAGGCGGTATACTACCAGCGCGTTAGACCCCAACTTGCCCACATGGAATGTCAGACTTACTTCTCCGTTGATGACGGCCCGAATCGTCTTGCCGTTGCTCGGCTGCGTGATGACGCCGTCAACGAGCGTCAAATCTCTTGCAGACGCACCGGCCGGGCTCAGATACAGGTGCTGGTCGCCGCCGCCCGCCGCCCACTGGTTCAACAAGCGGTTGTGTATCACGGGGAAGGACGCATTCTGGACCCGGATCGCGAAGCCCTCTGCGATGTTATTGGGGAGCGCACCCGGGGGGAGCACGCACGCGAGTGAGGCGGCGGCCACCGTGACGGCGATGAAAGCACTGGAAAACAACATCTTGTCAAGAGGGGGATGATGTACTTGAGAGGCAAGATTCGATGTGGTCTCGTGCTCGGGGGCGAGATATATAAGCTGCAAGACGGGCTAGAAGCGCTGTTGGTTTCTTCTGTCCATGCAGCATTCCGCGCTTGGCCCGCAATACGAGATGCAATGTCACCGCCTAGGGGACAGGGTTTCTGCAGATAGTGCCAAGCAGTAGGGATGCATGGGCGGGCAGCGGTGATTCTGGAGCGACACTCAGAGTGCTGGTGCTCTTGTTCTGTCGCGGAATGGGTCGTCGGTCGCTCTGGATTGACGGAATAGTGGAACGAGACCCAGATTGAATCTTGGATTCGGGAATGGAGGCCGATACAGCTTCTGGTTGGTTGTTGATTTCTTCGAAACTTGCTTTGAAGTTGGTTGGGCTTTGAACTTCCTTTTGAAGAAATAGCTCATGTAGTATTCAGCCGCACCCGAGTTTCTCTATCGGCAGGTTCATAGTCTGGCCCGTCTGCATGTGTCTAAGCGCTCATGTCGTCAAGTGGTTGAAGAAAGTGGTGTGGGAGACGACGTTTCTGAAGCCAAGCTTGCCATCCAACGGCAGCATAAAAAACTGCCACATGCTCAATATGGGCGCATAACAATATTTTTAAGGCAGGCCCGTTTTTAAGAAGCCAAATCGTCAACCTGGACAGCTCGTCTGGAGTGACAGCCCGCCCAAACCTGGCCCGCATCATGTATATACAAGGCCGATTTATGCGTAAACGGCCCAGCCCGCATGGGCAAAGTGCACCTGCGAAGCGAAGCTGGCATCGGGCCCGCAGTCATACAGGCCATGTCGGACGGCAGGGATCAAATACTCCGTACGTTGATAAGCATAACTTCTTGCTGCATGATTCTCAACCGAGTTAGTCTGATCCATCATCCGATGCATGTTGCGAATAGTTTCCGGCAGTTTCCATGGTAGAAGCGTCAAGACCTCAGTCTACTCCGTATGTATTGGCCCCAAGACTTGGCCACTGCGGGTAACTCGGTTTATTCGATTAAACCCGTCTTCGCAATTGGACGGAAAACGGGATTTGGTCAAATTGATGCCTTGGTCCAAGACCTGAACCCCCGTCTTTCTCTTTGGGTCGCGGTAACCGGATCGTCATGCATCATGCACAATCCGAGCTTCTCCAAACTGATGCCAATTTCGGTCAGACTGCGTACGGGCGAAGCAGGAGGTAGGGAACAAAACCTTGGGCACTGTACGCCAACTGCGTGGCATGCGTGCAAGTTTCCATTACAAACGCCCAGAAAACCTGCATCTCCTCAACTCCGGTTTTCGCAAGAGTTGGCTCATCACAATGTCCATCCGCCACTACCGAGGCCGAGAACCAAATAAATAAACCCTTCCTGAATTCCCACCACTTGGGCCAGAAGCCCGCCATTCCAGTGACAGAGCCGTTTTCAGGGTCAACAAGAATATTCTCTCCCGAGAAATCCGCACACGCAAACATTATGCAGTAATTGTCAGAGGGCACGTTGCTATATTTAGCCGCCAATTCAGGTCGTGGACAGTCCTTGACAGGGGCAACAAGGAAGTCGTTGAACTCGGCAAGAGAAGCGAATGGTCCATGTAGACGTGTTGTCTGGTCGATGGTCATGCAGGACCTCCAGAAGGGTCCAATCCACCCAGAGCCAGACGCGCGAAGGCGGTAAGGCGGTGCGGCGGTTGTAGTCGGCATTCCCTGCCTCGTATCGTGTATGAAAATGAAAGAAACAAAGATGTAAGGTGTAGCTGAAGGTACCAACTCCTACCGACAAGGATACTCTTGATCGTGTTCCCACTTTCCACGTGGCTCATGACTATAAGCGGGTCGGTTCTGGCACTTGCAATTCACGATTGAAAATCCTGATACTACCATTCAAGACAAGTAAAAAGGTTCGCAGAGCTGCTAGTCCTAGTATACAAAACCTCTCCTCCCTAGACTTCTTGCCAACTTTTTTCTTTCCTTAGTCACCTTTTATCTTCATTTATTGGCATATTTTAAGAACCTTTATTGGTCTTGCTCATCTCTTGTATCTTTCTACACCACTTCACCCTCCCTCTTGTCTTAATCGCCTTGTGCCTCAGTTCTTTAACGGGATAACAGCTTGTTATTCTGTTATAGACCCTGTGGTCTCGTTTCATCATTGGCATCTGTTTAATACGACTTTCTGAGCTGTTCACACCGGTGATGAGACAGTGCCCAGAGCGGAACCCACTCAGCCAAGGCTGATAAAGCGAAAAAAAAAAAAAAAAAACAGAAAAAAAAAAATCGCCGGAATACCTCAGTTCTTTGAGGGGATAACAGCTTGCTATCCTTTTATAAACCCGTGTGATCTCGATTCATCACCTGCATCTGTTTGCTGAAGAAAGCTGACACCTTCTGAGCTGTTTAGAGCAGTGATGATACGCGTGCTATCCCTCCGAGGTCAACCTCGGCAGCCTGGAATGAAGCAGGTGGTGGCACCAGCGATGGTTTATATACTCGGGCCTTGTAGGATGGATTTTGGCGCCAACTCTGCAAGGTTCGGCTAGCAGACGTAGTAAATGCTACTGCAAAGCTTGACAGGTCTGGCTACACTAGCGATTTCGAATTGCGCAATGGCGCATGTTGGCCAAGATGAGCGAAATGAGTCAAGATTGGTATCAGGACGGACCGCGTCAGGCACCAAAAGTTCCCGGCTTCACTCTGCCAGACGCCGTGACGTCTTACTCTCACTCCCCTGTCGCTGACAGCAAGGACAATGCAGGAAACCATCAGCAGCCTGCCGTTCCGAGGTTCGACAGAGTTGGGCAAGGAGTCGGCAAGCCTGTCTTGTCCACTACCTATACGTGGACTGTTACAAATCTGTCGATTGTTCGTCTGTCAGCTTGGCCAGGTATCCGGCTGTTGCGCTATGTGGTATACCGCAGTATATGCGTGTATACTTGGTGGCAAGATGACTTTTGCCTCTGACTGTAAGTAGAGCCAGGCGTGACACCAACACGTCACGGCGACTGCTGCGCCAGATTTCCACCCAAGTCCGTGAGATGGCGCGCTCCATGATGCGCTTCTAGAGATGATGTAGACTATTTGTAATTTTTTGCCCACTTATTTAGTTGCCAACGGGTTATGCTTCACGCATCAGCGTCATGTACAGGCGGGCAATAGACAATACAGCTTCCCTCCGACTATTGATGCTTTCCCCAGAGCGGGCGGCCTCTCTCAAGTTACGTGCATATCCACGGGGACAATGACTACATATACTTGCCCTGGATGGGCCTTAGCTTGGTAGAACAAGATCAATTTGCACTTGAAAGGACCTCACACTCTCACACAAACCTGGCCCTCGTGGCAACTTCACACCATACGCTATAGCTCACTTGTACTAGCCGAACATGACGACGAGACACGGCACAGGCAACATGCATCATCATGATATCAATCTATTCCAAAACCCATCAAAAAAGCCAGCTGACAATCCAACACTGTCGGGAATCTCAAGCCACAATCATAGAGTATCGTAGAGTATCGCAACGCCATAAAAGTAAAATAAAAAAACTCCATATCCCAATCCCATGCGTGAAATACATCAAAAAAGGGCCACCGCCATGAATCAGGCACTCAGGCCCACCAATCGCCCTGGTCCTGCATAGCCTGCGCAACCTTGACAAAGCCAGCAATGTTGCTGCCGGCCACGAGAGAAGGCAGCTCGCCCTCCTTGGTCTCGACGTACTTTTTCGCCGTCTCGAGGCCGTTGGCGAAGGCGTTCTTCATGATGGCCTTGAGCTTGTCGTCGACCTCGTCGGCGGTCCAGGTGAGTCGCTATCAAGACAAGTTAGCACCGTCTTGCCCATCCAACACACAGAGAGAGAGAGATTTTCAGCAAAATCGGCACGACATACCTGGCAGTTCTGGGCCATCTCCAGCCCAGAGACGGCAACGCCGCCGCAGTTGGCCGCCTTGCCGGGCGCGTACCAAATAGCCTCGCCGCCCTTCTTGCGCCGCTCCGCCTCAAACAAGTCGATCGCCTCCTGCGTGCAGCCCATGTTGGAGCCCTCAGCAACAGCGACGACGCCACTGGCCACCAGAGACTCGGCCTCGTCCCTGCTGACCTCGTTCTGCGTCGCGCAGGGCAGCGCAACGTCCACGGCGCCCACGTGCGTCCACGGACGAGCGCCCTCGACGTACTTGTACCGCCCGGCGTGGTCAAGCTCCGACAGCGCGCGCCGCTGCACCTTGAGCTCGGCAATCTGATCGACGTGTTCCGCGGTGAAGGGCTTGTCGGCGGTCGCCACCAGCGAGCCCTTGGAGTCGGAGAGCGAGACGACCGTGGCGCCGAGCTCGATGCATTTGAGGGCCGCGTACTGCGCGACGTTGCCAGAGCCAGAGATGGCCACCTTCTTGCCGGCAAATGTACCGCGGCCGGCGTACTCGAGCATGTGTTCCACATAGTAGATGAGGCCGTAGCCAGTGGCCTCTGTTCAGATTCATCAGCAATCTCATTCAACCACCGAGCCGGTCGATGAGGGACAACTTACCAGGTCGGATGAGAGAGCCGCCCCAGCTCAACCCCTTTCCGGTCAACACGCCCTCCCAGCGGTTTCTCGCCTGTCGGTACGCGCCGTACATGTAGCCAATCTCCCGGCCGGACACGCCAATATCGCCCGCGGGCACGTCGGTATCCGCGCCAATGTGCTTGGACAGCTCGCGCATAAAGGCCTGGCAGAAGCGGCGGATCTCGCCGTCAGACTTGCCCTTGGGGTCGAAGTCTGCGCCGCCCTTGCCGCCGCCCATGTTCACTGCACAAACAACCCGTTAGCAAAGGCCTCAAGCCCGGGGTATCTGCCGGCCGTCACATACATCCAGTAAGGGCATTCTTGAAAATCTGCTCAAAACCAAGAAACTTGAGGCTGTAGAGTGGTCAGTGTGTGTCCCACGCAAAGCTCGCTCCACAGGGGCATTGACATACATGGACAGGTTGACGGTAGGGTGAAGCCGCAAACCACCCTTGTACGGGCCCAGGGCCGAGTTGAACTGCACCCTGAAGCCACGGTTCACTTGCAACTGGCCATTGTCGTCCTCCCACACGACGCGGAACTGAATCACGCGCTCAGGGATGGCGGCAACGGCCAAGGCGGTGCGGTACTCGGGGTGCTCGCGGAAGAGGGTGCTGTCCTCGAGGGTGCTGGCGAGCTCTACGCAGACGTTAGCCACTGATTCCCTCATGTTCACAGCCGTCTCACATCAAGTCGGTGGATGGGTGAATACCTTTGTAGGCTTGCTCAAACTCAGGCTCGGACGGCAAGTGGCTCGTGGCGGCAGCGGCAACGTGAGTGCCATTGCCATTGCCGTTGCCGTTGCCGTTGAGATGGGGCATCGTGTCTACTTGTTCTCAAAGAGGATATTGTATGAAGATTGATAAAGACGGGGATGAGATACGCGGTGACGGATGATGCAAAGGTGGTCGGGGGAGGGAGAGGGAAGAAGAGGGTAGGGCAGTTGGACCTTCCAACGGGACACAGCAGAACCTTATATGTTCATGTCCAACCCCAAACTCTTGATAGCTCCGAGTAAGAACACGCCGGTATGGCTTTACACACCCTCCCCCCCGCCCTCTCTCTCGGTGAATCGGAGCAAACAGCCACACACTTCTTGTTTGTGTCCCTTGGTGTCTTGAGCGTATCGGGCCGCACGCTCAGGGCATTGTCCAGGGTCCGCCAAGCTTTCCTGGACGAATATCCTGACTGGTGACCGACAGCGGTGGGCGCATCTCGAGCAGTGAGCACCCATCTTGTCCATCAAAACCTGTATGAGACGTTACCTCCTTCTCCTCCTCCTTCTCCCAACCGCAGCACCCTCCGAAAGTCGCTCGTCCCAAGTCGCCACGCCCGAAAGCCCACGCTGGCGGGCGACGCGAAATTCGGCAGCGAAAGGAGGAGGGGACGGGGGGCGTCTCCCGGAAGCAATAAGCTTCTCGCGCTGGATGCGTGGCGCACGACTCCATAGATAGATAGCCGTCGCCGTGGATCCGCACCAGAACGTCTTATCAGTGACGTCTCCATTCTCCCCATTTCCATGGCCGTCGGGTGCTCGGTATGGGAGGCCGGGTGATACCAGTAGTAGCACCACATAGTACTCCGTAGCACATGCATAATTTCATAAACGAGACAAGACGTGTGTGTGTGTGCGCGCGGCCGAGAAAAGGCGCGCAAATCACCGCAAGCCAAATGGCCTGGTGCCCGGTTCTCCATGGCGATCAAGGGCCTCATCTCGCATGCAGGCAGCCTGTCCCCGGGCGAACCAGGCAGCCACTGTCGACATTTCAGCCGCCATTGCTGGACAATGTAGCGAAACGTTGACTTGGCCCGACATTCGTGGTCGCACCGCGCCGTGTCACGCACTCGGACGCGGCCGCTGCTCGCAACCACTTCATCAGCTCACCATCCGTCTGTCCATGGCGCGTCCAGCCGTCGAGCTCGCCAATGCGCATTTCATTGTAAAACCACCCGACGAGTCACGGCCATCTGAAATCGAAAAACTTGGCAGGACCTTTATCTTCGCGCCCCATGCCCCTGCGTCGGTTGATTGGGCCTCTCCTGCACACCGGATTGGCCGCCTTACCTATTCCTGTTGACAGATTCGATTGCGTCTCCAGATTGGCGTCCCTGGGCTGCGGCCAATCAGCGCCCGCCCGACAAACAGATTAGTCTACCCAGGCAAAAAGAGCTTCAATCGTGTCTCTGGCTCCTTTTAGCGTCGGCCAGCTGCGCTCGCGTCGGGAATGCTCCGTCTCCAGACGCCATGAGGCATCCCTGACGAAACATCCGGATCCAGACGACTTTCATTCTGGTCGGTGCCCCCCCCACCTCGAGAGTTATTATTTCCTGAGGCAGCCTTCGCCGGTAACGGCCTCGGCCTTCCTGACACAGATCATGCCATCCCGACTCGACTCGACTCGTCCACGGGACAGCACACAACATGCCACAGGCGGTTCCAGATGGCAATAGCGCTGCACCGTCCTCTCGATACTGACAGCAGTGCACATGGCCATGCATCAATTCTTCACGAGGTGCGGCCTGGTCGTTTGCGTGCTTCATCTCCAGATCTGACCACATGCATGCACGTCGCCAAATGCGCCCCCACCACCCATGGAGGGTTCAAGCCAAGCCCAGGCCGAGGCACGCCATCCCATCATCATACACTTCCCTCAAAAAAAAAAAAAAAAACACCATGGTGCCATGAATCTGACGGTGCCCCTCTTTCACGAGTGATTTTCTTCATCCCACCACACAAAAAAAAAAAAAACCACTACGTCACTCCCTTCTTCTTCCGACTTGTTCCCCCTACCCATCGGCTGAAACGGCCGAGTCTGCCGGACCATGCCTCGTATGCCCGAGACAAGCGACATCGGCCTAGAAGACATGAGTTATCGCTTGCTTGTACTCGATTGAATTGAATAAATTTATTGCTCCTCGTAGCCGCACCCGCCATACCCATGCTACTTGGTCGCATGGCTGTCGCCAATGACCCTGAGGTCCTGCTCGCACTTGCGTCACCAACACCATCAGCACATTATGCACGCCACATCTGCCTGTCATTACTCGTCTCTTACAAAACTACTACTACAACAAGTTGCCGACGCAGCACAGCTTTCAATAATGTATGCAACACCAGTTGACATGTTTCGACATCCCGAGTGCCCTATCCCGGGCAGTGTTCCCTACTCCTCAACGCCGAACTGGTACAACCAACCAACCGAATAAAACACCCCACACGCTCTCACCACATGGCGGCCGGGTCCATGTCGAACCGCGACAGGTCCTTGCCTGCATCTTCCAGATCCTTCTTTGCCTTCATCCTCATGTAGAAGATTGGACAATCCTTACTGCTACAGATAACCTCGCAATGCATGCTGCCCTGGCATCGCTGACACTGCGTCCATAATCGGCCGAATCGAACCTCGAGATCCGAAACCTTGTCCAGAGTCCTCTTGTACAGTTCGCCCACCCTGGGAGCGCAGTCTGAGCAAACAGCCCCATTGCTCTCGTGCTTGCCTGTAAGCGGCTTCTTGCAGCCCATGCATGTCTGTGTCTTTTTCGCAAATTTCATCAGCCCACCCACCGTCGGTGCCGCCACAGATATTGTTCTCGTGTGATCTCCCGTCAGCAGCGTCCTCGCCTTGGTTTCGCCCAGGATAGGCTCGAATATACGTCCCAACGGTTTAGCTAGCTGGTTATCCAGGTAGTATTTGGTATCAATAGGCACGTTATTCTCGAGGACATAGAGGGGATCCTCCGACTTCTCAAAGTTTTTGGCACCAGCAGCTCCACGAACCATGACATAAGCAACGCGGTCTCCAAGCGCAGGAGCCGAACCAGCGTCACGCTTCTTCATTCGGTGAGCTAGTTCCACATGTGCTTGTTTGGCAGCGTAGTCGTCTTTTGTCAGAGCCTTGGTGATGACAAGCTTTGACATGTCCACTTTATTTTGTAACAAGTTGGCAATTGTGTCTTTGACGTATCTGGTGAATTGTTAGCTGGTTCCAGTAATACTGGCTTGGGGAGTACTAACTCTTGCGCACCACCAACATCCCGGTCAATCAGAATCATTCGGAGGACCTTTTCGATAACGGTCTGCACCAACAGACAGTTATCTCGCCGAACCGTCTCGATGCCCTTCGTGTCCATCTTGTCGTACTTCTCCGGCCTGGTCCAGTACAATCCGGCGTACCGCTTCTTGTTGATCAGCAGGTACGGAAAGTACACCTTCTCGAATTCAAGCTTGATTGGCTTAACAAACTTGGAAGACACATAGTGCGACGCTTCCTCGCCTAGCTTCATTGCCTCAGCCAAGTCCTTCGTGCCAAACTTGACCATGACGGAATCAGTATCACCGTAAATGACCTGAGCGTCGTGCGAGTATCCGTTGGCAATATTATACTTCTTCTCCACTTCATCTTTTGTCCTTTCAATCATTTGCCTGCCGAAACTAGTCGTACTGCTGGCAATCTCAAGGCAGGGAAGTTTTCCCGTCGTAGCGCCTGTCAATCCATAGACGGAGTTGGCACTGATCTTTAACGCGAGCTGGCGACCGTTCAATACAGCTTTCTTGAACGGGTCTGTTTCCTGAGCCAACTCGCGCTTGGCCTGTTTACGAGCGGTTAACAGTTCTTCAAGAATCTGCGCTAGAAGCCCCTTGCGTTGTTTGGTTGTCACGAAGGTGTCTCCGTTGGGTGTGACGATGTAATCTTCGTCTTTAACCAAGCCAAATTTTTCAATCAGCTTCTTGTCTTTTACCAGTGTGGTATAGCATAGATTGTGTGCCTGAATAATACTCGGGTATAGGGACGCGAAATCCAGGGTGGCAATAGGCACATCGTAATAACCTCGGACAGGTTCGATAACGGTGGCACCTTCATACTGCTCGTCCGAGGCATCAGCTCGGATATTAGGTATCACCAGTTTCTGTTCTAAAGCTTTGCGGAATAGCTGGCTCACAAACTTGATTTGTTGGCCGCGGGACAGTAAAAAGTTAAAGGGCACACCAGTAACTCTTGCCATTTCGGTATAGTTTTCCAGACATGAAAGCTTATCCATTAGTCGTTGTGGAAGATATGCGTCCTTTAAACAGTAGAGGGCTAAACGTCGTCTTGATTCTGGAGTACCGTTAAAAAGTTCAGTGATCATGGTGTGGTGCACATCTTCCTTTTGTTCGCCCAAAAAATGTGCGCACACAGAGTTGAGAGTATAACTTCGAAGATGATGATCTCGTTGAATCAATTGAAGTAAATCGAGCTGCAGTCGCCCGTTGGTGTTGGTGGCCTTGGTGTCTCGATTACCAATTTGCTTACTCGAGAAATTTGTCTCCTTGACCCTAGACGGAACGCTGGGAAGACGAGACCAGTATTCAAAGCCACTGACTTTGAGATGCTTTGCTCTCTCCAATAAATAAGGAAAATCGAAGTTGGCAATATTGTACCCAATAATAATATCTGGATCGGCTCGAATTAGGAACTGCTGCCATTCGCTCAACATCCTGTCTTCCTTCTGATACTCTAGAATCTGCGTAGCTACAATGGAGCTTGTTGTATCCAGGCAAAAGACATTACGAATAAATGGCTTCTTCTCTCCATACTTTGTGACGACATTGGCGATTTGAATGACCGGGTCCTGGTTGGCTTCTGGGAAGATGCCTTTTCTGCCAGCACACTCGATGTCGAAAGATAAGATACGAAGTGGAGCCATCTTGGCCCATTTGCCTTCGGGTTTATGAGCAATCAAGTCGAGATATGGGACTTCCGCTTCGATCTGGCAGTTGGATTGTCTGAGGTTTTCGGGGACTATCTTGTATCGGGCCGCTGGCGCTTCGACCCATGCCATGCCTTGGACCTAATGGCACTTGGTTAGTTTTGCGCAAGTATTGCCAATATTCGCTTCAAATCTCACCTTGCAGTCCACCATGAATCGAAGGACATATTGGATATTGTCATATGTCCTGATGCCTTCTGTGACTCCCCACATGCCTTTCCAGTTCGCATTTCCACTTTCTATAGTAGAGCGCACTCTATTTATAAATTTGGGGTCCGTGACCGTAACTTTGAGATAGGCGTGCTGCTCGTTGCCCGAGAAGCCATAAATGTCTTCTCTGAAAAGTAGGGCGACCGAATGAATAGCGGGCTGATGCTGAGCGACCTGTCCCTCAAGGAAAGTCTTGAAATTACCGACATCGTGCGGTTGAAATAGAACCGGAGCACGGACATAGAGGTAATGTTTAAAGTCGGTGACGTGCAGCATCACTGAATAGCCTTGTTCCGAGACGCCGAATAACTTGACAGTCGCTTTGCCACCATGCAAGGTTCCTTCTTCAGCTTCAATAGACTGGAAACACAGGCTATCGCGCTGGGGCTCAAAGTCGACAACTGGTGGGCGGTCCCATGCCTGATCCTTCTCGGCATTGCTGCGCTTCAGGTCTGAGATGTCTTGGCTCAGCTTCTCCAAGACCTCGGTCTCAAAGGCACTTTTTGGCTGGCTCGATCCAGGCTTTGCCTTGGGATCTCTTTGGAAGCCTGTGAATCTGGCCGCCGGTGATGATGAAAAGATATCGGTCCTACGCTTTTTGGCTGAGCCTGGCGTTGATGGCGGAATGTTCTGGCGGGTGCCTGCCTCGCCTAGCACCCGCTTCTGGGGCAGGACTGAGGTCATGATGGATGCGACGTATGCTGTGAATGAGATGTAGCCAGGTTGCTTGGACCTTCAGATCAATGCCCTGGTGAGGTCTTTGGCTGCACAGTCAGTCAATGGCAAGGTCGCATGTGGTGGGATTGCTGGCGAAGTACTCGTAGTATGGGGGCATTTTGAGTGTCCACGAAAACGCGTCTCGAGACCGTGACGTGACGGACCCACGTTAAGTTTAATGGTTTGGCACGTGACTTGGTGCGACGTGAAAGTGCCGCCGTGTCAGGGAGGCGCCAAAGAGGTAGTACTAGTACGGAGTACGTACTCCGTACTGGCCCCGCTGTTTCCCTGCTAGCTCCTCTATGTACCGAGTACGGATTAGCGTGGTCAAGCTGACAGACAACACCAGGTACCGTGCACATGGCCTGGTCCTTCCCTGTCTGCCGTGGCAGCTCCTGCTCATCCCGCCTGTCACCTGTCCACAATCAGCCAACACGGAAAGGCCAAACATCCAAGACCTTGCTCACAACCCATGTCACGGATGCACAGGCTCGACAAGAGACAACAACGTTGGACGGCTGTGTGCCAATCATGTCGGCCGGAGTCCCTTCGGAGTTTTTGAAGCGTTGTCGAATTCCTCATTCCCGATAATTGTCGCTCTCCCAAGCCTCGCCAACTTACTCACAAAGCCAGCTCCGTCCGCATTCATGCCACCCGCGCCCATGATCAGCTTTCACCCCCATTTGCTGCTCCTGGCCAACGACGAGTCACAAGCTCAGCCCGACGCCCCATGCTCTCATGCCAATAAATTGACTCGGGTCCGATAAAACGCGCCCCAGACTGCGGACCTCTGTGCTCCTGGGAGTGCGAAGCTCCTCTTTGTAAACGTATAACCATGTTGTGTCCCCCGTCCGATGCTGCCGGACCTCACCATGTAATGTGATTCTGATCTCGCCGAGACATGTCCTCTGAGGAAACTGTCAACAAGGAGATGGATCCTCAGACACAAAGCCGCCTTTTCCTGTTGCCCGTCGAGATACGTCGGCACACGTATTCTTTCGTCGTCGAGGAGGGTGTTCACGTCTACCTCCGTAATGGCCGCATTTGCATGTCGACATGCATCACTCCGCAGCCCAGCAACGACTACTTCTGCTTCGACCGTCAGTCATCGGGAGACCCTCCTCGTGATGTTTGGGCTCGTCGACTGGGTTCATCTTGGGCCTCGCACTGGAGATGCGAGGAAGTTGCGCTTGGCTTGGACGTGGACCGCATTAATCTTATTGCTGACCGCGATCCGACAAGGGCATTGATGCAGTCTTGCAAGAGAATGTAAATGATGCTATAGGAGGACGGTCGTGCTGTTGGTCATCCACTGATCCATTTATAGATATGGCGAGGTTGCAGGCTTGATAGCTGAAAAGTCCGTTTTACACATCACCGAACTCGCGACCCTTGACCAGCTTTTGAAAGGAGATGACGACAAATCACGTTTGTTTACCGACAGTATACTGTTTAGCTCATTTACTGGCGTGAGAAGACTTCGTCTCGCCTTCCGCCTTCCGCTGCAAGTCTACAAGATGATTGAGCTGCAATGCAAGCAGCGAAAATTCCCGCCTTGCCCACACAACAAGCTGCCTTCCACCATGTGGAAGGGCATATGGCCAGCAATCGCTCAACTCCAGCACCTCCGTTCGCTCGATGTCTATATCGACCATGACTCTGAAGCATCCTGGACATTGGTCGATGAAGCCACCATACTCTCGCCTTTGCTGCCGCTCTGCCAGCATTCCCACTTCAGCACCACCGTTCACGTCCCGGTACTACCGCCGCCACAGGACACGGAGGAGGACTCCGGTTCCTCGACAGAGGACTCACTATCCTTGTTGGACATACGAAGGTTCATCAGACAAAGATTCTTCCCCGAGCAAAGACAAGATGGTACCCATGGCATAGTCTACGAAGACGACGCCAACAACATGTTTCGCGACCCAGGCCCATCTGCCGACGAGCTGACTCGGACTGCTGAATTGACGATGCACCTCTGGCTGCATGGTGTTGAGCTTGACTATCTTGCCATGAGTAGGGGGCTTGGGTGGTAAGTGCTGACTGCCTTGGTAATTATTCACACTACGATGCTATGAGACAAGACCGCATTACTGGAGTTTTCTTAGTTCTGGAAATCATGGATACCTGATGGGAGGAAATTTACTAGGAGTAGAATGCAGAAAATATACTACACTCAACTCACGTGAGGTATTCCACTTACGTCCACTGCTCCTATCCTAAACCTCCTGTCAAGCCTCCTCCTCCTCGCTATTCTCGCCCTGCGCTCTCGGTGCAGACACGTCACGCAGCCTCTTAACCCCCAGCTCCTCTTCAACAGCCTCTTGGGCTCATTATACTCTACAAGCGTTCCCGTACCCAACACGGCAACCCTTGCGAAGGCCATCACCCACTGCAACTTCTGCGCTATGACGATAATGGTCCATCCGTCGAACCACATCCGCAGAACATCATACATAATCTCACTCGTTGCATTGTCCTTGCAACCAACAGTCATACCAAGTAGCAAGAAGGATGGCAACAGCACTCCCAAGCCCAACATGTCCGCCCAGACATTTGCCCAATTTTCTCATTCGGGGCCACGACACCCTCATTCGCCCACTACTTGAGCCAGACATTTACCATTAAAATCAGCACCAATTGTACCAAACTCGGCACAGATCAACATACCAAAGAACGAGCTGCAAAACGCAAAAAGCGCACCTCAGCCGGCCGCGTTGCCAGAAAACCCATACAAGGCCCCGTTGCCCAGTCTCCGGGCTGTGTCAACTTTCGTCTCCATTGTATTGACGGCGGCGTCTGCCTGTCTGGCAGCTAACTTCGTTGCTTCACTAGTCCCTTGACAAGTTGTTCCCAGTCCAGTCGGCGTTTGTACTAGCAAGACCGACACCCTCTCCAATCTCCTCCGGGCAACCGGATTGTTTGAAGGTGCCCGTCTTGCAGTCCCCACGGCGAACTACGAGGTTAGAATAGAATTGAAACATTGCGCCAAGATCTATTAAAAGGGCGGCGGCTTACTTCCAGAGAAAGCAACGACGACAAATGTGCTGCTTGTTCGGAAAAAGTCCCTGTTTCTCACGGAGACTGGAACACGGCATCTTGTGTAGCCGCATCGACGTCGTCTAGGACGGCAAGCTCTCGACGCGTATAGACCGCAGGCGCTTACCAAACCACCAGGCGCGTGCTTTTGACCACCAGCCATTGGAATTCCCTTTGTTCCGACGGGGATTTCATCTCCAGACGGCACCCGTATACCCTCCAGGGCCCTTGGGGACTATGCATTCCCTTCGTTCAAGGTATTATATTAATAGAGACAAGGGTAAACTATTTGTATTATTTTGTACTTGAATTGTTCTCATGTTTAAACATCAAGATAAACATAAAGTCAAGGCTGTGATAGGAATCCCAACCTCGGTACATTTGCGAATCGAGGCCAGACAGACTGGTGGACGACAATCGCTGAACTTCTAAACATACATGCCCATGTTACAAGCGCATGGCCTAAGTTTACATGTACCTACGAGGCGCGCAGCACGAAGCAGCAAGACAACCAATCATTTTCACCAGATGAACCGCCTACACGTCCCAATTTAGTCGTTAATACATATCATTAGATAAGTATACAAAAACTAATGCTACACCAACCTCTCCTTCCTCGCATAACTGCATCCACATTCATTAATCGGACCAAAACAACCGCAAACGCCGTCGCTGTGAGAGAGCTCGTGTCCAAAGAAGAAAAAAGAAAAGAAAACTCAGTCTACCCTAATCCAAACCAGATACCAGACGATGAGAAAAGTGACGGTTGGCACATGCACAGCGTATAGCCCATGTTCGTTGCAGACATAAAAAGGGGTGGTTTAGGCGGGTTGCTTTTGAATCGTTCCAATATCGCACCAGTTGCTAACAGGCTACAAAAAAAAAAGTCAGCATGACATCATTTGGACAGGGACAGGGCGGTACAAAACTTACAAGACAACTGAGGTACTTGCACCAACCACAGGTATGGGTACCCTTGTAAAAGTTGCTGAGCAAAACAATAAACACAATGATGACGGCAATGAGGAAGCCCGCCCGGACAAGCCACCAAGCCCACCACAGGGGTTTTCGGCCCTTGAAGAAACCAATTGGGCTCTTGAGGAAGCCCGGCGCGGTGTCGTCGCTGACGCTGTTGACGGCCGAGTACGACGTGTTGTCGCTGCCGTCAATCCTTCTTCGGAGCGCGTTGGGCGAGTGCAAAAGACAGATGCCGAGCCCAAGGCCCATCAGGAACCCGCCAATGTGCGAAAAGTTATCCAATCCGGGCAGCAGTCCCAACACAAAGGAAATCACAATGTCCAGAATTATGAACATCAAATCCTTGACAGGGTTTCTTCGCTCCGTCCAAGAATAGAACAGGTCCAGCAGGGTCAGAGCAATAACTCCAAACAACGAGCCAGAAGCTCCGGTGGAGGCAACGCCAGGCGCGGCAAAATTACCGCCCATGACAAATCCAAATATACCAGCACTGAGGTAGACGAGGAAGAATCGCACCGACCCAATCGCCATTTCCATCTCCTTGGCCAACGTCATCTGCAGCAGCATGTTGAAGCCAATGTGGATAAGACCAGCATGCAGAAAGATGGGCAAAATGAAGCGGAACCACTGGTTCGGTTGAGGGCTCTGGTTGGCATTGTTGAAAGTCGGGTCGGGCACGCCGCCGAATCCACATACTTCGGAAAGAGGGCAGAACTGATCATTTCGGGTTGCGTTGGGGCACAAGAACAAGACGGGGATGCTGGAACCCTGGATTTCCTTGACGTTGTGCATGCAGGGGACATATCGTGCGCCCATGTTGATGAGGACTTGGGTCGACGGGCCGATCATGGGATTGAACTGTGGCTTGATCATGATGGGAGAGCCAGTCAGGATGCCTAAAAAACGTCAGCACTCATTCAGCAAGACACCGGGGGGGCGGGAGGAAGCGGTCAACGCTTCCGGCATCAGCATCCTACCATTCTTCACGATCTCGCCGATAAACACTGCCACCTGCACAACCGTAAAAACATAGCACACCCAGGGAATCCTCTTTTTGTCCGATCCCAACATGCCCAATTCGCCAACACGAACATGTTTTCTCCTCTTTCGCCCTTCTCCCGCCATTCCCGCGTCTGGAGCATCGTAAATATGATCGTTCATGTCATCATTCTTGCCGGATCGGTCCTGCAATGGGATATCACCCTGGGCATGGGGTCCTACAGCCGCGCCCGCCTGGCCGTAGTAGGCCGTGTCGGGATACTGGCCTTGATGGCCATGTGGTAGAGTGCTGGTGCTGCCGGCCGCGTAGTTGTCGTCAAAAACAGAAGCAAACGGAGACTGTCCAGTTTGCTGACCATGTACGTGACTACTACTGCCATCAGCACCGTATATGGTTGGAGCTGCAGAGAGAGAATTATCGCTCTGGTAGGGCATATGTGCCTGTTGCAAGTAGGGGTCAGGCGTCGAGTGGTAGCTCGGGGGTGGACGCTGGCTGTTGTCGTAGTAGTAGGTGTTGGACGCCATCGTGGGCGACGCAGAAGGATTGCTCTAATCTGTACTCTGGAGATTCGGCGTCGATGGCGTATCGGAGAATGCTAGGAATAGTTGAACAGTTGAAAAATCAAAGGGGCGGCGGCAGTAGCAACAGCAGAAGATGATGAATGCCCAAGCCGAGGTGGTTCAGAGACGGGCGATCAGGCAAGACGGAAAGATGAAATAAAACAAATAAAGCGATAGGGCGCTCCTGGGCCTTGGTAATAGTAGCAGTCGTGATTATTCGTGCCGTGGGAGCGATGGGGGTGGCAGATGCAAAACGACGTGTCAACGTGCTATGGTGACGGACGGTGGAAAACAAGCACTGATGTATTAAGATGGCGTTTGGGAGTGGGCTCTCAGGTCGACGACGACGCCCATGGAGTGGCTGTGTCTTACAATGTGCGGGCAGAGTACGATGTACGGAGTACTGAGTGCCTCGGTGATGGCACTGATGGGGCCCTGAATGCCCAAGTACCCCGGTTCGCAGGTACTTGCGCCTCGCACCAGTATCACTGCCCTGTGACATAATAAGGGCGGCTACGGCCAATTAAAAGGAATTATTAGTAGGAGGGCTAATATCTAATAAGCTAATAAACATCTCTAATTAATATAAGTCACGGTTCCCCCTTTATAAGTTATAATTAGTAGCTACTAATATAAATTAAAAATGCTCTTGTTGGTAGAGAGGCCCCTGTATATTAACCCCTATACACTTCCCTGTCAGGTCACTAATGGCTAAACTTACAGGGGTTAGATTGTAGTTCATTGTGTCACCAGCGGGCCGCTCCAAGAATAAGTTGCGCAGCCCCAGACAACAGCAACTGAACTGGACAGGCTCGAAAAAATATTAGGAGCAGGGAGCAGCCAAAATTAAGTCTACTCAGGGCGCGAAAAAAAAGGAGAAAAAAATTACGGCTGCTATAATCAAGACTCAATCTTCGAAAAATGCCGTGGTTGGTCCACTCCGCAGCGGCAACGCCAAACGAAGCACCAGAGCGTCAAGCCGTCGTGAACAGACTTCGCAAACCGACCTGATTCGCCGACGCAAATTGCGGCGGTTCTTCAAGGCCGCGCGCGTTGTCTCAGGGTCTGCTAGCTACGGCCATTCGAAATCCGTGCCGTTGTCCAAGCAGAGATGCCGGCAACTGGGTCCAACGGCATGGAATGATGAACAGAGTCAAAAATATACCATGCCCAAGTGTGTCGGCGGGCGAAAATGCCAGCAGACCAAACGACCCAGCCTCGCCCCTCTGGCGCACCGTGGCATTGATCCCATCTTCGCATTCCTTCTTGGCGCAGATCCCGTGTTTTGTCATGGCCAGGGGCAAAGCTGCTCGCTGATCAAACGAGTACACGGCCAAAGCTGACAAGGATCGACCGTCAGTCTTTGTAACGAGGCTTTCCATTCCGTCATTGTACTCCGTACGGTGGCGTTGAGCAAAAAAAAGGCCCTTTTAGCCTCTGGTGTTGTATGTCTTATGCCGTGTGCAAGAGCAGCAACCTCTTGAACCCCCTTTGCAGTCATCAAGCACTGTCTGCTCCAAATTGGCATTTGTTTCAATTCGTCCACGGGCTGTCGCTCTCGATACCTGGGCCCTCACACATCTGGCCATGCCCGCAGGCAACTCACGCCTACAAAACTTGGCATTTTCCCCTCTTGCCATCGTCATCCGTCGTCGAGGATAGCAAAACAGCTCAGCCAGCTCCAGCTCGTAAGCAACGTGGACGCCACGCAGTGTTACTAACTTTGGAAACAGGATTCATGGCTGTGCACTTCGCCCAAGCCCCCGCGGCCGAACCACTCCACCACACACAACATGCCGAGTACCAAGCCAACCAAGCCTTGAAGCCATCTTCACTGTGGGTATGCGTTGTCCATCATCCCGATGAAGCGCCAGCCCGAGATACCATATCCATAACCTGCGCGCCTGGTGGCCAGCAACAGAGCTGGAAAACCATAAAGGCACATGCACGGCACCTAATCTTAGAACCTCCCAGCCTTCGTCCCATGTCGTCATTGACACCATCCAAGCCTCGTCCCAGCCATGCAACAACA